AGGTGGGAGTGGTGATTCTTCATAATTGAAATATTCTTCTTCTTCTGGAAATAGTACAGCATCAGGAGTAACAGGTGGAAGGGGTGTTTCTTCGAAAATGAATTATTCTTCATGTTCTTCTGGGAACACTAAAGGATCAGGAGAAACAGGTGGAAGTGTAGTTTCTTCGAAACCAAATTATTCTTCGTATTCCTCTGGGAATACTAAAGGATCAGGAGAAACAGGTGGATTTGATGATTCTTCTTGATCTTCCTCTGGTTAGTCAGGTGTAGATGGTGTTGGGATTGGTTGTTCTGGTTCTTCTCCTGGAATAGTCCATTCTTCTGTTCCCTCTTCTGCCACTGTTGGTTCATCAGGTGATTCTTCGGTACTTGGATTAACAGGTGGTTCATCAGTTGGACCCTCTTCATCTTAAGGTACTATGGGTTCATCTGGGGTTGGTTTGTCATCTGGAGTAGGTTCATCTGGGGTTGGCTTATCATCTGGAGTTGGTTCATTATCAGGGGTTGGTTAATCATCAGGAGTTGTTGGAGGAACACCTTCTTCAACTGGCTCTTCAGTAAATTCTTCGCTTGGAGCTTCTGAGGGTGCTTCTGGAGCAGGTTCATCTGGACAAGTTGGTTGACATGCTTACTAACATCCAGATTATATAATCTTGAGATCCTCGATCTTACCTTTGACTTTAATGACGGTAACTGGGGATTATTGGCATTATTAGTGAACATTATTCATTTATTTAATAAGATAAGCACACAATTTTGTTAATGTTTCTGTACACTCTTCTCTTTCATGTCTGTCTATGAAAATTGAATTATTTATTTACCATGAGACTGCAATCCTTATAATTTGTTTTATAATTCAGAAAGTACAGGAGGTGAAATGAGATCTAAATCTTTAATCTTTTCAACTAGTTGCTCATACTTTTTATGTTTAATTAGATGCTTCATTTATGTTAGAGTTTCAATATGTGAAGGGATGCGCTCCTTGTTCTCCAAAACTTACTACCATTGAGTTAAAGTTTATTCCAAATCCTCAAAATGAGATCGGGGAGTTTAACAATTCAATTGTGAAGTGTCTAAAGCGTCGACTTCTGCTAAGGTGTGGGACATCAAAGATGCCTCGAAATTCAATGCTGTGGCATACATCAACAGCACAAATAGGGCATACATTCTCATTTTTAATAAATATAATAGTTATACCTTTAAAACGGATTTATTACATATATTAAATAATTAATTTATCATACTCAAATCTCAATAAATTATTATAATCCCCTTATCTGCAAAAGATTCGCTAAATATTAATTATTATAAAATATGCACGGATCCAAGATCTTGAGGGCATTGGGATACAAGATGACGCCTCGTTACACCTATCAAAGTATAATATTCCTTTAAAATAGAATCCTTTTCCTCCTTTCTCAATCGAAACTAAATTACTAAAGATGAGTTAATCAAAATCGCTGATAAGATACCAGGACAACAATTTAAGTTTAATAACAATCATCTCAAGTAGGATCAGTAGGATCAGACACTGTTTAAATTGAAATCAGATTATATGAATGATAGAAATGATTACTCAAAGGCATTCTCATATATGGAATATTTAAGCTAAAAAGAAAACTATAAAGAGGCTATCTAATTTTACAATAGCCTTGATAGAAATCAATCATCTTAACTATAGTCTTTATACACAGAGTCAATAACAAAATATTTATAATAAAAATATCAAAATTACAGAACAAACACTCTAATTTATACACAATATTAACTTGCTTTAATACTCCTAATAGCTTTTCAATATCTACAATATTATCAAACTAAAAAGGAAGAATAAACTAAGATGGATGAATAAGAATGTTCGAAAGATAAATAAGATAGAAATAAAGAATATAATTAAAATCTACCATAAGAAAATTTTAGAAGAATTGAACACCTTTTAAATGTTCTTAAAAATCATCAAAAAGTACAATAAGAATAAAATATACCAACAAAATTCGAAGATGTACTAGGAATTGACGAATTCAAAGAGGAGTTGGAAGAAATATTATAATATTTGAAGAATCCAGATAAATTTACTTAATCCGGAGCTAAATTGCCAAAAGGAATTCTGTTGGTAGGACCTCCAGGATCTGGAAAAACATTATTAGCAAGAGCATTGGCAGGTGAAGCTGGATGTTCCTTTTTTTAAAAATCTGGATCAGAATTTGACGAAATGTTTGTTGGTGTTGGAGCATAAAGAGTGAGAGAGTTATTTCAAAATGCCAGGAAAAATTCTCCATCCATTATCTTTATTGATGAAATTGATAGTATAGGAGGAAGGAGAAAGATGAATGATCCCACTGCCTCCAGAGATACTATTAATCAAATTTTAACAGAAATGGATGGATTCAAATAGAATGATGGCGTTATTGTAATTGGAGCAACTAATTTTGAACAAGTAAATAATGATTTCATATTAGGTTCTTGATCCCGCATTGAAAAGAGCAGGACGATTTGATAAAATAATTAATATTCCCTTGCCAGATGTTAAAGGAAGACAGAAGATATTCTCTTACTATTTAAATAAAGTCAAATACAATAAAAAAAACGTAGATCCTCTAAGATTAGCATAATTAACCACTGGATTTAGTGGAGCTGAGATCTAGAATATTGTTAATTTGGCCATCCTAAATGCAATTAAAAATAAAAGGGAATAAGCCAACTCCACTGATTTTGAGTTTGCTATTGATCGATCAGCTATGGGAGTTTAAAGAAAACAAAAATTGTTAAACGAAAAAGATAAGTTGATAACTGCTTTCCATGAGGGTGGACACACTGTTACAAATCTATTGACAGATGGCGCTCCTATTCTCCATAAAGTTACTATTCTACCAAGAGGAGAGTAATTGGGTTATGTAAGATTAAATTAATATTTAATTTTAGACATCAATGATTCCTGAATTTGATATAACGACATAAACAAGAAAAAATATCTTAGCCTAGATTGATGTGGCAATGGGTGGAAGAGCTGCTGAAGATTTATTTTTGGGAAAGGATGAAATCACAAGTGGATGTAGTTAAGATTTGGCTTAGGCCACTAATCTTGCTTATTAATACGTGAAGTAACTTGGAATGAATGAAAATTCATTGTTGATTTCAATCGATTAGAGCAGTGAGAATAGGACAAGCACTTAATTCGATTACTTGGTAGACATGTAGGTTAAGAAAGTGTTAGATGTAATATTAGCATTAATCATTTAGGATTCTTATGCCCGAGTTAAAAGGTTACTAATTGATAATGAAGATATGCTATAAAAAGTTGCTTTCGAATTGTTATAAAAAGAAACTCTCTCTGCCCAAGAAATTAAAAAATTATTGAATATTTTTTGATTAAATAATATTTACAATTATGAGTCGGGCTTTAGTTTTAAGTAAAAACTATTTAAGCAAGAAATTTAAAATAAAATAGCCAAACGAACTCTATAGGGAACTACTTAAGAATGTACAGTTATTTCAAGTTGATGAATTACAAAAAATTTCAACTGACGAATTAATTCATTATATCATATTTCTTGGAACACATCCTGAACGTAGAAATCAGGGAGAAAATGTTAAGAAAATTACCTTAGAATGTCTCAAATAATACAAAAAAAAAATGGTTAAGAATTCATACGAAATTAATTCATAAATACTTTTATCTCTCAGCAATGTTTTGTTGTATGATGAGTAGATGATACAAGAAATAATTAACTAAGTGGATTAAGACAAGGAAACACTTTCAGTCAAGGATTTGATTAAGTTTCAGCATTGTCTCTACAAACTGAATATACATAATGAAAAGTTAAGTGATTTCGTTCTACAGAATTTTATTAAATAAAAAGAGTAAGTGGATTATTTAGAATATATTCATGATCTACATATTAGATCAAATCTTTTCAGAATGGGTTTTGTTGATGAACAAATCGTTTTAACTTTGTTGAAAGGATTCTAAGCGAAATTAAATTCATCTTAAAATTCTTAATACACCTCAAAATCATGCTTCTAATATTGTTAACTAATGTATAATTTGTATCCAGAGATAATTGATAAACCATTGTTAGAGTTATAACCAGATCATGGCAATGTTTTTGCTCCACAATTTAATGATATGTTGCAGGACTATATAATTAGTAAAAAACTTGTGGATCGCAAAAGGTTTTTTTAATCCTTTGAATATTACCTCAATTTTTAGAACCTAAATATATGGAATATCAAAGAAGATGCTATATACAGGAATTTAACCAAACTTGAATAAGATGTTTAAGATTTACTGAATAAATTAAGTTATAAAAATGCAAGGGCTCATCGAGTTTTGATTTATGATGTAGATTACTTAGTTAATGAGGATATCATTTTAACTTGCAATGACCCTGTTCATTTTGTTGAAGATTTCAATGGAAAGATCTTAACGATAAATCCAAATCATATCATGTAAAGCAGGTATGCATTTATTAATAAGTAGAGGCATTTGAGTGCAACAAACAAATACAAGGTTTTTGATATAAATTTTCATGAGTGGATACATTTGACAGAGGAACAAAAGATTGATAAACTGAAATCCTTTATAGATTGATATAACATTAAATCTGTATTTTTAAAACGATACAAAAATAGCAATAAATCTTTAATCATTTACTCTATTTGAACATAAAAACTCAAATATCATTTTACTTTTGAACGACAATAACAACACCAGTGTTTAGATGGTGAATTGTAGATATTCATATTTACATTTTTATATCTTATTAAACAGTTATCTCAATCTAAAAAAAATACTTTTAACAATTAAATTAAATGTTTAACATTTATTTATGTATTCTATTAAAATCTCTAAACCCAAGTTGGAACTTTTAGAATCAATAATTACATTGTAATTTGACTGTAATAATTCTATGCTTTTATAAATAATTTTGGATAAAAAGATAATTAAAAATTTTAAACAATGATGGTTCAATAATTTATTTTTATTTATTAATTTGAATGGCTGAACATGAACATGAATTTGAAGGCGGTGAAGAAGAATTAGAGGCTCCCAAGGATTCTTTATGGAGAGATGAACATGCTATGGAGAAATCTGCAAACATAGTCTATTTTCTAACTCTTGGAATTGTTTCAGGGCTGATTTTGCGAGAAATCAATAAAAAAACAAAGTAAAGTAAAATTGTATTGAGTAGATTTCCTTATTCCCCTATGATATTATCATTAGGCATATTAATAGGATTGCTTTAGAAGAGTTTAGGTTATATAGGTGAGAGTGCAAGTATTTTGTCAAAAATGCATCCTCATTTGATTGTTTTTGTTTTTGTTCCAGTTTTGCTTTTTGAGTCAGCATTTAATTGTGATTGGTATACTTTTAAGTATCAGATGGTGAATATTCTATTGTTAGCAGGTCCAGGATGTGGTTGGGTATGATTTAATCTAAAATTAGGGAGCAATTCTTTTGGGAGCAATATTTAAATTAGTTTTATAATATGATGATAATGATATGACATGGTATTAAGCGTTTACGCTTGGATCAGTATTGTCAGCAACAGATCCAGTGGCTGTGGTAGCATTACTTAAAGAATTGGGTGCAAGTTTAGCATTCAATCACTTAATTGAAGGGTATTAAATTACTATATTCAAGAGAAGCTTTGCTTAATGATGGTGTTGCAATGGTGTTTTTCATCTTCTTTAATAAATTTTCAAAAGCTCAAAGTGGAAAAGGAGAGGCTGTTACTGCAAGTTAAGTGGCCATCAATTTCATAAGAAACTCTCTTGTAGGGCCAGTACTAGGTTTGGTCTTAGGTATATTGGCAGCATTATGGACAAAGAGAATTTTGGGAGATGATATCGAAGTTACTTGGTTAACCTTTGTTTTTACTTATCTAACATTTTATTGGGCTGAATTTTGCTTTTTTAAAACAAGTGGTTTGTTGGCAGTGGTAGGATTAGGATTGTTTTGGAGTGCATTTGGTAAAACTAGGATTAGATCTTCTGTTGAGCATTCAGTCCATACTGTTTGGGGATTCGTCTAATACTCTTGTGATACATTAGTATTTGTATTGGTTGGAATCATTGTTGGAACATAAGTGATTGAAGAAACATTTATTCATAAATCTGATTACATTAGAATGATTGTGTTTTACTTTTTTATGATTTTGGCTAGATTCATTATGATTCTAACATTTTGGCCATTTTTAAGATGTTTTGGTTATCCAATCTCTAAGCCAGAATTCATTGTTTTAGTTTATGGTGGTTTAAGAGGTGCACTTGGTTTGACACTTTCACTTATGGTTGGTTGTGATGAAGAGTTACCTGCAAGGTTTAGACATTTATCAGTGTTTTATGCTGCAGGAATGGCTGCAATAACTAACTTAGTTAACGGTACAACTTGCAAAGCTCTTGTATAATATTTGGAAATGATTGAAAATCCAGTAGTGAAAAAGAAAGTTTATAAGAAATATTTAGAAGAACTGATAGTGAATTCTTAGGATAAAATGAGAGAATTAGAATCAGATCAATTTTATAGTATGGCTGATTGGAATTAAGTGAATTAACTAATTGGATAACCTAAATTTATAGAGAAAATTGAAAAATTAGAGACAGAGATTAAATATATGGTTGGAAATAATAAAGTTGCAGCCAATTCATCAAATTTATATGAAGGGTTGACTGATTAGGAAATCTTTGGAGAAGTAAGATATAGAATCTATAGAATTCTAAAAGGATTGTATTATGATAAATTTGAATATGGATTATGTGAAGAAGATACTGTTAGATTGCTCGTAGAATCTAGTGATATTGGATTGGATCACACAAAGTCTATCCTAAATATTTGGGATTAATTATACAAGAATTTCCTTAATTTTAGCAGTGTCAATTTCTTTTTTAAAGTTAAAGAAATCCCTTTGGTAGGTTCATTTGCTAAAGAGTACATGATTAAGCATTTAGGTTTTGTCTATGATGTTACTACTACATTTTTATCATGTGCAGGTGAAGTTTTGCACTTAACAGAGAGTTTTCCAATGGGCAAGGATGCTGTGAGACTTGTAATGGAAGAAATGACAAGAGAAATTGATAAGGCTGAAGGTTATTTGGGTATATTGAATGATACATTCCCAGAGATTGTTAGAGCCATTTAAACAAAGAGAGCATCTCATTCAATTCTAACTCATCAAAGACATTATCTTGATGACACTCAATAAAATGGTCTTGTCGATGAAAAGGAATATTAATTGTTAAAGAAGGAAATTAATAATAGATTAGTTGATTTAGAGAATCATTAATTTGAAATGGTTTTACCTTCATTTCATGTTTTAGCTATGGAATTCCCAATATTCTCAGGACTTGTATCAACTGATTTGGATAACATAATCAAAAGTTCTTATGAAAAACGATTTGCATGTGACGAAATAATATATGAGTAAGGAATGACATGTCAAAATATATTCATTATCAGTAAAGGTAATGTCGTTGATGAATTTGAGGGAGGCTCAATTAAAAAAGGGCTTGGATCTCTGATTACTTACACTAATTTAATTGGGGATGGTACTTGCATGAGTACAGCTAAGGCTACTGCTGATTCCTTGCTTTATTCATTAAATTTAAAGATTCTTAGAGATCTCATGCAAAAGAATCCAGAATTCGAATTTAAAATTTATATCAATTCTATAGGTAATTCTTATTTTTATACTAGAATACTTAAGAAAGATGTTTGAAAGTTAAGCAGGTCCTTTGGTCAATTTGGAAATTAAAAGATTAATGGACTTTTTCAGAACAAAAAGCAAGTTAAAGAAATTAACTTAGAATCAAAAATGTGATTTTATTTTTGGAGGTTACTTATTCAGAGGAGAACTGAAAGATATAAATAACAAAGTTTATCCATAATATTCGTATGTTTAATTGTAAATTTTGTTAGGTATATTCCACCTTAAGAAACTGAATGTCTTGCTACTAAAGATGGGGTTTGCTTGATTTTTGATGATCAAGTGGATTCATTAAATACTTAAATGCTGAAACAGTTAGATTTAGATCCTCATAAGGATTAATAGATTTAAGAGAGATATTCCTAAATCAAGCGTACTTCTTTACAAGAGAAAAAAAAACATCATTGAAATTGTTTCATTGATATGTATAAATTACAGGAGAGTTTCAATTCACATCTCTATATTTTTATTCTTAAAATCATGGAAGCTTACAAAAAACTTATTTTATTATTTATATATATATAAATTAATGTAAAGTGTAACCTCTATAGAAGTCCCCACAAATTTGCTGAAAATGCCAATAATTAAGAATAAGGATATTATGGAGAAAAAATGTATTTGTTTAAATTAGTGAATAAGATGAATATGATAAAGTTGGAAAGAATTAAAATGTTATTGTTGAACCTGCAGTAGTTAAATTTTGTGGTTTTGAAATTGGCAAACTAAACGAGATTAAAGTGAAAGTTATCAATAAAAATAAACAACCTCAAAGGATCTATGTGTTTCCACCGAAATCAGAAATATTTAATGTCAAATTTGATAAAAAAGGTGCTATTCCCAGTGGAATGGCAGAAGAGCTTTATGTTTAATTCAAACCTCAAGAATATAAATACTTTTATGATGTTATCAGAATCAACACTCAAGACGATACTTTGCTTATACCTATACATGCTTATCCTGCCCTCAGTCGAGATGGATTAAGAGAATTATTTCCTCGTCTAATTGACTTTGGCACTTTGGATATTGGTGAGTCATAAACATATGTAAAAACACTATTATTATAATAGAGCTATCCGATTTAAAGTAAAGTACCCCTGAATTTTGAGTTTGAATTCAGCATTACAAAAGATTGTCAAGACATTAAAATTGACCCAATCAAAGGAATTGTACCAGGCAAAGGAGCAATTGATATTTCCATTACTTATTGTCCATAAGTGAATGTCACAGAAATTATGGAAGTGGAAGTAATTACCTCCTAATAAATTTTAGCTTAAAATTGCCTAATTTGATTTTGAACCCTTGTGTATCAAAATTATGGGATCTGGCAGGTTCCCTGAAAACAAAAAAACAATGAGACCTAGTTCAACCAAAAAATTAAAATCTATTACCAATTCCTCTAGAGCTAAGCTCATATAGAATGCATAAGAGATTCCTGTTGGAGAAAGTCCGAAACCTGGAGAAGCAGAATAGGTTGAAAATCAAATATAAGAACGATCAAAAACCTTGAAAATGACCAAGAGCAATAAATTAAAAAGATCTCTTTCTCAATAACAAGAGTCCACTGAAAACATGGGAAATGATAAATTAAAAGGCAGACAAGTAAAGTATTAAATAACAAAAGTTATTAGAAAAATCATATTTAGATCATTTTAATCAAATCCAAAGTTTGGATAAGGAAAAAGAAATGAGATTTTTTTAATGTGTTGGAGATCCACCAATAACTGAAACTCAAGTAGAGGACATTCTACTAGAGAGACAATAATATCTTAATAACTATTTAGATGATGTTCAAGCCAAAGGAACAACAAGATATAAATTATAGATTAATGCTGATAGCACTGTTGTTGATTATATTCTCCCTGAAAATTAATTGAGTTGGGATTTAGATAAGAATGACACTATGAAAATCAAAAAGCTTGTAAAACTTAATAAAAAATTGTTTAGAACTTGAGAAAATTTGTATGTGCTGCCAGCAGAATTATCTATAAATTAAGAATGGAAAAAAGATTGTAAAAATTAAAGGCATTTTTAAAAGGAGCAACAACAAGAGCAGAAGTCAAATAACTGGTGAATTTGGATTGTCAAAAGGCAGAGCATTCAGGTGTTGGTAAAAAAGATTTTGTATGAATATTAATTAATTATTTAGGTTAAATTCACCTTTGAATTCAACTCAGATAATCTTGGAGTATTGAAATTACCAGTTCAATATTCAGAATCAAATACAAACTCATCATTTAAATATACCATCACACCATAAACTGGTTTTGATGATCTAGCTCCTTTTGATGAGTTGCCAAGTGATGATTGTGAAATTATGTAATATAAGGTATGGGAGCCTCCTTAAATTGTGTATCACCCACCTGTAATTGATAAACCTTTAAGGGATGGGGCAGAAGAGGAAAAATCCCTCAGAGGTATAATGGGTCCAGTCACTTAAATACTTCAAACTTAAAATGATAATATTGTCAGGAACATATATTCTAAACCTCCTGAAGTGGAAAGTTATCAAATACTTAAAGCAAATAAGACTTTAAGATTATATCAATAATTTAATGATGGCACTCCTTTGAATACATTCTATCCTCTTATGTTTAGTAAAGTGAATGGGATCGGGGCTGATCTGGATCCTGATATTGCTTAAAATCATTAGGTTTTAAAGCAGGAATTCATCAATAGAACACCAGGCTACCAAAATCTCAATTTATTGTACGAACTTCCTTTGGATCAATTCTTTTATTAGGAAAAGAATATGCAATTGGCTTATGATTATGGTTTCGATGAATAAATAGAATTTTATTGTCCAACAATAATGGCAGAAAAGGAATTGGATGATCATATGACAGATGATGATAGTGATGAAGATAAGCCTCCTCAAATAAATGTGATAGATTAGAATGACTGGCTTACTAAACTTGAATAAGATGATAAAACTATAACTAATTTGAGACAATCAGAAATTATTGACTCTTTTGAGCAACTTAAAGAAAAATTAGATTCAAATTTAACGTAAATATATTGATTAATATATATATAGTTTGGAAAAGAATAAATGGATTTCAACAGTTCCTTCAAAAACTAATGACTTTAATAAGTTTATTGTTAGAAATGAAAATAAAATGGTCATATTGTGATTTATAATATTTCCAACATACATTTATATAATAAAAATTCAAAACTATTAAGGAATTGATAATCCACTTTCTTGTATACAATCATTTTTATCATGTATACCATTATCCAACTGATCTATAGAGAGTGATAAGAATGTTTTAATGATTTTTATGAATATTAATTATTATGCTTGACTTTGAAGAAGATTTTTATAAATTTGTTAAAGCTTAATTAGAAAAAAAAAAGGGGATCAAGTAGATTGGGACAGAAGAATCTTATGATGATGAGGATACACTAAAGAGTAATTTAAAATATCTTATAAAGAAAATAGGCTAGTAAGTTAGAATATCAATAAAGTTCTATAAAATGAGAGAAAAAAGATGAAAATCAGCAAAATATCAAAGGAGCAGCATTTTGAGAATAAAATGAAGGATTTTGCCAACATGGATACATTTATTGATGTTAAACAGTTTCTCAAGAGTCTTAATGATTAATAAAGGAAAAAAACATCGAAAAAGGTGTTTAAGTCATTCAAACGTAGTCCTTCAGATAGCGATAATGATGATTTATTTGATTATGCAGAAATTGTTTCGAAAAGTAAAAAGTACATTGCAAAAACATAAAAGTACAGGACTAAACCAAATATCTCTGGATACCTTCAATTTGACGATAATGCTCATTAGAAAACCGAGGAAATAGAGGAGGGTAAATCAACAAATCAAAAATTTTATACTGGAATAGATAAATTAATTACGGATATAAATCAAAAAAATGCTTAATCTGAAATGGACAAATAATATGAAAAAGAGAAGAAAAGACATCGCGATTCGATAAATTCTGAATAATAAATACCACAAGCTCTTCATTTGGATTTTGGGAAGGATGAACTAACTATTAAACAAGGAAAGAAATTCAAAGAATAATCCCAAAAGGTTTTATAGCTACTTGAGAAAACAACCAAAATGCTATATAAAAATAGAATACCCTAACCTCCAAATCCGAAAGTCTTAAAGCAATAATAATAACAATTAAAAGAATTACAACAACATCCATCTTCTGTTGAGAATAGAAGTTCTAAATAAATCCTTATTAAGAGTCGCAGTATTAGTAAAGATATCAAATTGCCAACTATAAATGGGCCTACTTAAGGAGGTCCAAATGGAAAAAGAATAGGTCCTTTGCATCATTTCAGTCATGGAACTTTACCAGAAATCAAACCAGGATCCTTTGTGTCGCTTCGAGATGATAGAAGATTAGAAGATTTACATTACTTTAAAAGTTAAAATGTTATAAGTAAATAAAATCATCCATCTAACAATTTCAGTCATCACAGTCTAAGCTTAGATGTAAAGAATTAGATTGGCGATTTTATTACCTAAGTATAATTTTCATTTTATGATTTTAGTTAGAAAATGCTTAGGAATAATTCTCGAAAATGTACCCTTCAGATTCTTAATTATAAAAAATTTAGAATAACATGACTAAAAAGATGAATACAATTGGAAAAGCTCCTTTGGAAAGTTTGAAATACTTAACCAGAAGAAAATTCAATGTTTCTAAAAAATTTGAAACCAAAAGCAAAAAAAATAAAGCCCTGCAAATGTTTTGAGCAAAAAGTGATTATATCTAAGGTCAAGATTATTTTTTAGTTTTATTGTCTAATAGTGAACTTAAAAAATTATTCTGTTTAATACTTATACCTATCATAGATCAATAATTTAAAATTATTTCTAATTGATTAAATTATTGAAAATGTCATCTATACTAAATAAATTTAGAAAGCAACCTCAAAATGATACGCCTGCAGGAATAAAAATAGAGAATACCTTATTTGGATAGTAAAACGGAACTTATCAACCTCCCCTAATACCAGTTGTTTAATTACCTCAAACTACTTAGCCAAGATAAAAAGGAAGGCCAGGAGGAGGTTAAAAATTATATTAGCTTTAGGCTGGGATGATGAAGAGCCATAATAATAATAACAATAAATATTGTCAAGCAAGCAAACTAATAATCTTAATCTAATTAATGATACACCACCTAAGTAAAATGAAAATAAAGCGAATATTGATGTACTACTGCCACCTTAATCCTATAATAACAATATTTAATTAAGCAGAGTGACAGAATATAAAAAAGGATAACTATTAAACTACGAAGAATTAGAAATTGGAGGATTGTACTTCTATTCTATATTATTTTAGTGAATTCGAATTCCATCAGGTAGAAGAAGCAACTAAATTAGGTGGTATTAAATTGAAATAAAGTGATTCTGTTCTTAAGGAATTTGCAAGAGCTTGCTAAACTTTATAAGAATAGTTGATAGGTAGCATACTATTGAATAAGCTCTATAGTGAAGAAAATTGGAAAGTCTAGATTGTAAACAATTGATATCTATTCTTTAGAGATGCATATATGCGATTCAATTTATAAGCTAGCAATATCAAAATTATAGAGAATTCTTTTAAATTAATTAGAATTATCTAAAGATTGATACAGATTAATAAATATTATAATCTGCAATTGAGTAAACTCTATTAGAGATTAACGGATAACAATCATAAAAATAAAAGGTAATATCAATTTTAATTCGTTAAGGAATTTTAATTTGAGTTTCGTGAACCACCTAAGCAATAATAAAATATAGTATAACAATAACCAAATCTCATAGAAATAGGAAATAATGAAGTTTAACAAAAATAACCATAGCAATAAAAGCTTGATTTAAAATCTCTAAAAATAAAATAGCCATAAGCGCAATAGTAGCCTTAACAATAGTTATAATAATAATAGAATTAATAAAAAAATAAACAAATAGATTTATTAGAAGCATTTAGTGAAATATCAATATAAAATTATGATTAAAATCAAAATCAAAATCAAAACCAATACTAATAATAATAATAATAAAAATAATAATAATAATAACAGGGTATAAGCTTTGATGAAATATTAAATACTTAATCATAATCACAGCCAGGACAATAACCACAATAAAAAAAGAATGCTTTTGGATTTCTCAAAAAGGATCAACAATAATAAGCTTAATAACAGCAGCCTTAATAATAGAAGTAAGAATAAACACAATTAAACACGTTATTGTTATAAGACCCTCAATAATTATACCAATAATAAGGTGTAAATCCACGATAGGTTTAATATGGGCAACCATAGAATTTATATAACGTATAATAATAACCTGTGAGTGGTTAATTGAATTATTCCTAAGCTTTTGCACAATTTAACATGTAATAATAATAATACAACATCGTTTAACAGACCTAGTTTACATAAGAATAACCAAAATAAAAATAATAGCCTAACCCAAAAGATAATGCTTTTGATTTCCTAAATTTCTGATTGTTATATTAAATAATAAATAAATCAATATTATGTAAAAAAGCAATTCTTATCATATAAAGACGCCAAGAAAATTTCGACAGGATAATATTTTATCATAAGAATTATTGTAAAAATTAACTCAATCGAAGTTAGAAAATAAATAAGAAAATGGGTATTTTGATAAACATAAATAAATTTTTGGAGCCAAAAAAGTTAAACAAATTTCCAGGTCCATGGGAGGAGGATCTTAAAGTTATAGAGAAATAGTATAATAAAATTTGAATCTTTTCAATTTAAATAAGGAGGCTAAGGCAGAGGATATAAGTATAAGAAAGTCTAATGAAGAAATCAAAAGTACTTAAAAGAAATCATGCCATGTCAGTCATGTTAGTTAAATATGGACGAAAAGGAATAGAACAGATAGTAACTCCTTAACTCCAAGAAAAGTAGGAGTAAATGATTTTATTTTAAATGCAAGTGCTTTTTTAAAGGAAAAACAATTAGAAAATCAATTAGACAAGCTCACTTATCAAATCGTGTAACTTTAAAGTAAATCTGATTAATTAGAGATATAAAATAAAATGCTATTTGCAAATTTATAATAATATTAATAAGATACTCATAAAATGAAAGTAATATGAATTTTATAATTAGGATAGACATTCCCTTATTAAAAAATTAGATACAATGATAGTAATGTAATAACGCTAGGAAGAAAACTTAAATTACTTTAAATAGTTATTTAAGGATAAAAGTGATGAGAATAAGAAAACATAATAGTAAAATTCCTTCCCAAAACTTCGACCAGCAGGCTTATCGGCATACTTTGGTTTAAAAATTTGATTTAATTAATTTTTCGTCATTATATAAAGTTTCTATTTGAAAAAGATACTTAATTGAGATAAGATATAATTATTAAGTATAGTTATTTTATTGATAGACCAGAATAATGTTTCTTATAGTACCTGCAATCTTCAATTGTTGTAAGGATTGTAGTAATCTTTTTTTTTAGTCAAATTAATAACAAAAAAGAAAAGCAATATCTAAATATTAAGATAGTGTTGAGTTGAGTTCCTTTCTCTTTTATTATTTGTACAGTATAATTTGAACAAATAATCCGAACAGAAAAAATTTACGCAAAAAAAAAAGCACAAAAAGATTATTAACTATCACCTTTAAGCATAAGTTCAGATATGGAGTATTTGGAAATATGATAAAACATTAATAAAGATCTATTATAAAAATCTATTTACAATGGCCTGATTTTTAGAGATTTGTCATGAATTTACTATTCTTTTTAATATGATTAATTAGTGGATAATTATTTTTAAACTTAATTTGCATTTTTTGCATAAAAATCATAATTAATCAATTAAATTAATGAGATACTGAATTGTAAGTGGAAATAACATTACACAAGAAAATCAGCAAAGATTTCTCATTTACCAAAAATTAAACTTATTGATTATATATTTGAAAAAGTATAGCCGAAAACTTAGAGAGAAGAAAAAGACTATATATTGAAGATAATGATAAAGGATGTATTATTAAGCATAATATTTGAATAGTGGATTAAGCAAGAATAAAGTAAAATAATTAACCCCAAGCTAAATTTAGATCAGTTTCAGTTATTCCTGTCCATCAGAAATGTCATATGAAATATGAAGAGGATCGAATTACTATTTGCAATGATTGTTGAAAACTTTATTGATTGGAATGAAGTGAAAGGAAGGTAACAAAGAGATTAGATAGGAACTATAGATGATCCTAAAAGATTTTAGAACTTATATGAAAAATTCAACTAGGAAATTGAAGCTAATGCACATCATGGGGCTTTTATTAGTTTTAGTTAATTTTTGAATGAAAAAGAGAAAAACTTTGAAAGATGGATTTATACTAATCACATTTCTTATTTATATAGATTATTTAATTTAGATCTTCTCAAATACTTGAATTTTGTTGAAGATTAAATATCATATCAGGTTTTACATTATTCTAAACCTAAAATTAAATAAATTGCTTGATTTCATATATATATTAAATTTGAAAAGTAAGGTTAAAGCTTAATCAATCCTGATTAAATATTTCTAATTAAATAATATAGAAGAAATTCATTTTTATTTTTATGATTATGCTTATTCAGAATGGAGTTTTTCATAATATTTGATTTTCTCAATACAAACAGTATTTAAATTGCATAATTGCTAGACTTAGTATTGCAAATCAGCATTTTCAATTGTCTTTTCTTCTAATTAGATTTATAGCTATTTGTATTGACTACCTAAAAATTAATATTAAGCTTCAACAATCTATAAATCTTATTTTACTTTAATTAATTCGTTTTCCAGCTATGCATTTTCAACCTTGATTTTTCTTTTTTCTTGGCTTTCATTTTGGCTCAAGGCTCTTGAGGTCATAGACTTTTTGTTATAGTTGTTTGTGTACATCTATATCGCTATCGGGATTAACAAAGTTCAATGAATTGATCAACAAGGTGAATTCAACAAAAGCTTTAGTGTCAGGACATTAAATTAGATTTAAAGTATATTCCTTCTATCTCATATTTAGATTGAGAGCAACAGACAAATCAAATTATACAAAGCCGGCAATCTTTTTACTCTTTCCATCACTTAAGACTATACTAAGTTTTCTCTTATATACAATAATGTCTTCAAACTTACAATTTTTTCTTCATATTTGAGATTAACTTTAGTAACTATGCATTTCACCTCCATGTATTATTCATATTAATGATTAATCTTCATGTATTTAAGCAATGACACATTTTTATCTAGACTTTTAATTTCAATGTTGAAGTCGATATTCGCATTTAATGACAATTGCAGCTTCTTGAAAATGATTGTATATGTTAATATTTATTTCATTATGATATTATAAATATTTTATATATTATAAGTGTCAAATATGAAAACTCTCTCCACAACCACATTGCCCTTTTTGATTTGGATTCTTAAATACAAACTCACTTTTAATGTCATCCTCTACATAATCCATTTCAGTTCCTACAAGCACCATTACAGCCTTAGAATCAACGATGACTTTCACACCTAAAGTATTTATTAAAAATGACCTTTGGATTCAACCACCTCATCTAGTTTCTCTGGTTCAGAACAATAGTTCATTGTGTAAGATAATCCGTTACAACCACGTTTTCTTACTCCTATTTTAACTGCATCAATAGCTGGATTATTCTATAACTTCATAAGTTAAGTCAGTCTCTCGGCTGCTTTATCACTCTATAATTAGAATAAGAATACTATTGTAATAAGATTTCTTTTTGCCCTTAGCTTTGATATAGTACTCATATAAAATTTAATCATTAAATTATATAATGTTGATATATTATATAGATCATATAGTATTTAATAAATGTTCGATAGTTGATTCCTAATATAAATTGGTTTTAAATTTCGACAAATTCTTCGAGGGGATATCCTATTCCTACATCAATTCAAGCAAGTAAGTAGTCAGATATTGTAATTCCCTATCTGAACTATTGTCATAAAATGGAATGATTGGAATACCATTTTCAATTTAAAAGCAAAAAGAGTAAGAGGCGTTGTCAACTAAGACAAGATCTTTGAGATTTCTATTTCCCAACACTCTAAGATCCTTGATGTGGAGACCATCATCTACAACAACACAGCTTTCCCTAAAAAATCGATGATGGATCCATTTTTTGTCTGGATCTATGTAGTTGATGACTTTCTGAGCATAACATTCATGTGAGGCAGTAAACACAATTATTTCATACTTTTGACTCAGCATGGCTAGCATTTCCCTACAATATGGTCTGAGGTTGATTCCAGCTTGAACTGTTTCTCCAGTAGGAAATTTGATGGTTAAAACGGTATCTGATGGATCATCGTTGGATTCTTAACAATGAATTAAGGTTTCATCTAAATCAAAAACGATAGTTTTTTTGACTACATAAATTTAAGTAATTACATTTATTTTCTGGTAAGTTAACAATTTTATTAGCAATTGCATTTAAAGATGGTTTAACAATATCTTTGCAATACTGAAGTGCATGATAACTTTGCTAAAAATGATCTTAGTAAATGTCTAAAAAGTATTAATTAGTTTTTTGGTTAAATAGTTATTTTATCTCATTCTTAGTTAATTTGTTGTGAAAGTATCTTAGGAAACTCATATAGTATTCAAAGTCATTATAAGGGGATTGAGGTCCTAAGCTTTGTTTAGGCATTAATTTTCGATCTGGAGAGACACTCCTCATTCTCATTTTAGTATCTCTACTCATCGTAGGAGTAGGTGTAAAAAGATTTTCTTTTGTGGCTCTCCTGATAGGACTGTTCATCCTTTTTCGATCCTACTGCTTTTTAGGTATGATATTAGCACCCTTGGATAGTCGCATCACATATTTGGATAATGGAGCTGAGGGTTGAGGAGGTATGAATGGAGTCGTACTTTTTGCCTCAGAAGTATTTTAATCTTATTCTGAAAGTGCAAATACAGTAACTTATTTAGGAATTTCAATGTCAGGAATAGTTTATTGTGACTCTTCTTTTTCTTTTGGCACTTCTTTTTATCCTGAACTGTTGATTCGTTAGCGTTCTTATGGTTTATTTTACATTGTTCGTTGTATTAGAGTTAGTTTCTTTTATTGCTATGGTTATTATTTTTTATCGCTGTCAAGAGTGCGAGTTGATTTTGGAGGTTCAGGCAATGACAATTTAGGATCACATCGTTGGATATTTTTTTATTAGACTATTGTAGTTTTGGCAGACGGGATTCGTTTTTAAGACGATTTAGGTCTTGAATTGACCAATGCTTGTAGCAACGAAGTCGTAGATTACGTTTACTAAATATTCGCAACAGAGCCGTTGTTTCTAAGCATAATTTTAATTATGAATTAAAAAATCAAACTAAATTTATTATGAATGATTATAACCTCTTTATATATGGTCACAAAGGAATCGGGTTCCCCCTTTCAGATTAATAAATGATATGTGGAATATGATTTTATACTTTGATTATATACTACACAACCTTAATTAAAAAATAATAAATAATGAGAAGTTTAAGCAAGATCTTATTTAGACGTCCTCAACTTTGGGTGTCACGAGTCGCCCCTGCATTGGGTTAAAAGTCTATGTTTAAATACAGTGCGCGTATAAATTGTACAAATTTTTAGATTCAAACAATTTCTAAAATGGCAAGCTCAAAACCATACCCTTACAGAATTACAAGGCAAATTAGAGTGAAATAGATTCTAAAGTAGAGCCCACTGACTTCTGCCTTTTCAGTTCGATTCAACCAATCTTTCCCAATAATCCTATGAATTGTCAGATCAAAATTGGAAATTTGAAACGAATCACTAAACCACTCCTCTACTCAATTATTTCCCCTGACAACGGAGAGATCTTTACTATAGGCATAGCTTTAAATAAATCTGTGGAGAAGAATTTAAATGCCGAATTAAAATTTTTAGAATAAGGAAAAGAAAATGGAAACCTTTTAATAAATGATCCAATAAGCAACACATTTAATTTAGATATAATATCAAAACAAGTATGAGACTAAAATATTTAGAAAAATTATCGATTCAAAATCACCAAGATAGAAATGACACCCGATGGAATATTTGCCCAAGGAATACCATATAAAGATCGACCATTAACATAAGCAGAATAAATAATCGATATCCAACATGAAATTCGAATGGTGAATTCACTTGTACAATAAATAAGAAAGCTAGCCTAATATGATAGGGTTGAAGTATTTTCAGAAGTTAAATATTCCTTATTGGATTCTAGTGAAAAACTCACTCCCAATTAGGTTGATGAATTAGTATTCTAAATCGCTGCAGGTCTCTCTAAATTACTAACCAGCAATTTGAAAATGAACACATCCAATTTTGTTTAATAATTATTGGAGAGTTAAACTTATATTGACAGACTCTTTATTCTAAGAAAACAATTAGAGAATATGTCAGGAGTACTTGATCTAGTGAATAAGCATTTCAAAGAAGCAGACTCCTCACTATTGAAATTGCATCAATAAACTTTAGCTAAATTAGCAACAGAATACATTAGATAAAATTATTTGAAGGATGCCAGTCAATCTTAATAATATGGAGGAACTGCTGGAACTCAATAATTTAGTGGAGATAAGGTACATGTTTCTACAATTAATTTAAAGTAATCTTCATTAGTTAAAAAGTACTACGATAAATTATCATTAATTACTGATGAATCCTCAAGAGAAAAAGTTAAACGTGAGATTGAAAGATTCAGTTTATTGGACAAATAGAGTTCAGAATTTCATAAAATTAATTCTTATTTGGATGAAGTTTTTAGCATTCCATTTCATAAGTTTTCTGTAATTTTATTTAATTTATATAGCCTGTTCAATGGGATATCCAGTTTGCAAAGGATGTACTTGATAAAGAAATCGAAGGTTTAGAGAAAGTCAAGGAGAGAATAGTTGAAATGATATCAGTTAATAAATTAAAAAACGCAGGTGAAAAGGCCAAGGGATTTATCCTTCTGTTAAATGGTCCCCCAGGAACTGGAAAAACTTCAATAGCCAAGAGCATAGCCAAAGCCCTTAAGAGAACTTCAAGATTCATTTCTTGTGCTGGAGTTGCAGACCCCACATTCTTTAAAGGGCATAAGCGTACTTATGTAGACTCAATGCCTGGTGTATTTATTAGAGAACTAATCAAATCAAATACTATGAATCCTGTATTCATACTAGATGAATTGGATAAGGTATCTAAACATCACTCTGGTGGTGCCGATCCTTATTATACCTTATTGGAAATATTGAATCCTGAGGAGAATCATAATTTCACTGATCATTACATGGATATCAGTGTAGATTTTTCACATGTTATTTTTATTCTCACATCTAATGATACACTTTAAATGTTAGAGCCACTTAAAAACAGATTAGAAACTATTGATATCTAGGCCTATATTCAAGAAGAGAAATTATAGATAGCAACCAATTTCTTGGTTAAGAAAAGTATTGAAACTAATGGAATCGAAGCTTAAATGATTAAATATGATGAATAGGCTTTGACTAAAATAATTAAGGCTTGGTGCTACTAAGAAAGTGGAGTCAGAGAATTGAAAAGATGCTTAGAAAAAATAGCTAGAAAACATGCTACTAATATATTAGCTGCTAATCCTAATCTTTGTGATAAAGTTGATGAATTGAATCAAATTGCATTTGATCCTACGACTTAAAGTTTAGACTTGACTAAAGATTAAAACTTAGAATTGATATCTTAATATTTAGGTCCACCTGCTTTTGATATTCAATTAGAACAGAGATCCATTAAGAAATTTCCACCAGGACAAGTCAACATTCTGACAGTAGGTGGAATGATTGGACATGTCTTAACTGTTGAAAGTTGTTTTGATTTAAGTGAAACAGAAAAGAAAGGATAAATCTAAGCTTCGGGAAATATCAAATTAGTTTTATAAGAGTCTCTTAAACTAGCTAAAATAAATGCATTTAAATTTTTGAATGAAGAATAGAAAAAGAAATTGTAGAATTCTGCAATTCATATGCATTTCACAGAAGGAGCTACTCCAAAGGATGGACCATCTGCAGGAACAGCTATTACAACAGCTTTGCTAAGTTTAGTTATGAACGTTGTTGTGCCTAGTAACTTAGGAATGACTGGAGAAATATCATTAAATGGATAAGTTTGCAAAATAGGTATTGATGATGTTAATTATATAGGTGGATTATAACAAAAATTGATTGCTGCAAAAACCTTAGACATCGTTGATATCATACTTCCATATGCTAACTTAGGAGATGCATTAAATTTACCACAGCAACTTATCAAAGGTCTAAATTTATATTTTGTTACCGATTACAGACAGATTTACGAATTGATATTTGAACAACAGATAGCTAATAACAATTATACAATTAATAAAATAAAAAATGGAGTATTTGAAACTGATTAAAATGGAACTAAAGAGCAAATTTAATGTACAATAAATTATTGAATAAATAACTGAATTATTATTAGTGTTATTAATAAATTTCTAAATAAGCAGATCTTTTTATTAAATTAGAAATTCTAAAAATATAGTATATTTTCAAAATATCTATAGGAAGTCTCCAGGTGTTGCATATCTCAGTTTATCACCATCTTCAATAAACACTACCTCATGTCTTTCAACAATCCTTTCTAATTAATTTTAATCTAATGTATTAGGAACAACAACAAAGTCTTTTGATTGTACCTTTTTAGCCAAATCTCTCTAAAAATAATACAAATAAGAAATTACATTGTTTAATTTTTTATCGACCATACCAGCCAACAATTTTTTCTAAAATACAACTGAGAATAATTTGCCATCTTTTTGTAAAGGTACAGCAGGATATGTTCTTAAGTAATCCAAACATTCCCCTATGGAGGTTGTCTCGACATTCAATAAAATGATCTCTGAAAGATTAAGTTCAGATATTGGTTTTCCAGCTAAAGGGTGATCTGGTTCTTTCAATTCATCATAAGATATCAATCTATTTTCAATCATCCAAGTCTTATTTAAGTGCTTAGTCATGTAATTTCTAATATTGTCTGGTAATATTACTACAATCTAAAATGATAATTCGTAAATTTACCCTTTATTATTCAGTAAAATTTTGTGATTTTGCCCATTCAAGAGCTCCCCAAACATTAGCACCTGAAGAACCACCGCAAAGAAGACCTTCCTAAGCCATCAACTTACGAGCCATGTTTAAACTATCTTTGTCATTTGACTTCACCCAACAATCAACTTCAGTCTATGAAATATAAAATTAAAGTAATACTCTATCAAGTGCTTTGGGTATGAAATCATAACCAATGCCTTCAACCTTATAAGATTTGATATCTGTCTTATTGATCTCTGGAGGCAGTGCCAGATCTGACCCATAAGGATCAACAGCAACAACTCGGCATCCAGGTACTCTTTCATGAACCTTTCTACCTACTCCAGTGACTGTTCCTCCTGTGCCTGTAGACATTACAATTGCATCTAATTTATTGTCACATGCCCAGAGAATTTCTTCTGCTGTCCCTTCATAATGGGCTAAGGGATTTGATGGATTTGAATATTGATCTAAAAGTATAATATCAGGATTCTCTGCTGCCATCCTTTTAGCGACTTAGATTAGAGATTCGGGTTCATACCAAGCTGCTTCTGTTGGTGTCCTTATAACTTTGGCTCCAAGTCCTGTTAAAACATCCTACTTCTCCTAAGACATCTTTTCAGGCATTGTGATATAAAGAGGATATCCTTTAACAGCACAAGCCAAAGCCAAGCCTACTCCTGTGTTTCCTGAAGTGGCTTCGACTATAGACTTTCCTGGTCCAAGCCTTCCTTGCTTTTCTGCATCTACTATCATCCTCACTCCTATTCTATCTTTGATAGATCCAGCCACATTGACAAATTCACATTTCACCAACACCTCGCATTTCAAACCAAATTCTTTTGGAATTTTGTTTAAACGAATCATTGGCGTATGCCCAATTGCATCTAGGGCATCGTCATATATCTTCTTAAATGGTACAAATTTGCAATTTGAATGAGGAGTTGGTGCTTACTATTCTGCTAAACCTCTTTTGTAAGTGCATTGGATAGTGTCTTTGGAAGTGTCTTAAATCATTTTTAAAATAAGCCAATTTTAATCAAAGGGGGGAGGCTTTTATAAGTACGGGGTAGGATTAATATTACGAATTTAACAATCTAAATTCTAAAATTAACATGGTTTAAATAATTGTTATACTAACAGTATGGATTATTATTCATTAAATTAAAATTGTTACATCAATATTATAGGATTAATTTAATGTGTTATAATATTAATTTTCTGTTAAATAGATTTCTCATATAAATATTAATTATTATAAAATCAATACTTTACTATAAAACATTAATTAAAAAAGAAGATCATTCTAGTTGTTACAACTTTTACAATTCATTTTGTTCCTCATCTTCAACATCCATCCATGTTTCTTTCTCTAATTGATCCTTTAACTCTAAAGTAGCTGTCCAAATTTCCTAATTGTATTAATTATTAATATATACTTAATCTTCTTTAGCATCAGGTAATTAAAGAATTCCATTGACTATTTTTGAACTTTCCTCATATTTCTATGCCTTCCACAATGCAAAAGCAAGCATATATAAACTTTCTGGATCTTCAGCGTTTCTATCGACCAGCATTCTCAATATTTTAATTGCCTAATCAAATAATTCCACTTCCACCAATAATTTTCCAACTTGAAGTATAAAGTCTTCGTCATATTCTTCCATTTCATGTTCCAACTTTTCGTAGATAACTCTTAAGTCTTTCTTGGCAGCCTCTTCGTCTTCTTTATTGAGATGAAAATTAGCCAATTAGAGAAATGCATCTAAATTCAAAGGATCATATTTGAAAGCATTATTTATTGCATCGGTACAAGTTTATTCTGATTCTTTGAATTATAATAAATCAGTTTAATAAACTTCAGCTATGGCAGCAAAAGCATCTCCAATGTCCCTTTTAGAAGCGTTCCTCTGCAAAGCTAGCTAAATTCCATACTCGTATATCTAAATGGCTTATTTTCCTTATTGCGTCTGCGCATATTTAAATAACAATTTGTAACAATGTTCATAAGAACTAGTGAATTTAATTTGTGGACATACGTGATTAAATCTTGTTAATTCAAATATGGAGTGAGAGCCTGTTGTAATTCATCTACCAGACCCATTTATTCTAAGCAATCTGTATATTGATCTAAGGCTTCAATATTTTTATGGTTTCTTTTGAGGTACAACTAATATGCAGATTTCGCTTATTCGAGATGAAGAGCTTCATATAGATCGTTTGCAAACTGAAGAAGGGTCTCACTTTAATAATATGAAATGGCATACTTATCCATGGCTGTTACTTTATCCCAATCAATTGTGCTCTCTTCCATTTGAATCTTTTTTTAAATTAAATAAATTTTTTACAGGAAATTCTCTTTCTAATTAAAATTTGATTTTAAAATACAATAAAATAAAAAATTGAAAGCAAACTCAATTCTTTCTACGTCTATTATGCTTTTTCTTTTAAACCTTCTTCAAGTCTTCTTAATAAAAATCTTTGCGATTATTGATAATTTCTCCATCCTAGACAAGCAATGCATCCTGAGTTTAAAATGCTTAAGTCTTAAAAACCGGATGCTTAAGTCTAATGTTATCTATTTCAGTAGCCAAATTCATTGAATTATCCCAGTTGCCCTTAGAGAAATTGACTCTAGCCTCCTTCAATTACTGAGCAATTGCATCTAGGATACCCTTGTCAATAACATCAATCTCTTTTCCATCTACTTCCTTCTTTTCCTTCTATGCATTGATTAAATAGAATATCTCGTTGATTTCATTCTCACACTTCCTAGAATAATAAAGGTCCCAAGGTAATTGGGTTAATTCTTTTTGTGAATCCAAAACATTGATGATGATGATTCCTTAAGGGGTAAGTAATGTCCTAAGTTTACTAAGAAATTCAGCAGACAAGAACTATTTAGGTGGTGACAACTGATTGGCTTGGGATGCTAAAGTATAAGAAATAGAGATTACCATTAATGTCAACAATGATGGTGTCATATTGATGGCATTCTAGAGTTTAATCTACATAATCAAGTGCATCACAACATACTAAAGTCTCTGACTCTGTATTTTTGAAATCAAAGAATGTTTTTGCGATATTCACAATATCATCACTTAATTCGATATTAGTAACCTTGACTCCAAAATGTTAATTTATGAATCTACTCAATAGACCAACTCCACCTCCCAAAATAAGAACTTCCTTTGCTTTATTAAATGCTAACCCTGCAACTATTGCAACATATGCCTCGAAATCTAAATATGAATTATCAACTTTATTGTTTATAATTTTGGCTTCACTCTAAATTAAATCTAAAGCACTCTTAATTATGAGTCTCCTATATTTAATATCATCAATAATTAGATCTTCTACTATGCAATCATCAGCTTCGAATATTATATTCTTTTCTCCAATTTCATCCCCATCTGTTAAAAATGGGCAAGGAATATTAGTGCAACCCTTCGGTATTAATTATTTCATAGGTTCAGACAATTCCTGTTACACCTATTTCATATTGTTGAATTTATGTCCTGGATTCATACGTGCTATTACACACCTTGACATTTTCATTTATTTTATTAATTCTTTGTGTCCTTATTCGGTTCCAAATAAGAAAGATTACTCTCTTCCTTAAGGAACAATAAAACATCCACAAGTTTTCTATAATAAAATTTTACTGTCATCATTATCATAAATATCTAATTTATATCTAGGTGTTTATTTATTGTTATTATCCCAAATATCTAAGGTGAAGCTTTGACTTTATCTGAGTTTATGGATTGAAGTAACAAAATGATTCTGTAATTATATCTTCTTTATTATTTCCTCTGCCTATTTAATTGTTAGAGTCTGAACTTCCTTTTGTAATTAAAAGAATTAAATTGATTTTTACTCACTTTTATCAATAACGATAAAAAATGGATAAAGTTTGCTTTTCTCAATTACGCATTCATAAATTTGGATATTAACTTGTAATTACAATAGAGTTTTTAGAATATGATCTTGTAATAGAGATATGATGATGAATTTGCCGTTCTTCTTTAATATTCTGAGCATATTTGCTAGATAAGTATTAACTTAAGGTGTTTCTTCATCTGGAAAGATAGCATCAAGAGTTCCCTTGTCTAGAATAACATCGAATTATTCAGATTGAATATTAATTTCTTCAGTCAAAGACATGCATTAAAATGTCATTTCTGGTCTCTTATTCTCAGATCTCTTGCGCATCTAATCTAAGGACTAATAAGGTTAAGTAATCAATTATTACAATTTTTTCATAATCAACATTTGTGATATTTTTGCAAATGCCATTGTCATAGAGTTATTCAGATAGTAGTGATTTACCACAACCTGCATGGAATACACTATCTTCCATTTTGATATATTTTTTAAACAAATGATTGTAGCTATCATAATTGCCATACCACTCAAAGAATTCATTCTATTGACCTTCTTTCTTAATCTTTTTGAAGAATCTTTACCAATACTGTTTATTCATAAAATCTCGACATTATGTAGGTAATACTCCTTGCATTTACCACAAAAATTAATTTAATAATAAATGAACGACCTTCGAATGCACAAGTTATAACAATTCTTCTCTAAGTCGAACATCTATCAAAATAATTCGATTTAACAAATAGAACGGTAGAAGTTGACAATCTCCAATGATGTAGAACTTAAAGATTAATCACAAATTGAAGATAAGATGATTCATGTTGTTCGGCCTTATTAAACTGATTTTGATAAAGATATGTGTAATAGCATTTTAAATACTTAGATCTCATGGCTAAACCTCTGATACAACCATTAATTTAATTGAACATTGTTAGTAAACCTGAAATCAATAATGTGAATCTATCGCACTAATTGCATAACTAGTTAGACAAAGCAATCAAAAGATCTGAGAATTTTCTAACTCTCAAAAAACAACCTAATCACTTTCTTAATCAATTGAGATAATAAAACAAACAAAATCAATTAACAGAAAAGAAATAGCAAAATCAAGCACCTGCAAAAGAAATCAAACAAATCGATTCAAATGACTATGATTTCAAGGCAATCAATAAAAGACCACTTCCTGATTAGACTACAGGAATCAAACTTCCAAAATCAATCAAAGACATATATCAGATTGGACAAACTGCTGATGATCTGTAAGCCAATGATGAATCCTTTCTTTTTAAAGAAGAGGCCAACTCCTAGTAGCCAGTCACTAAAATTGACTTTGATTGTCTCTTAAACATAGCTGCTGGTTAAGTCGATGAACATACTATGGCAGAATTAGTTAAGAATGTTATTATTGCCAAAAAGAAGGAACTTAATAATCCGTTGTTAAATAGTTCCATAGAATAATGCGATGTATCAGTTGAAGCTTATCCTATTAAATAAGATTAATATGTTCAGATGTCCTCCAAAGCTTTGCCAAGTGTGTAAACTGTGTTGAATGGAATTCGATTAGCCAAAAATTAATATTATTAAAGTCAAGAAAAATTAGAATGCAAAGCCATCATACGTTCACATTTAGAAGAATTAATGTAAATCTTGATGCAAGGGTATCCAGAATAATCTGGAATGAGTTAATCCCTTGACTTCTTACTCTCACTTAATAAATCAGAACTTGCCGTTCCATACGAAGGAATGAGCAAATTGGAGTTACTCTACATTTTTGTTAATGAGTACAAGGCTCTTTAAATGCTTGAATAAGCTCCTTCCTCATAAAATCAATTAAATCAAACTATAAGCAAGAGATATCTAAAACCTACAAAAGCAGCTTAAATGAAGACAATAAAAAAGAAATGAATACAAATACAATTTACTTTTACTTATTAAAATATTAATTCTTTTTCTTAGATCAAACACAATATTCTCTTATGATTTCCTTTGATCAAATATTAGAAGAGAAGATTGGATCAGGAATTTACTAACTCAGAACAGTTAGCATTATCGGATTAATTGAGTTTTGCGATGGTGTTGAATACGTTTTTATGTCCATTTTGATGGCAATTTTGCAAAAAGAATGGTAACTATCATAAACTCAAGTTGCAACGCTAGGATCTTCTTTTCTTGGAGGAGTGGTTATAGGAAATTGCATTTGTGCTTATATTACAGATAAAATTGGTCGAAAAACATCATTTTCAATTTTTGCAGGACTCTCAGTGATACTAGTCTATTACACTAGTTTTGCTCAGTCCTATAATGAAATTATCATCCTTAGATTACTATTTGGCATAGTGTTTGGTACAACGAGTCCATTAGGATATGTTTTTATAACTGAGGTTGCTGTGGCCAAATATAGAGGCAGATTTGCATTTTCATTGACATTGATGTATGTTGCAGGTAAAGCCTACCTAATATTCCTGTGTTTTTTCTTTCTTGATGATTATACAAGTGGAAATTGGAGAGGACTAATAAGGTTTAATGGAATACCAGTACTGTTATGCTTCATATTATCCATTCTATATTTGAAAGAGACCATTAGATATTACTTAAATAAGGGCTAGTATACGGTGGCATTCCAAGAGATTGAGGAAGTACAGAAATAAAATAATAGTTCAAAAGAAGCCTTAAATGAAAGTGAAAAAGATGGATTAATCGCTTGGTAATTAAGATAAAACAATCTCATGATCAAAGAAAACTTAAACGAAGAAAATGGAGTATTATCAAAATAGCATCTCAGAATTACACTCTAATTATGGACTTTACTGATACTAGCTAATTTTTAGAATTTAAGCATCTATCTTTTGATGCCATTTTTATTTGCATAAGAAAATTCAGGATTCGAGCATATGCTGTATTTGTTTTTGATTGAATTTGTCTTTGCATTTGTAATCTACTTATTTATAGATGATCCAAAATACGGAGGAAGAGTCAATATCATTATTTATGCTTCGATTTTGTTAGTAATAACAAATTTATTGCTCTATATATATCAAGCTTCATTTTTATTTGTTGGAATGCTTTTAATTAAGATAGCAACTAGAGGAATGTTCTCTACTCTATTTATTATATGTTGTGAAAGTTATCCACTTCATTTAAGATCCAGAGGGAGTGGATTGGCCATGGCTGTAGGCAAAGTAGTCTCAATCCCGTCTCCTTATGTGCTTTTCCCTCTTTTTGCTATAGATCCTTATCTGCCATTTTTAATCTTGAGTGTCTTAGGAACACTTATGATTGCATTATCAATTACATATCCATCTGATCGGACATAAAAACATTTGGAAATTTACAGTGACGAATAAAAAGAAGAATGATTTTATTAATTTATATATTGGCTTATATATTTCATAATCCATCAGGATATTATGTTTATGTAAACCAGGGATGATAGAGGGCATCTTTAGCTGAGGGTCTAATTTATTAATCGCATATTATTATACCTTTTTGAAGGATCTATTTGTAATAATTGTTTAACAAAATCTAAAAAGAACATATCATCAGTCTTAAGTCTAGCCTTTAGATTAGATTTCTTAGGAATTAATATTTATATTAATCCAGTCCTTTATCTTCTGACTGAGGCATCTGACATATCAGGATTAGGATAATGTTACTATTATTAGTCTTCAATGGCATCCTGATAAAGTAGTTTCTCCTTAGTGAAGAATTAATTAACTAATCTACCCTCTTTCATCATATATTCAGGGAATGGACCAATTATACCAATGACTCTAGCTAATAAGCCTTATACAGTGTCATTCTAAAACAATACATATCCTGTCCATAATTCAGCTAAGATACATCCCAATGACCACATATCAATTTTATAATCATATTTGCACCCAATGATAACTTCAGGTGCTCTGTAGCTTCTTGATTGAACATAACTAGATAGATGATCATGGATGAAACATGAAGATCCGAAATCAATTACTTTACATTCACATTTGCTTATAGATCTCATTAATATATTCTCAGGTTTTAAATCACAATGAATCAATTTAAGAGAATGGATATAATCTAAGGCAATCAAGATTTATTTGGTCAACTAAATTAATACAATATTTACTTACTTTTTATAATCTACCAACTGTAAAATAATTAACTTTTTCTTTTTCTCTGTAGTATTTATAGAATTCATATAGATTATCTTTAAGTAATTCTGTAACTAAAAATAAATGCTCTTTATGATAAAAGAAATCATATAATCTAAGCACATTCTTAGCATCGCAATCTCCATTGGAATTTATATATCTCAATAATTTAATTTCATCTATGCTCTAATCCATATAATCCTTATTGTTTTCTATGATCTTCATGCATACTTCCTTTTATGATTGTAAATCTAAACATTTAACTGCTTTTGAAAATGCTGCTGATCCCAAATATTCTAATATTTGATACCTACCACCAATGATTGAATTAATTACTATGGGAAAATCTTTTGTTTCTTCAAACCCAGTTCTTTCCCTATCAAAAATAACTTTGAGATTGAAACAATCATAGATAACTTTATCAAATTCTACAGGATAAAAATCATCTGTAGATACAGGATGTTTCAAAGTAGGAGGCAAATAAATATAGCCTTTCCTACTTTCTTCTTATGATTTCTATTAATTCTTCAATAATGCTGCACTATCATCTTCATTATCACAATTCACTTCATCCTTTTTCTTCTTAAGTTAGGCCATTGCTCTTTAAGGAAATCCAAATTTGTCTGCCAATTTTTTAGACACTTTAACGAAATTCTATTCTCCAACTTCATACAAATCAAATCCAGGATCCTCATCATCATTATATTCATCAATTATATTATTATTTTCTTCCATATCTTGCAATACAAATGACTAAGAATTTTGTAGAAAGAATGAGGAATCATTACATCCACTTTCAGGCCTTATGATGGATGGCATTTTAGCAGTATCTATGCCTTCAAATTGTTGATGTTTAGCAGCAGATCTTGAGACATCCTCTTCTGTAAACAACTCATCGACTGATGGTGATTTTTCCAAAACTTACTATTATTTTTAATGTTGTTAAGGTTATTTGATTTTTGCTAATACTATTTAGTCGTTCTCTTGAAACTATAAAAAACTATAATTATTACATTTACCAAAACAAGGAGCTTATTATTATTCTTCACTTGTTTCAGTTCTCTTTTTTTTGACAATTGAATTTGCAATAGAAGTATTTGATATATCATGAAATATATCTGCTTAATCTACCATCTTTTAGAATGTGGCATTATCAAAATAACGTTCAATCTTCTCATTGAGTATCTCATCTTCTAATAAATTTGGCCTTGACACCAATCTATTCATTAATTATTCCATAATTTTTTCTGTCTGCTCTTATGTGAATACTTTGGGTTTCCTGCGCACTGCTTATCTATCGATGATTGGCTTCTTCTTTTCTTTCTTCTTCTGCTCCAAAGCTTAACAGATAATGTCTTTCAATAATTTAAATATTTGGTACCCATTAACATTTATTGTTGTTACTTTTCGCAGACAATTTCATTTTTCATCATTACTTAAACATCTATATCACTTATTTACTTATTTCTTCCTTCAATTTACGGGCTGATTATTAAAGACCAGACTGCTCCAAAAATTTAACTATTGTTTTCAGCACTTCGTTCATTTATTATATTATTAGAATACAAACTTTATCATTATTTTAATCACAGTCATTTATATTTTAAATTATTATTCAACTATATTTTATTTTAATGGCTTGCATATTCTTGAAAATTCCTATAAAAATATTAATGTCAAATTAAGACATCAATGATCTTCCAGCCCTCAAAGTCAATGTCCCCTCTTTCTTGATGAAAACATATGAAATTCTTGAAGTATACCTTTTTAGCTACTATTTCTTATTCAGAACCCGTCTTTATCCCATATCATTACTTGGAATCAAGATGGCAATGCATTTATAGTCCTGAATTCCCATGAGCTATCATCCAAGGTTCTTGCCAACTATTTCAAGCATAAAAACTACCCCAGCTTTCTGAGGTTATCTTCTATTTCATAATAGATAACTCAATATGTACAGTTTTAAGAAAACCAAAAATCATTACGGACAAAGTGAGTTTAGGCATCAATGGTTTAGAAGAGGACTTAAGTAAAATAATTCTCTAACTTCCTTAGAAGCATGCTTCAATACATTCGAAGAAGAAATTAAGATGATTCTGAGAATAAAATCGAGATAAAAAACACAAATATTCAAAAAATTGACAATTACAAGCAAGAGCACGATGAGATGAAAAAGATTGTCCGAGAAATTCAAACAACTTAATTTTAAATGGAAGTTGATTTCTCAGCTTCCATGGAATAAAATGTTTAAGCCACTCGTTCTAGTCAAACCATTTTGTAGGTTTGATCTTCATTTTCATCATAGGGTTTAAATCAAATGTAGTAGTAATTCAATAGAAAATTTGATAGTCTTTCCCTACTCTTGGCTAAGATCGTTTCATACATCCCCAATTTAAGTAACATCCTCCAACATCTATTAAGCATACCAAATGGGAGACCTTTTCAAATACTCCTGCGAAGAACCCTCTCCGAGTAGATTAGAACATAGCTATATCGTTCCATATAATGAGAACAATACCCAGTACAGCAATATAGGTTCTCCTTATCATTAGTACTCTTGCAATAGCCCAATTCATCTTCTTTTGTCTAGATAAAATTAATGTAATGTTCAAAAATAAATTCTAGAATTTTAAGATTATTGCTTTTAATTTGATCCAAACCTATTTTAATTCAATAGATCAACCCAACAATAACAATAGTTAGCCTTGCCTGCTCCAGCCATAAATTCCTATTTACGTATTCATAAATTCTATATCCATTCAAGCAAGCAACAATTACTCCTTACAATCAAGTTCATAAAACTCACCTTACAGACTTGCAAGCCCTATTCATTCTTCCTCAACAGATTCTAAAAACCCCGAAAGAGTATATCATTTATTTAAGAAAACATTAGTTTAATTTTTACTAATAAGCATGAGTTATAAGATGTATTAATATATAAGACAATTTATTCATTTATAGAATATAAATATTCATTATTAATCTGGATAAAAGTCAATATTTATTAAATTGGTATTTCTGGAAAGTTAGGCAATGAATTTAATTGATTTGCTCTCCTTCAAAGTTGTAGGATACTATTATGAAACATCTGTAGATTGATTAATAAAATTGTTCGAACTATTCATTTCAAGTTTTCTTTTAGGAGATCCATACACATTCATTTTTCTTAATAGCATCTTCGTTTATTCTGGAGATCGACCTCTTTGTGTCTTCCATCCTTAAGTCTTCTTTCTTACATTTACAGGCAAAGCAAAGGTGCTTGAAGAAAGTGGAAGATTGTCTATTTTGTAGATTGTTGGATTCATTCTCAGCTTTTATCCCAAATTTTATGCATTATTCAAAGCCTTAATAGGAGTTAATAATAAATCTTTAAATGGACTGCGACTTCTAGGTGAGTGAGGAGCTTAAGTTTATTATATTTTTTTGCTAAGGTCAACTAATTAGATTTCATAGGTATCCTTATGTTAAAGTGCTCTAACCAAAAATCCATCATCTTTATCACAGATATGATTTTGTCTAACGATAAGTTAATTATTTAATCTCTCAGGAATTTTAAGCGATTGTTTCTTATTTTCAATATTTATTTTATTTAATAATCCAACTCTAAGAACCAAATTATCCATATGTTTCTTATTTCTACTCCATGTCTCTAATTCATATATGCAAATAGGGTGGGTCACTTAACATTTCTATTTTTTTAAATCTTCAAGAAATCCATTCAGTGATGTCACTCTTTTGGTGTCGCTTGATTAAACTGTAGATACAACCTAATTAGAGATATCTTATCTAATGTTCTACAATAGCTTATTATTCACATATATTTTATTGTATTCTTCTATGAAGATATACCTATCTTAAAATGTTGATATAAAATGTTCGATAGTCATTATCAGACTACCAATATCATTTGTTTACATCAATGAATCCTCCAATAGATTGATATAAGCTAATGTAGATTTAATTTATGCTTTAGAACCTTCTATTAATAAAAGATCAAAAATAGTATCTGTTAATTTATTGTGAAATGTGAAACAACAAACTAACCATTGAATTGTGAATAAACTAGTTTCTACAGATAAGTTTCTAAAATGTTCCATCAAATGGGGTTTTTCTTTTTGTAGAATCTATCGTAATATTTCATCATCGCAGAGAACACCAAACAAATGATTATAATAATTCACAGGCAAGAGAGTCTCAAATAAGTGGCATAAAAACCAAAATGCGTCCTTAAATTAAATTGAAATATTTACCTCTTCTGAGTATTTTTAATTCAATAATAGATAATGTGCAATATAATTAAATCCTTAACAATATCCAATTTAGGCATTTCTAACAACATAGGCTGTTAAAACATTAGTTAGTTTTAGTTACATCTCTTAATTGTTTGAAGTACGAACTACATCCTTTTAAATAGTATCTTAAAAATAATTAGGAAAATCCTTAATATTTAACAATTCCGTATAATATTTTGGATTAGCTTCTTTATTCTAAATAATATTTGCTAAAATTGGCCAAAATTAAGTTAAGGGTGTGTTACATCTGTCTCGTAATTCATCTTTCACTGCTTTGTGTAAACAACTGAATTTATTGGCGCAATAACTTAATAACTAATTATACAATTATAATACATCAGCATTATTGAGAGTCTTATAAAATTTACGCAATTTTTAGATATTCAATTTATTATTTATAGATTGGTTTCTATTTAAGTCTCCTTTGACACCTTTAATATACTCCTTGCTCAGATTAGGATCTAACATCATTTAAATAAAATCCATATTATTTTTCATTAATTTTTATATAAAATGAATCCGAAACAATTATTCTAAGACAAGTATTTATAGATTAGAGATTTCTTACTCTCTTCCTCTGATGAAAGAAACAATGAACAGTTAATTGATATTAGAAACATACTGGAAAGTTTTGCTTTTTTCATTCAATTTACAAAGTACTAAAATATTTCTATGCTTCAGTACAAAGTCATAGGAGTTTATAGAGATGTGCCGATATTTACAATTGGAAGTTTATGATTAAGAGCAAACCCTTTTTAGGTAGGGAGACCCTGCAGATAAATTTTATATCATTTTAAAGGGAGAAGCTAGAATTTTGATTAAAAGTCCTGGCTTAGACGAAATTAAATAAGTTGGAATTTCAGGTGTAGGAGATTGTTTTGGTGAATTGGCATTGTTATTTAATTCAGACCGAAATGCTACAATAGTAGTTGGGAAATAAACTGAATTGATGGTTCTTCATAGGAATGATTTCAATAAATACATGAAATTTCATTCATCTGAATAAGCAAATTAAGTAAAGTACAATTAATACATAAAAGGCATATAACCTTCTCAATGTAATAGAACCATTTCTTTCTTTAAATTTTCCAGATAAAATTAGACTTGCTAGTAAGATGGAATATAGAACATTTCAATCCAATTATGCATTCATTAATTAAGGACAGACATTGAATAATTTTTATGTAGTAGAAACAGGTTCCGTGAAACTCTATCGTACAATACCATTTAATATCAATAAAAATGGATTGATTTAATTTCAACATAAATATGATCCCAATAAATAGAGTAGAAATCTCAAAATAGAAATTGATGAAATAGGACCTGGAAAGTATATTGGAGACTATGAATTATAGCATTATAAGCCTAGTCAATATACTGCTGTCACAGGAATGTAGACTACTTGTTTTGTGATTTCTCTTATTGATTTTAATTTAATGAGTCAATTCTAATTAGCTGAAGTGTGTAGAAACTCTAAACCTTATCCTACAGATGATCATATCAGAGAAGCCTTTCTCGATGGCATCAAATGGAGAATTTTCAGAGTATTTATATTAATCTATCTCAGAAATAAATGGTCTCAAAATTATAACTAGAATTAAAAACTTGCAGTGATGTCAGAGATCCAACAACCTTGCCTAAATTTTAGTATCAAAAGGATCTTCGACAATTTGCTCTCAAAACACTCTCGTATGATAAGTTGATGGATTCCTATTTGAATTCTAATGGTGAACCTGCTTAATCATAGACTGGCAGCATGGTTTTCAATGAATTAAATAGCAAAAGTCCATTAAAAAAAGAGAAACCCTTCTTTACTAATGTTGATGAAGCGATTAGAAAGTTGAAACAATCTTAAGGTGGTAATCGAAGTAAGAAACAAATCCTACCAAAAATAAATCCTAAGGTTGGATCTGATATTTATAATATATTAGTAAAGAAATGATTATTAACTACTTAAAAATAAAATTAAAAATGAATCAAATTTCCCAAAACATCCTTGTTCAAAAACTTATTGATTACAAATTAAGGTATGCATACTTCTCTATAGACAAAATCTAGAAAGACCAAAAATAAGAGAAAGGCTAGTCCTTAGTATTCTCCACCAAAGATGCCCATATCATAAAGATAGACATCCTTTTCGAATGGTCATGCATATTCGATTCATTAAAAATTGAAATCAATTCAAAGTTAACAGAAAGTATTCATTCCTCAGGCTATGCCACAGTCTCAGATTTGCTCGATCTCTTAAGCCAAATGTTTCGCATTATTCAATAGTATGAATAGCAGGCATGCCATCTTTGGTCCAAAAATCTCGAGATGTTGAAGCAAATCAAGATCCCAATCCTCCAGGAAAATGAAGACTTGAAGCTAGCTGTAGAAACCCTAAAATAAAATGATATTTAAAATAGCGTATATGGACAATTAAAAGAGTATGAATAAATAGAGAAGCCTAAACCTAAACTAATCGATTTGTAACATATCAATAGAGATTCGAATTTCTAAGAAGAGTTTATGTCAAAAGTAAATGAATTTAGTTTATCATGGCGACAAGAAGTGCAATAGCTAAAATAATTATGAATATTTTGAATTTATTGAATATTCAAAATAAATATTATAATTAGTATTATTTAAACTTATTCATTTACTAAAATTGAATTTAATAAAATTATTATTTAATATTACCTTATAAATCAATACATATCCTCATAATAAACCTTATTTTTTGCTTCCCAAGTTCAAAATATTTTTATTCGAATTATACAAATTTTTTCAATACTAACACTTGAAATTACTATTAATATGTTTTTTTGAAAAGATATTTTTAGAAACTTAGCTTTTGATAAATTCCTTCAATAGGCAGCAAACCTTATTAAAGTTCATATTATTAAAATACTGAGATAACTAAAGTAATCTTCTTTTTGTCTAATTTTATATTTTAATACTAATCTTTAAAATATTTTTAGATATATTTGATTTGAATTTTAGAGATTATTTATTTATTCATTTAGGGAATTGTCAAGAGTTATAATAAATACAAATTTAAATATCAACAATTACCTTCTAATATATATTCGTACAATCGATTCATTTATTTTTACTCCTGTTTTCCTGATGTATGTGCTCTATTGCTTTTTGACACTTTGCTTCCTTTTATGTCCACTCTTTTTTCATAACTTGAATATCTTGCTTAGTTGTTCTATTATTCTAACACTCAGATTATAACATACCTAAACATCCTTGCGCTAAAGAGAAAAAGCATTTTTTCACAGCAAATTATGGTGAACAATTGTTGATTTCTTTATCAATTTCGTCCTTTTATACTAATGTATCTTCTATCTCATCCTATACATACCTTTACACTTCTTACTAGCTTTGAGATTTTTACTTAAAACAGACTTTACCAGAAATCTCATCCTTAAGGAATATAGTATTTGAGCTTATTTATAAAAGTTACGGTTAATTTTTTTATTTTAATGATTTTCTAACCAAACTTGAGAGTGGCATTATATTGGGATCCAGAGTCCGCTTATCCATCAGAGTAGTATTGGTTGATACAACTTTAGTTTGAGTGTTTGTCTTCTTATCACATTCTTTTAGGTTGTGGAGCTTGATAATATCAATTTGCTTATTGAATAAGGACTTTTCTTTAGGTATTTAATTAGTAGATTGATCAATTTCTAAAATTTTAGGCTATCGAAAAAATTAATTTTCTTTTTCTCTATGTTTATTACTATTTATTTTTAGGTTCAACTTATCATTAATATTCTCAAATTTTTAAGGCAAAGTCTTATAAATTAATAAAATACTTTCTGTGATTAAATAGTGGATAGAGCTGCCTATTTTTGTTCATATGTCTTTGATTAGTAATATTTTTTCATCAAATCTTAATGTGATTATTTTAATTCATCACTTTTTTCCATTTGATTTACAAATTAAATAGACTGCAAGAATCCAAGTGAATTAAAGCATAATTATGTGTTTTTTTTCTTTTGATTGATTGGAGAATTTAACTTCAAAACTTAAAATTCCTTTGCCATTTATTCGTTGAAAAATTAGGTAAATATAATTAAGAAATATATTTACTTTAACACAATTAAAATTAGTATCTAGTATTAATAATAGATTATACTATATGAATCAAATAATATTATCAAAATAATTGAAAACTTCCAAAAATCTTTATGTGTTGGTTTCTTATTAATCATTTATCTCAGGTAATTTTTATAAAAATTTGAAGACTGCTTTTTTATATTTTTTAAGTCTTTTTTATTTCTTTTTATTGTCTTTTTAATTATATTTAGAAATCTTTTCCCTTATATCTTGTAGTATTATTTTACAGTGCCTTTATCCTGTTTTTCTTATTCTATTTTCAATTATCGGTTGCTGTTGTTCTACATTTTTCGATAAAGGTATATTAGAGACAGTTGTAGTTCGTTATGGACAGACAATTTCGCCTTCTTCGTAGATGTGACAATTTGCTTACTGCGATGAATGGTCAAATTCTTATTCTATTCTTTCTTAATTTTATTTTTTAGTCTAAATTAAATCCGTATCTCCCTGCGAAGGATGCGTACGCTCTTATTAGCGCTTAGAATTTAATAAATATTTTTCTTTTTCTTTTAATTCTTATCTTTCTCTTTCTTATCTTTCTTTTTCTTATCTTTCTTTTTCTTTTCTTTCTCTATCGTATTTTTCTTGTCTCTCTCTTTCTTATCTTTCTAGTCTTTCTTATCTTTCTTATCTTTCTTACTTTTCTCGTTTTTCTCTTTCCAATTTATCTTATTTTTCTTTTTCTTATCTTAATTTTTCCTATTTTTCTTTTTCTTATCTTAATTTTTCCAATTTCTCTTATTTATCCTTTTCTTGTTTTTCTCTTAGTTATCTTTCTTTCTCCTACTTTTCCCTTTCTAATTATTTTTCTTTTTCCTGTCTCTCTCTTAATTATCTTTCTTATTTTTCTTTTTCTTTTTCTTGCCTTTCTTTTTCTTTTTTTTCTCTATCAATTCTGTCTTTTTCAATTTTTTCAGATTCTAGTCTTTATTTATTTTATTTTTCTTTTTCATCCTATTCTTTAATATGTTTTTAATCTCTAATTTACTTTTCATTATCCGACTTTTTATTAATTAGTAATAACTATTTCCTATTTTCTTCTTAAACCTATTGTTCTTTATCTTATCTTATTTAATCAGGCTTTGGTTCATCATTCTTTTTTTATAAGTCTTCCTTTTGATTTCTATTGTTATCTTCTACAAATTTATTTTTTCCTTTTTAATCAGAAGCAAAAGTTTTTTATTAATTATTGATTTGCTTATTAGTAATTTATATAACCTTTTGATTAGATTCATCTTATTTTTGGGGCTTCTAATTATTTTATGAGGTTTGTTAATTTTCTTTTTTTTATAATGTCATAATTTAATTTGATTATTCACTCTACTTTTTTAGTGCTTCATTTTTAATTTATTATTCTTTCTATTTTTATGAATCATTAAGTTACTATTTAAGGTTATCCTCAATAATAGATTACTTGTAAATACCAATACATTTATTACATTATCAGGTTATTTTTTAACAATGTTTTCAGATGATTATTACTCTTATTTTTTCATTTATTATTGTTCCTCTTCTTCCTTTTTTTTCTTTTATTCTTCTTCCTTTGCCCTTTTCTATTCCTACAATATTTTCCTTTTTTATTCAAGTCTTTTTTTTAGATCATTTTAATCATTCTAGTCCATTTTTACAATGAAATATTTAATAAGGAAAAATTTAATTTATTTTATCAAAGGTAATCTATAAATTATAATCAAATTCCAAAATATGGCGAATAATATCATGATTTCTGGAACATCCATTTTCTTGCAAATAAGAAGGGATCATTCTGATGTTACAAGTTTTCTTCCAAAATTCCAATTATAATTTTTATTTCATTCGATTAACTGTTCATTTAATTGGCCAAACTCATAATATACATTGTTAAGAGCTTGCCTTATTCTTCTAGATTAGGATTAAAAAATATTTGAAAAGTTTTATCTAAATTCAAATTGATTTGATATTGGATCTTCTTATAATAGTCTTGAAGTTGTTTAATCCAATTATCCAATTATGATTTTATTTTGATAGGGGCAAATGTATAGAAAACTTTGGCTTTGATGGCTAATAGCTTTCTTAATAGAAATTAAAACTTCAACATAAGATCATTGTCTTAATGAGGAAAATTCAATATAGCCTATTCTACAAATTCACAAAACTTGTATGTGGGTTTCAAAATTACGGGTATATCAATATCTTTATTAACTTATTTTTAGAGATTTTGTTATTTTGGAGATTTCTGAATAGAACAATCAGTACTAATTTAGCCTATCAATTCTATATTGATATCTGAGTCGCTTTTTTTATGGCAATATTTAGGAGCTGGTTGATTCAGACTGGTTTTGAGATTTTTACCTGGATACTCATCGTCAGATGTAAATTAAGTGATTACAATTTCCTATTCTTCCTTTTAAGTTTTCACTCTAAGACAATTGGCTAATTTTTAATCATCAAAAGATTGAGGCTTGTTATTTGATAAGAGTTATTAGACGTATTTCTTTCTTATTTCATTTGGAGTTTTTGCACTTTTGAATTAAAGTGGAGAATTAATTGATGTAGATACTGACTTTTGTGAAAGTTTAATTAATTGTGAACTTAATTTTTAAGCAGATGATTAAGATAATTAATTCTCCTGTATTATTGAGAGAATCTACTAAATTGTTATTCTATCTTCAGAATCTAATTATAGCATACCTTCAAAAAGTTTGATTATTAGATTCTAATATTTGATATCGATAGTCTAGCACTTTTATTAGATTTCTTATAAAAGAGTCATCTCCTTCAACTTAAATTTTGGAGCTGTTTGATATAGCATCTCATAGAGCATAATTCCTAAAGCCCATACGTCACTTTTTTCTGAATATTGGTTGAACAATTAAATCTCCGGTGCCATGTACATAGGAGTTCCAACATTGTATCGTTTGATTATGCTATCGTATTAATTCTCAATAAGAGCAAAGCCAAAATCAACAAGTTTAAAAATGCCGTCTTTAATTAATACATTAGCGGGTTTAATGTCTCTGTGAATGATATCTAGATTTATAGAAGTTTATTATGATACTTTTTTTGTGTAGGTCTAACAAGCCTTTACAAATTTAAGTGAGTATGTCAATAGCCTTATCTATTTTCATTGGTTCTCGTTTCAGTAAAACTTCTAAATTGCCACCTTCACAATATTCACTCACAATATAGGTGTTATTGGCACTTCTACTTATTTCATACACTCTGAGGAGATTGGGATTGTCGATTTGCAGCAGAATTTTGATTTCATTTTAAAGAAGGGATTTCTATATTGGTGAGTTGTAATTTTCTAAAGAAATGACCTTTATTGCAACAACTTATTGAGTAACCATGTGAATCCCCTTATAGACTTTGGATGAGTAACCTTCTCCAATAATATCATTCATATCAAAACAATAATCTCCAATTTATTTCCTAATGACTTCTTTGTGCTCATTCATTCCTATCAATTTTCCAGATAATATAAAGATTTTTTCTGTATAAATTATTTAAAGTATAATTAGCGACACTATTAATTAGGTCTTAATAATTCAGTAACAACACACTTTTGAAGATGTTCGTATTTTGAGCTATTTGAAATTATTCTCAAATATACCTTCATATTATTTCAAAGTAATTAGAATTGAACCAATATTTTGTTGTGTTTTAAGAATTTATACTAAAAAGGATCAAATGTAGTTGTCAATATAGTTTTAATCATCCATACTAGAAATAACCACTTGTATTAGATTTACACAATAGGTTAATAAGGTTGTTGATGATAAAAAAACAAAGTTAGAGTACAATTTTGAATAAATGGTTGATAAAAAATGTTAAGGAAATTGACACGGGAAAATAGGCTCATTCTCATATTCTTAAAGAATTGATAATCTTGTGATTAATGCTAAAATGTTGATTTATTTTTAGATTGATAGTTCTATAAACCTGTATGAGTAGTAATTAAGAATACTGCGAAAATCGTTTGTAATTGATTATAATAAAAATTAATATTTATACCGTTAAAATTCTGAATTTTATTAATGTCTAGTTATGCAAAACAAATCTAAACTTTCAATTCAGGAACATTTACAACAATGAATGAGTTTTAATTCATATAGAAATTAGGAACTGGTAGTTTTGGAAGTGTGAATTTATATCTTCATAAACCAACCTAGAAAAAATATGCAATTAAAATAGTACATTGTCTATAAAATTTTTAGATGCCTGGAGAAACAATTACAAATCAATGTGAAAGTGAAGGCATTGAAAGAGAAATCAGAGTTCATAAGAAATGCAGGAATCCAAATATAGTATAGCTCTATGATTCATTTTATGAGAATGATTCTATTTTTATTGTCATCGAATATCTCGAAAATGGTAAAATTATTTAAATAAATATAGGCAATTTATTTACTCATATTTAAAAGAATCCACCTATGAGTGAGTAGGAAGCATGTAAGTATTTTGTGTAAACATGTCTTGCATTATAATATATGCATTAGAATAATATATTTCATAGAGATATTAAGCCAGAAAATCTATTATTAGATGAAAAATTTAATTTGAAAGTATGCGATTTTGGCTGGTGTGCTGAGAATATACATCAAAAGAGAAAGACCTTCTGTGGAACCTATGAATATATGGCACCTGAAATAGTAATGGAAGTAATGTATGATTACAAAATTGATTTATGGTCATTGGGGATATTGTTATATGAGCTACTACATAAATATGCACCTTTTAAAGGAAAAGATTTTAAGGAAATTTCACTTGCCATTAGGTAAGGCCAACCTAAAATCAAACCATCAGTATCAAAAGAAGCCTTCTAATTAATTTCTCAATTATTGTCTCTAGATCCCAATCATAGACCTCCTATTAGTCAAATTCTTACCTCTTCATTCGTTAAAAAATATAGCAACATGTTGAATTTAGTAGAATTCTAAGAAAACATTCAGCCAAGATCTCCGCTTCGATCATATCCCTCTTAATAGTAATTGAGATGTGGTTCACCAAGAAGAAGAATCACAGAATATAATATAATGTAAAAACCAGAACAAAGGGTCAGAATGGCATCACCCAAACCTATAGATTCTCAAAAACTTATATAAAAAATATATGTCAGTCCAGCAAGAAGAATTTAACCCAAGGGAAGGGAGAATGTGCCAATAAAAACAGGACCAATAGATGTAAGAGGAAGGGAAGCTACTAAAATAATATATATGAACTTATGTAATAATATTTCATGATTTCAAACATCTCAAAATTATTATAAATTTCTAAAACAATTAAAATAGATAATTGGTTAAAAGATATTATAATTTATTAACTTAAATTCTCATGAAGATTAAGATTTTCCTGTAGGATTAGAAAGGGATTTTAGAATGCAATTATATAAAAACTTTAACAGTTTAAATTCTTGTGTAAATTTATATTTATTTATAAAAGTAATTTAAAATGGAAATAAATTTCATCAATTTGTTAACTATTATACTAAAGTCTAATATAAGTGATTTAAGCATCTCATTGTAACCAAATTAGAAAATTCAATATTTTATATTTTTGATCGAAATTTACTAAGATCATTTGATACTTTTATTAATCTATCATATCTAATATTCTCTTAAGTCTGAATTAGATCAAATATTATTTCTTGTAACTCTTCAATCTAGTAAAATGGTGTTATCTTATATTATTCTTACAATTATCCCAATTGAGGAAATATGTATTCAATGAGCATTCTCAAAAAAAATTAATGTTAATATTAAATCAAAACAATTACTTATCTACTATTGTATTATAGCATAAATTATTGCATTTAAAGTTTCATTTTATTAATCATAGCCTGAATTGCTCCTTTTTCATCTCCCTTACCCAGTCTCATATGGGTTTCAGGACACACTAGGTCCTTCTGTTCCATAATTAATATTTTAAACTTATCACTCAATAATATATACTCGTAATCATCAAAAAAAGTTGAATCAATTGAAACATTCAATAATTTCAAATTTTAAATGTTTATTTATCTATTAAAACTCAAATTGCTATTTTCATTTGTAAATATTATCCAATTATATTATTACCACGTATTTTATGATTAAATTACTGATCTGCCCTATGGTGATTCTATTAACCAATCATTGTTAGCATTTTATGATTGTACTTTTGAAAATTATAGATTGCTATTTCCATTCGTTTAACTGTTATTTACATTGAACATCTTAGAATTGTATAAATTGCTTAATCCTAATTATCTACTAAAATCAAAACTTCTATTATGGTAATTAAATTATTGAGATTAATTAATATCATTCCTATTAACACTTATGTTTTGATTTTTAATTTGTTTCCTAGAATTGTAACTATATTTATCTATTTCTCGACATCCCACCTCAAAACCAAATTTGTTAATTTATCCGTTTTAGACTAACATTGTTTTTTTGGCATTAGCTGGAGTACAACTTGGTTATGATTCTAAATCAAAAGGTAATTCAAAAGATGTATTCATGCTTTAAGCTCTACTTAATTTTTGATTAGCATTAGGTTAAAATACCTATTTGTTTTATTATCTAAACTCTTGAATTAAATTTTAATATGGTTAAGCTTTTTTGTTTTAAATATTTGATTAATAAGGCATAAAATATGACTCATTTCTTGAATAGCAAGATTCTTTACTTTGATTTCTTGATTTCACAGACATTTTACTTAATTCAATTTATTATTTAGCAATTGGTTTAATTAAGAATTATCTTATTGAATTTAATTATTATTTAGGATTTTATAAATTAGAATTTTTAAAAAAACTATCTAATATCAGTGGTTAATCATATTTTGCCTTAGCATTTTATATTAATTCTTGTTTTTATTATACTTCTAAAAGTTATGCATAATTTAATGACGAAAAATGCAAATCACCCATTTCATTATCAAAACACTTTTCTAAACTTTATTCCTTCAAGCTTTCAAAGACTTAATGTTTCTCCTCGAGCTTTTTCTCTATATTTCTTTATTGCAACATTATTTTTAATTTAATGTAAGCTTAATCTACAGTTTAAGATCTAAACACTGGTTTTAGTAGATTATAAAGTTCTAATTAATAGGATTATGCGTTAATTTTTAATTATATGGAAATCAGTTGATCTATTGAAATAACTTGAAATTATTTTTTATTTTGAAAATCGAAACTTAGCTTAATCTAATTAATGAAGGCATTTATGATAGTTTTTCTTAGAAAATCATGAGTGTGACAAAAATCATCAAGTTCAGTTAACAATGTATATTTTAATATCAAAGACTGATATTAATCGTATTAATTCTTTATTTTTAATAAATATGACTGATTTTGAGTTCTGTAATTCTACTAAATTTTAGCTAAAGTAAATCACTGTATTTTACATGAGATATGCTGTAATCTAATCTAATCTACATTATTTTGAGGAATCATTTAAGCTTGAAATTTTTATAATTTGCTTAACTACTTTTTGGTTCCTTTTTTCTTCACTTCCTATTTTTTTTTATCTCTCTTGAAACTATCAATAACTATTATTTTTATATCTTTGCTCTTAATAGGAGATGCTTTTTTATGTGGTTTTCCTTTTCTAACTTTAGGGGTCATCAATATTATTCTTATTGTAAATTATATTAATGAAATAAAAATGGGAAATTATTTTAACAAAGAAAGAAGAATCAATTTGATAATAATTAAATTTAGAAATATTAATTTAACCTATTAGAGAAATATCTAAATATTATAATCTGTAGAATTTATTTTAATTAACTAAATTCTTTTTTATACTAATTTCCACATTTTTAAGATTTCTCATTTTGATTTTCATATGATTGAATTTATAGATATATTTCAGAATTTAATTAAATAATAAAATTTCATATGTATAAAATAGAATAATCTTAATCAACACCTTTTAAATTTCAAGTTATTTTATTGATTTCATAGAAATCATTTTATTCCGATAATTCATCTGGAATTTTATCGTAATTTATCTCTCTTGTACGTTCATTTAATGATAGTATATCTACCTCTTCATCAGTTAAGTAAAGCGGATTTGAACAGGCCCTTTGCGTAAAACTTGGTTTAGCAGCTGAGAAATTAAACTCTTTTTCATTTGAAAAATTCAATTTAATACCAATTTAATGAGATTTTCGAAATTCCTCTCTACTCTTTGTTGATCTTATTAGGAGCTGTATTCTGGATATCTCATACAATAGATTGATAAAACTAAACTTTGACTTCATTTAATCATAAATTTTTTCATAAAAAGACTAAAATTCTTTAAGATCCACTTAGTTATTTTAATATTTGACTAATTTAATTTGTCTTTTCCAATTTTTCTGAATTGTAATATGCTTATATTCAGGATAATACAGTTCAATCAACTATTTGATTATCTGATTATTCAAAAAATACTAATTTATTATGATAATTAAATATTTTATCATAAATAATACTGATACTATTGATCCAATGTTTGCCAATAAATCTCCAGCATGAGGATACTCAAATATCGTTTTGACTTGATTTCCTTTCATAACAATGTAAATTAATCCTAAGACATCATTATCATAGGCAAGCTTGCAATATTCAATGGAATTGGTTTACGGTTAAATTAAAGCCCCATTTATGTATTCAATATATCTTGGGGAACCAAAAAGAAAGGAATCTCTAATTTCGTAAAAACTACTTTATAAAAAAGTATTTAATGTGTAACAATTTTATTATTCCAATTAAATATAAAATTCTTGTACACTTGTTTATTCAGAGCAGTCTTTTGAATTCAACTACTTATAGTGAATTTGCAGAACTGCAATGTTTAAGGATTGTTTATAAAACTTATCTATCAATTCTTGAGAGGCACATTTTTCATTTGGCTTCAGATATATCTCTGAGCATTTAACTATTTAAATATACATTTCTGTTGTCGTAAATATTTCCCCATTAAATTCTTAAAAAGCTAAACGCATTTTGGGGATGATAAACTTACTAATACCATCAATTGTGGTTTCATTTGATATTTCCAAAGTTTCTAATTCGGTGAAACTGAAATTTGTTGTATACATCACTAAAGGTAATAAAATTTTCTCCTCAAATGGATCAATCATGTCTTAATCGAATCTCCAAAAGTATAATTTGATGATATCGTAATTCATGTCAAGCAATTTAAAGTCTGACTTATAGATCGAGTTTGATATTTTAGGGCTTAGTTAATTAATTTACCATAGATAAAGAACCCAGATTGAATAAGCTACACTAGCAGAGAATATTAGTAAAGTAACAAGACCTCCAAAGGCACTTTTGTATATAGATTGCTTCAAATCTATTTGTTGTATAAATGGAATTCCAAAAAAATCAGCCTATCTTAAAAAGTTCATTTATTTATTTTTGAAAGAAATATTATACATAGCTGAATCAATTCAATTTTAATTAGTATCTCAAAAACACCAAACTTTAGATGCTTAACTTAATTAACTTAAAAAAAATCCTTGTTCAATTATTAATATTAGAGTTTTTTCAAAAAAAGAATGTTAAAGGTAAAAACGAAGTTTATTCATTCAAGAAATTCTGATCGTTTATTAAAATTAATAAAAAAGTTCTAAAACACAAAATTTACTCACTAATCAAGGACTTATTTGTAATATTTAAAATTTAGTATAAATCTTGTTGGACTATAAATTAAGAGCTTTTAATTATATATTGTAATTAATTATAAAATAACCACAAACTTAGTATTAATATCCATAAATATTATCTAATTTGTAAGAAATTGTATGACATTAAGAGAAGAGCATTTATTTTTATCCCAAAGAAAACTAATGACTTAACAAATTATCTTATATGCTTTAAGTTATAATTATTAGAATAAAGATATAATATTATTGTATAACTTTTTAAAAACTCAACATTTCTTTATTTAGATTTAAATTTTATATTCAATAATTTTATTCATTAAGTTTATTTTTGGAAAATTTTTTCTGAAAAAGCTCTTTGTTTAACAATGTCTTATTTTTTGTTTTATTTTATTGGATAGTAAATTGCCTTCATCAGCCTTGTAAATTGATTGAAATCTATAGATCCCATTAAATTAGCTTCTAATTTTTTTCTTCCAATCACTGGAGATAATTAATTATGAGCATTTTTCATTAAATTCATTACTTATTTTGTGTGATTTTGATAATGAACATAAGAGGGAGTTGGCTATTTACTATAGGATTTTGCTTGCTCTTCATTTTCTTCTGCAATTGTATAGACTCCTAAATATTCAGGTAATTCAGAAGTTTACAAAGTTGAACCATTAGAGAGTGTTTTTCTTATTTATTATTTCTGCTAAAATAGCTCTTATTTCATAAACATTTACATTTGATATCTTCAATTTATGTTAAATTAGCAACTTTTTTGTGTTTTCGTTAAGGTAATCTTAAAGGATTAATTGGCATATAAGACTTTAAATGTACAAAGGATTAAATTTGATTTTAATAAAACAAGTCCTAAGTTTTCTTACTTTTAATGGGAGACAACATTTTTTTGAGATTATAGGAGGTAATGTTATTATTTTACATTAAAATTATTATTGGTCTCGATAAATTAAATGATCCAAAACCATCTAAAACGAAAGAAAGACTATTATCTCCTAGTATTTGGCATTTCATATATATATATCAATAAAATCATTTTTCCAAAGATATGTAAACTAAGCTTAAAGAAATGTCTACAGATCCTTATCCATCCACATCCCAGAATCTTTTGGTTTCATTCCCAAGTTATTTTGTAGCCCTATCTACATCAGCCAAAGATTAAGGAGGGTAATTATCATCCAAGATTTTATCAATCAGCAAAATATCCAACTTCTCCCATAATCCTGTACTTGCCATGAGAAGGTACCCTGATTTTGGGATTTTGAATTCTGTAAAATCATTATTAGCAGTAATTCCTATAGTCTTCCCTATTTAATTGCCAAAACATCTTGTTATCTTGACACCAGGATAATTTTGTTTTGGTACCCAAACTTTCAAACTGCCTTCCTTTTATCCTTTGAAAATGGCTTAATCTATTTTTCCTCCCTTCCTCATTATCCTATCTACTTCCTTTCCACTATTCGTATCATGTATTAAGTTTAAATTTTTTTAAACAAATTTTCTTAATTCTTTTGGATTATCATTTAACTACTCTGATTTATAGAAGTAGGCAGCTTTAGAGTCTCCCAAATTCGAACAATATATTACATTATTAACTATTATTACACTAAGCAGTGAGGCTCCACTAAGTTTGCAATCAATTAATGTTTGGGCAGTCTAAATTATATTATAAACACAATTATACTAATTTTTGTTCAATCTGCTAATATATCTTATTTAGACTATCTTTTAATGTCAAACTAATCTATAATAAGGGAACTGATGTGAACAATTTTTATAACTCATCCAGATAAAATTCTGTAATTAAAGAAGAAATTTAAGATCCAAACTCTCCATGGCCATCGCTCAACGATCCGACAAAGAATTCAATATTTTATGCCTTGTTAATATTGATACATAAGTCATCTCCATTTTTAATAAGATTTCTTAGTGCATCCAGACCATCAAGTTATCTATGAAATAGGTGACATACTTACAAACTACTTTGATATTTGACATAATTCTTTATTATTTCTCTGATGGACATTCGTTAGATTGAAGTTCTCTTACAAGTTATTCTAATATTAGCATTTGAAGCTCTATGTGTACTAATTATTTTTTGTAATTTTGAAGCTCCTTATGGAGTAACTTCTAATCTTTATGTAATGGGAATATCAGGAAGTGTGTGAATTTGTTTGACAACTGAAATAGGTTTTAATTAAAATTGGCTTTTTCTAACAGGCTAATAACCCATTTTAAGCATTTATTCCTATAATCTTCTTTATTAGGCACTCATAAGCAAATATTAAATAAATTAATACCATTAGTCAAATTAATTAGATTTATACTTTGATTTCCTTACCCTTAAAACCAATTTATATAACTTGGAATCCTCTTCTATTTCATATATTAAATTGAGATTCATAAAATTGAATTTTGATACAAAACTACTTGGATTATAACTTTTTATTGATTTAAATTTAATATATTATTTTTATTTTCTGTATTTTAACAAAATTCAAAAATAATTCCATACCATTAAAGAATACTCGAATTAACTAAGAATAGAAAAAAGGAGAAAAAGTTCCTAACAGACCATATTCATACATCTAAAAAACTATCTCTTATGATTATTTTAGTAAGTAATTTATTCAATATAATTCAAAATTAAATCATTTTTTAACCTCTCATAACTGTAAAGTTTAAAATATGATATGAATATATTTTAATAATTGACTTTATGCTAAAATAATAAATAATAAAGATAAGAGTAGTTCGCACTAAGTTCAATATTATTTTTTCTCAAAACAATTAATAATTTTTCATAACCATCATAACTTTTAATTATCTATTTGAATCAATATTATTATGTTTATATTTCAGCTTATCTACAAACGATATATTTAAAAAGTCTTAAAATAATTATTGAATGAAGTATTTAAATATATTGAATATGCGTATTGCAATATTTGACGAATGAAATATAATTATAAGATTTAGTTATAAAAATTATGAAATGTGATATTAATTATAAAAAATTTAATATGGATATTACATTTAACTAACTAGATGTATTACAAAAAATAATTCTTGAACGCAGCGAAGACATTAGATTACTACATGCTATAAACTAATAAGTACTTGCAAATCAAATATTTTTTGATTTGGAATTTACAAAAGTTTAATAATCTTTAAGATAATTGGGATTCAAAATAATTGGACTTAAGAAGAACGATAAACAAAGAATTGAGGAGGAGAATAAGATCATCGACGCATTGTCGAAAATCCTAATGGTAAATTTACCCGAAAGGATGTAAATATATAGATTTAGTTAAACAATAATAAAACAATTCAGACCTGAAATGCACATAATAAGGTTCAATCAGAAGGATACAAAGGATTTATTTTCAATGTTTAAGTAATTCTTTATGGCTGAAAATAATTTTGATGGCATACATTTTGTACAATAAAATTAAGAATCTGATTTTAAGGTAACCGATCAAAACAAAACAGATGTCCACCGCGATCGTATTGATCAAGTTTCTAGTGAGTAGATCAAGGGAAGAATTCCAACTGTTAATTCAATCAGCTTCGACATCTGTCATTGGGAAAATGAAGTAGTAACTAGACAAGAAAACAGATGACACAACTAATGAGAGTAAAATCGAGAAGACTGAACCAGAGGAGGTGAAGCCGAAGCTACTCTTAAGAAAGAAAGTCATCATTCGAGAAAATACGTAACAATAAATGAAATAGCCAGAAATTATAAATCGTAGTGTTTCGGTTACTGATAAATTAGTAATGTATTCGCAAACTCAAGAATCTAATCCAAATCCTGAAAAGGAATTGAAATATCAATTAAGATTATAATAAAGAAAATTAAGAAAAGATCTAAAAAATATATATCAGCCTATGTTAGATTTAGATACAGATCATATGTGGTGTTCTCATGCAGTATTGAAGAAGAAGTTTATGAAATATCCTGAAAAATATTGTATTAAACAATTTATAAATTATAGTTTTAAAAAGAGGAGCATTTTACATTTGGAAATATTTGAACAACAATAATTCTGACATTAGAATAACAATAATGAATTTTGCATATAGAAGAGCCAAATTGGTCATAGTTGACAAAATCCTTTAAGAATAAATCCAAGATCTTCATAAGTAATATAATACCACTGGGTAAATCCCTAGACAATCATTACCATTGTTGGTGTCTTGCTAACAAACTCCAAAAATCTTGAAACATTAAATACGACTACAATAGCAATATTAGGTTCCAAATATAAGTTAATTACCAATGTTGAGGAGCTAACACTAGTAATTAAAATCAATGGAATTTTATGAAGCAACTGTGAAGGATTAAAAAGCGCATAAATCGAATAAATCACTAAACCTTACTCAAGAGCAGGCAAAGATATAGTAAAAGATAAAACTATAAAGTTCAAAAGACTTAATTTGATCACTATAATACACATATTTTATATATAAATTATGAATCAACCATTCACAGCAGAAATTAAATTGAAAAGTTCAAAAGAAAGAGGTTATTTCGATCAACTAGTTGATGCTGTTGTTCGTCCCCCTAGATAAATATATGATCCTTCAAAATTAGGTATAATACAAACAGTTATTTTAAAATAGGACCAACAACTATGCTTGTAAATAAATTACTAATTTACAGAGAAGATTTTATAGTATTTTCAAGACAACAAAATTTAAAATTACAATGTTCTTTATATAGTCCTGTATACTTAAAAGATAAAGCAAGACCGTGCATAATATACCTTCATGGAAATTCAAGTTCTAGATTGGAATCTTCATGTTATGCTAATATGATAGCCTAAGAAGGTATGAGCTTAGTGAACTTTGATTTTGGCGGTTGTGGAATATCAGATGGATAGTATGTTTCCCTTGGATGGTATGAAAAAGAAGACTTTTTAAACATTTTAAAATATATCAAAGAGAAGTAAATATCAATACCTACTCAAAGATATCCGCTATTAGGTCCATTTGGAGTTTGGGGTAGAAGTATGGGGGCAGTAACTGCAATTATGGCTGCAGCTGAATATCCTGAGTTGAATACTTTAGTTTTAGATTCCCCATTTAGTAATCTAAAGTAACTTTGCATTGACATTGGTGACAACTTTCATGTTCCAACCATTGGTGTTAGATTTGTGTTTTATTTGTTAAGGAAAAAGGTAAGGAAGCTAGTTAGATATGATCCCAAACATATAAACACTATGCAGTATATTAAAAAATTATCATCTAAATGTGCTGCGTATTTCGTAAGAGCAAGTAGTGACAAAATGATTGGAAAAAATCACATTGAGGATTTGTATGAAGCATTCAAGGGAGAAAAATACATTTTTACTTTTTTAGGCGATCATAATGCTCCTAGACCTATTGAAGCTTATCAAGGGATTACAAGGTATTACTATTATATATAAGACTAAATAAAAAGGTTTTTTGCAGCTAGATTAAATAAAAGCAATGAAATTTAAAAAATGAATTTGTCCAGAAAGAGTTCCGGGAAATCACACAAAGTTGAGAAAGGGTACAAATCTTAGAGATCTAACGAGTCCGATGTAAATTATGACGAATCTGATGATGAAAATGCTAAGAAATTAAATAATGAACAATACATAACAGAAATGAAAAAGCCATAACTATTGAATGCTTTTTTATCTGATTCTGACATTGATAGTCAACACTCACTTGATGAAGATTTGTAGGAACACGATCTTCCACAATTTTAGGATATCAAAACTAAATTAAGTTGATTACATTATTCTATATTACAAAAATTAATTTTTAATTTTCTTGTGCTATTATGGCAACTAATGCAAATGGACTAATGACCTGTTGCCAAGATTTTGGAGTTTATTGCATAACGTAATTATATATAAAAATATCAAAAGCTTATGTGTTTCTGAAGCGATTGCATTGGCTGTCTTAGCAGTTGGAATATGCTAATTGATAAAAAGAAAGAAATAATTTAGATAGGCTAAAAAAAGAAAAAATGTTATCTACATCTTAATAATCTTGTGCTTAACTTGTAAAATATTATCTAATATTAGGTAATATTTTGTTTAATGTGGCATAAAAAACATTGTTGGTTTTTTACTTTTTTTAGTTATATGTCTACTATGCATTTTTGACCTACATTGTATTCTACTTTGCTAGGAAAACTGTGAAGATTAAAACTTTTCAGCCTCATAGAATGTTGCAATTGAAAATCTATTGCATCTGCTTGATTTCATTGTTCACTATATTTTTGATTTGGAATTTGTATGATTATGTATCCAATTTAACTACATCCTATCGGCTTTGTCAAAGTATATGTAATCAAATATATTTGAGAATAGATATTTCATATTATAAGAATGATTGGTTTTGTAGTGGATTTGGTTTTAATAGCAGTTGCTCATTCTTTAAATGTGAGCATTAAGAAGAGTCTAGCAATAAAATCAACAATGTTAAGCCATTTCGTCAATTTTGAAGAAAATAGCAGAAAAATAAATCGATAAAGAATAAACTTTTGGTATGATCATGTGTTATAAGGGTCCTTGTTTGTGTGACATTTTTGGGTTAATTGTTATACTTCATAGAGGATATCTATTTTTTAGCCCAAGGGCCTACTGAGACATGTTCCATTTATTTAGATGTATAAATTGCATTCTACTTAGATTATTCTTAGCGAAGCATAAATATTTTAATACTTTTTGCTATTATTAGTTGTAGTAGTTTAAGTTCAACTCCCCTTTTCTATTACAATTTATATATTCTGGTTCCAAGAACCATCAACTAAGCAAGAATCAAAAGTATTCTATAAAATATTTTAGTCAATTGAATTTGAAGAAGACTACTTTAAAACAATCAAATTATAGGCAAAAACAGATTCAAATTCCTCAGAATAGATAACAACATTAAAAGAATGAAAATGAAGCATATTTAACAAATATAAATTATTAAATATAGAATAATTAATAAACATTCTAATAAATTAACTATTGTACATCCTCAATTTATACTAAATTCCCTTTCAACTTTATATAGAAGGACTTGAAATCTATTTAATAGGAATCAGCAAAGTAACCTTAATTATGAGGGAGACGAGTTTACGTTAATTGTTTTTCAATAGATATATACATATTTTCTAAAATTGTTTTAATTGAATGATAAACTATGATGCATTTACGAAAACAAGCATTATTATATTCAAGCATTTTTATAATTTTAAATCAATATTATGGGATTATGCATTTCTACCAAAGAAGGCGAACAATAAATGAATGACGAATTTATGAAAGCACCAACAGCTACCTTTGAACAAATAGAGGAAACTGGTGAGTAGGTGTTTGTTGATGATAACCGTGATGCCACAGTTAAATTGACTGATTTTTAATTCGAAAAAGTCTTAGGAAGAGGATCATTTGGAAAGGTGATGTTGGTAACCCATAAGGAAACGAATAAACTATACGCTATGAAAATATTGAGAAAGGAGATGATTGAAAAGAGAAATTAGAGATTGCATACGTAGAATGAGAGAGCCATTCTTGAAAATGTTAAGAACCCTTTTANTTGATTTCATTGTTCACTATATTTTTGATTTGGAATTTGTATGATTATGTATCCAATTTAACTACATCCTATCGGCTTTGTCAAAGTATATGTAATCAAATATATTTGAGAATAGATATTTCATATTATAAGAATGATTGGTTTTGTAGTGGATTTGGTTTTAATAGCAGTTGCTCATTCTTTAAATGTGAGCATTAAGAAGAGTCTAGCAATAAAATCAACAATGTTAAGCCATTTCGTCAATTTTGAAGAAAATAGCAGAAAAATAAATCGATAAAGAATAAACTTTTGGTATGATCATGTGTTATAAGGGTCCTTGTTTGTGTGACATTTTTGGGTTAATTGTTATACTTCATAGAGGATATCTATTTTTTAGCCCAAGGGCCTACTGAGACATGTTCCATTTATTTAGATGTATAAATTGCATTCTACTTAGATTATTCTTAGCGAAGCATAAATATTTTAATACTTTTTGCTATTATTAGTTGTAGTAGTTTAAGTTCAACTCCCCTTTTCTATTACAATTTATATATTCTGGTTCCAAGAACCATCAACTAAGCAAGAATCAAAAGTATTCTATAAAATATTTTAGTCAATTGAATTTGAAGAAGACTACTTTAAAACAATCAAATTATAGGCAAAAACAGATTCAAATTCCTCAGAATAGATAACAACATTAAAAGAATGAAAATGAAGCATATTTAACAAATATAAATTATTAAATATAGAATAATTAATAAACATTCTAATAAATTAACTATTGTACATCCTCAATTTATACTAAATTCCCTTTCAACTTTATATAGAAGGACTTGAAATCTATTTAATAGGAATCAGCAAAGTAACCTTAATTATGAGGGAGACGAGTTTACGTTAATTGTTTTTCAATAGATATATACATATTTTCTAAAATTGTTTTAATTGAATGATAAACTATGATGCATTTACGAAAACAAGCATTATTATATTCAAGCATTTTTATAATTTTAAATCAATATTATGGGATTATGCATTTCTACCAAAGAAGGCGAACAATAAATGAATGACGAATTTATGAAAGCACCAACAGCTACCTTTGAACAAATAGAGGAAACTGGTGAGTAGGTGTTTGTTGATGATAACCGTGATGCCACAGTTAAATTGACTGATTTTTAATTCGAAAAAGTCTTAGGAAGAGGATCATTTGGAAAGGTGATGTTGGTAACCCATAAGGAAACGAATAAACTATACGCTATGAAAATATTGAGAAAGGAGATGATTGAAAAGAGAAATTAGAGATTGCATACGTAGAATGAGAGAGCCATTCTTGAAAATGTTAAGAACCCTTTTATAGTATAATTACATTATGCATTCTAAACAAGAACTAAGTTATATCTGATTATGGATTTTCTAATTGGAGGTATTTTTGTATTTGTATCTAATCTAGGGGAATTATTTTTTCACTTAAGAAGAGCATTTCGTTTTTAAGAAGAAAGAGCAAAATTCTATTCAGCAGAATTAATTTTAGCAATAGAATATTTACATCAACGTAATATCATATACAGAGATCTAAAACCTGAAAACATTTTATTAGATATGGAAGGCCATTTGAAAATAACAGATTTCGGACTATCTAAAATCAACGTTAAGGATGATGAAAAAACAAATACATTTTGTGGTACACCTGAGTATTTGGCACCTGAAATTTTATTAGGAGGAGGGCATAACAAATGCGTAGATTGGTGGAGTTTGGGTGCTTTGCTTTATGAAATGCTTGCAGGTGCACCACCTTTTTATTCAAAAGATAAAACATAAATGTTTTAAAATAGACTTGAGAAAACAATAGAAATGAAGGATTGGTTCTCAACTGCTGCTAGATCAATATTGAATGGACTTTTATAGAATGATGTATATTTTTCAATTTAATCAGCCTAACAAAAGATTGGGATACAACGGAAGTTAGGAAATCAAAGATCATGAATTCTTTAGAGAAATTGATTGGGATAAATTGAACAACAAATAAATTCAACCACCATTTAAACCTAAAGTTTTCGGTCATAAAGATTTGAGACATTTTGATGATATGTTTACACAGGAGCTTCCTTAAGATACACCAATAAATAAAATACAGAAATTTGAAACTTATGAATAATTTACTTTTATCAAGACAAATGAGCTTAAAGATTCTAACAAAGATGAGGAGAAATTCATTGAAGTGAATAAAAACTTTATATTATAAAAAATTTGAACTAAATCAGAATTATTAATAATTGGATTGTCCAAATTTGAAATCGGAGTTATATTCTGGAGTGAATGGTCGATTTAAATCTGTATATTTTTTTAGTTAATTTGCATAGTAACCTTCTTATGCAAATGTAGTGACACTATTCTTAAATGGTTATTCTAAGCTATCTTCGAATTACTAATCATTCTAGCTTTTAATAGATTAATTACCCTTTGGTTATTAGATTCCCCTTTAAGTTCACTCAAACTTCTCTTATTAAAATTATTTGCGGTTATAATTTTTTTTTGACTTTCCTCTATAATCTCCTCTGCCTTTTATTCAACTGCTATTTCTATGTTTTCTTCTATTTCATCATCTTTTTGCTTTTGTTCATTAAAGGTAGTAAACTTTTGTGTTTTTATGTAATAATCTTAATTCAATTATTCTTACAAAGGTGGTTTACGAGGAAATGAATGTGCCATTCTGGCATTACTCTAATGTTTTTTATTACTTGATAAATCCCTATGTTTTTGAACCGATTTATCATTCCTTCTGACACTGTCAGCTTGTTGGCTAATTTTATTATTTCTAACAGACAATTTAGTACTCATGTCAAATTCATTTTAAGAAATGTCTTGTTGATTTGATTTAGAACTTGAAGTAATGATCAATTATTTTTATTATTAAGACAATTATTAAGGTTATTAAGTCTTTTTTTTGGGTGTAGGATGATCATCATAAACAATATTAGCCCTGGTTATTTTCTCCTAAGTTAACTTTTATTATTTCTAACTTTACTGGCTTTGCGATTGTTATGAAAATCCAGTTGCTTTTTTGGAAGTAATCCTTAAATCATAAAGAACATGTAATACTTCATTTGGCAACTGTCTTGGGAGGTCTCCAAATTATTGTCCTGATATTAAATTATTAGGTTTTGGTGTTCAAATCCAATTGGAAAGCCATGTTTCCCCATGATGGACCTAAAATAATGAAAAGGAGCATACCCATCTTGATCAGCCTATTTCATTGTAAAAATCTTTCTTAATTTGCAAGGGGATTAAATGACAAATAAATCTAGCGATCTAAATGTCATTCCTTTCCAACCTTAAATAAATGAATGTAGATCTATTTAAAGGTTTAGCCAAATGTTTTTTGGTACTTCTATTGGATATCTTATGTGGAATGGCTTTTTCTCAATTTATTTACAATTCTATGTTAAATAAACATGGCGCTTAGTTTTAGAGGTATCAGTAATTGAAAACTCAAATGTCCATTATTATGTCTATGGAACATAGATTTAGAGACATAAAAACTGTTAGACTAATCCTAGATCTCCTTCCTTTGGAAAATGGACTTTGGTGTTCTGTCCTTGCAATTCAATAATATAGTCTATGGTTTTTAAGAATCGTTAATACTCTTTAATTATTTATCGAAATCTTTAACAAAACTATTTGTTGTAATTTTTAATAGCTGTTAGTAATGCTTCTCTTTCTCCTTGTTGGCTTTATTTAGTACATCTAATTGGTTTATAGAAATACCTTTGGAATCAAATATCTCAAACAACGGTGTATTCTAAAACTAATTTTAAAACATTTATATATAAATATTTAATATTATCAATATTGCTTGAATATTTTAAGGATACTTGCAATATTTCTATGGTAGTTTTTACACGTATGAGCAGTTACTAGAGGAAATTTAAATAATTATTTATTGATTTATATCATTCTAATTCAATCCTAACCTTTTCATTCATATATAGAAATCGTGCTTTTTCTTCCATTCTAAACGTGGCCATTGCCATTTGAACATCTTTAATAGTGTTAAAGAACCCATTATTCAGGTTATATAAATAATTCAAAAGATTGGTGATAATATTAAGTGGATTTTGATGTTATAATTATGATTTATCATTGTACAATTATTTTAAATAATCGAAGAGATGATAATCTAATTTTTTAAATCATATTCTATATTGTTAAGAAATAATTATTATTACCCTCTGATCATTACTTAAGTCCACATTCTAAAATTATTTAGGTATTTTGAGGTTATCTTCTTAATAAATTTGCTAATTGAAACACATAGAGTTGACAATATGTTATTTTTGGCTTGGCGGCATATTTGCTTGTTTCTGATAAATAAGGTGGTTTACGTGTTTCTATTTTATCCAATACTTTGTACTCATTACATAATTATTATAATTGCGGAATCCTTTATATATTAATAAAAATTCCATAATATGTTATTCAACTTACCTCTTAAACAGACAAGACCTGTAGATCTTCTCAAGCCAGTGGAGTAGGCAATCCTTAATTGCTATGGAGAACCCACTCTCTTCACTGAGGTAACCATATTATACATATATTAAAGATTAGGGATGTAGTAGAGAAAACCTAAAAATCGAGATAAATTTTGGATTATGAGAAGATCAACTTGAGTATCGCCACTGATCCTCAAACATCAGAAAACCTAGAGAACAATCTTCTTGAATATCTAAAGAACTTTTCTTTGCTATTCAAGCATTTGAGATTCGAACAAGGAGATTAAAGATCCCCATAAGTTATGTTCTATTGGAGTGACAGCTATGATCATGTATTTATTTATTGTTCTATGAATTCTAGAAAAGAAGCTGTCAATTGAATTCTGGTAGATTAGAATTGATATCTTAATACTACAATCTAATAATCTCTTACTATTATCAGGCTAATAGTAAGATCGTAAAAGACACAGACCCTGATCGTAAGGCTGCATATACCAAACTCAGAAATGGGTTATGGGCTTTGGAACAATTAAAACAAAATATTCATGGATTGTCTAAAGATTCAGTATCCTAATTGTATGATATTTAAACTTTAAATTTGGAATTTCTGGAACATGCTGTAATTATGAATCTCAAAATAGTTCTGTGGCTTGGCCTACAAGGCTTTATATCAAAATATGATGTCACAAGTGAAGACTTTCGGACTTAATAATGTTTGTGGGACAATTTTTGAAGCTGCAAAGGAATTCACAATCTCTTTGAAGGCTGTAGAGGCTATGAATTCTTAATACTAGAAACAAATTGGAAAAGTATTTTAAGTTCTATATGATTTTAGAATATTCTTTCTCAAATTTTACCCACAATTTAATTTAATCAAATATGGACAACTGTTACTGGCTGTATATAGATGGCAGTGTTTCATTATGGAAAAATATCTGATGAATCTAGAGGCTAAAATATGGGAAAAGCTCTGGGTTTTTTGGCTAATGCTCAATAGTAGTTATTACCTATTGTTAATGACAAGAATGGCAGCAAGGCATTCCCACCAGATTAACTTGATCAATTGAAGTAGTTGAATTAACAATTAACTTAATTGGTTACTGAATATAATTACAAGAATCAACAAATATACAAAGAGTAATTAATTGCTTCAGATTTGTTGCCATACCCACCTTTGATGGAATAAATTAGACTGAAACCTCTTGAACCGCCTAGTTTCAAAGAACCAGTTAATGGAGCAAATAAATTTTCAGGCTTTGTATCAGAAGAAGCTTTATAATTGTCTAGGGAGATCAAAATGTTTGTGGAATAAACAAAATACTCCCTTGAAGAATCCTTAAGATTGTTATTTGATCAAAAAAATCAAGCATATGCAGAAACCTATGTCACTTATTTTATTGATATGGCCCAACAAAAACAACTTGATCAAGGAGGAATACCTTAGGCAATCTAAGAAAAAATAGCATATATAAGAACCAGAGGGTGCTTAAATGGAATAGAGAAGATAATTGAACAATCTAAGCAAGCATCTATTACTTGCAATTAATTGTTAGGTTAAATTGAATAGTTATTAATGGGTGAATAACAATAGGATCAGGAAAATAGAAATAAATACGGTGCCAAATGGACAAGAAGTCCTTCAGCATAATTAAGTTAACAATATTTCAAATCCTTATAAGACCTCAAGGCTAAATACTTGTAAGCACAAAAAATCGACTTTGAAGTGATAAATGGTTTTGAAAAGTGCAAAGAAACTGTTATACTTGCTTCATAAAGTGATTAAGTCATTATTCAGAAACTCCCTAAAAGTAATAATAACTCAGACTTCGTAAATCAAAATGCTTAACTTTTTGGACAATTGACAACTTAAGATTAATAAGTCAATTCTATTATAGATTAATTAAAGTTCTTCATCCAATAATATAATCAAGCTATGCAAGAAATAAATGTAACTAAGATAGCTGTCCAAGGATTAAATGATGGAATGCCTAAAGATTAAATTTTCAATGCTGCCCTTTAGAATGTTTAAGGATTCATAGAACAATTTAACAATGATGTAAGCATTTCATATATATCTCAAGATGAATTAAGTTTCAGAATTGATCTCTAAAGTCTGCGGGATTGCCAGAGAACTCTCAAATCTTAAGAAATAATCAGCTGAATAGGTGTAATAATCTGGGTAGACTAATATCTTTGCAAGTGCTTAATAAGCAATTGACAACATCGACCATTCAGTTGTCTTCTATGAGTACAATCAATTTTATATTTAGACAATTGAAAATGCATTTGGAAGAATAAGATAGAAAAGTCAAGGACTTCTTGATGGCACGAAACCTGGAATCAGAACAATTAGTGTAATAATTCAATCAACAATAAACATACTAATAATCCTAGTAATATCAACCTCCAGTGCAACCACAATAGCCATTGTAATAGTCAGGGTATCAATATCCTCCATATCCAAATTAACCTTAATATCCCTAATACCCACAACAACCTAATTATCCAAAATAATCCAATGTTATAAATCATCCTTTAGCAAATCCATAAAATTACCCTCCCTAACAATACCCCCAATAATAACAATACCCATAATAATAACCATACCCATAGTAATAACAATACCCATATGCCTAATACCCACAATAATAATAGTAAAATTATGGATTATGGGGTTAATAATAATAGAAAAAATGACATAAAATTTAAATAATTACATATTTGTTATAATATATTCTTAACTCTCTTTAGAAATAGGTGTGTTATTCCAATACTTTTGAAAAAGTGAAACACGAGCGAGCTAAATATTATTAATTATTAATTTATTTATACAGTATGTCCTCAGGAGAGGTCCCATAGGAGAAGAAGACACTATTTTCCACTCTGGTTCAGAAGAAATAGGCAGAGACTGATGCATAAAAGATCCAAAATAGGATACTGTAATTAAAAATGGAGCATGAGAAGATTTTGAAGCACATTCAATAGGATGAACAGAGAGCCGAGGAAATTTATCGCCATAGAGTAGAAATCTAAATGAAGGTAACATTCACTTCAAATAAAATGCTTAGAAAGAAAATAAAATGAAATAGAAATAAGCATAGCCACCTCCATTCTCATTGGCTGTTTCTCATCATCAAAGAGAATTGTTGAAGAAAATAAAGGAGGATGAGTTAAAAAAGAAGAAGTCTGAAGCTAAGATTTTCAGAGAACAATTAAAGTAGGAATTCAAGAGCGTTTAATTATAGAAAAGTTTAGAACAAGAAGGATGTCGCATTAAGGCAATTTAAGTGAAAGAAGAAGAGAGGCAATCTACTTAATTGGCTGTTGCCAAATTAAAGTAGAAGAGAGAGAGAGTAAGATATGAAATAGAAAACGAAAAAGATAGAATAGAAAAAGAAAAGGAGTTATATGATTTAAAAATTTAAGAATTAGAATCACTTGAACAATTGGCTATGATGGAACTTCAAAATTCCATAGCCAGATAGCAGAAAGTCTAAGAGAAGATTTAATAAGCGCAGAAACTATCACCCAGCGATTATGAAAAACAATATTAAAGTATGTAGAAGGCAGGGGCCACACAATGATATATATTAATATTTTAATATGCTTAACGAAAGTTTAGAATCAGATAAGGAGCTTGATCCAGAGAGAGAAAGACAAAAATTAATGCTCAAGAGATAGAAGTCAATTGAGGAGAGTCTCTAACTAAGTGTGAAAGATCATATCATAAAATTGGAAGTAATCAATTGAAATACTTTAGAATTATTTGGTTGAATTGAAAAAAGACCTAGAAAACAGCAAAAAAGAGATGTCTAATCTAAGAATGGACATTGCTACTGTAAAGAATACTCATGGGACCATGAGTGACGATCTTACTACATTTATACAAAATGATGTATTATTAATCGAAATGCATTTTAGGCCAAAAGAGTCTTAAATGAGACACTGAAAAAATCTTAGGATGCTTAGCATGATAGTGAATTTTTGGATGCTCAACTAAATGTATTAAAAAGTGATAAAGATAAATTACAAGATGTTACATCTACATTAGAAAAAAGAATTGTTTCATGTGAGACTGATGTTGGATTTAAACATGTCTATGATTGAGCATTAAGAATATCACTTATTAATTTAGTTTTAATTTCTCTACTAAGAACTTATAAGCAAAACTATAAACTAATTTTATTATTACACTCTAAATATAAATTATATCAGAAAAATATAGTTTTTTTTGTTTACTAAACACTATTTATTGGAGCGATATCCATAACACACTATTTAAATGATTTTTCAAAGTACTCATCAAATTTACCTTTACAAACCTCACTTCTTTCCAGAGAAGTCCTTACTTCATCAATAAAGCATTATTTGTCACTCTATTTGCATTTCCCAGATATATTCAATCCTCTGATCTTCATACAAGATAACATTGAACAATCATACCAATCTATTTTGGCTCTTAAATCATCATAAAGAAAAGTTAACTAATACATTTAATTTCATCTATACATCGTATTTCATTATCTATTAAAAATGAGCATAATCACGAATTTTATTATAACAAACCAAAATTTTTTTTTCTGCCTATCTATAAAATGATATATCTGGATCATTCAAATCGCACAATTGAAATTATACTATTTAATCTAATTAAGATGTATGTTGGTATTATCTAAATTAAGTTCTAAACAATCTATAATCTGGAGATTGCTCAAATTCTTCTAAATACTTTTTTGCATTTTTCTCCATCAACTGCAACGCATTTGATATTGTTACAAGTCGTTTTCGTTCAAATAATACTTTTGATTTTTATAATGCTTCTTCTGAATCAATTTAGCCACTCATTAATATTAAAAATCATAAATTTGGATTTATATTGCTCCTTTAATTAAAGAGCTAGATAAATGTAAAATTTCTTTCACTTAAGAATATAGAAAAATGTAATTTGCACTTTGAACAGCAAAACATTGTTTAATTGCATAAATACATAAATACATATATCACTATTGAGTTTTCATAATAAAATTATAATTCAATTTAATTTAAGTTTTTGCTAAACCTAAATGATAGTCTATATTGTATTTATATAATGATCGTTCATATCTGTTTATAGACGCTATAATTATATATAGAAAATACTTTAATGTATTATTATTCACTGCTGGCAAAGTAATCTTTGACTTTCTAAATTTGTAGACATAATTCTTATTCAAATTTACTATCCTTATTAAGTTCAACATGTTGTCCAATTATCTGTGCAATTCCTTCATACATGAGCAATAATTATGATGACAAAGTTTTAGCGTATTTTCTACAATTATCCTCTACTTGCATTCTTAATGCTTTTTTCAACTATGCTAATAAAGCTTCCTTGAAATTTTATTTGATTTCAACATATGTTGATAGTTTTTATTCCAATACCTTTATCATCAATATCTCCTTTTCTTTTAATAAGTATTTAAGCTTATTGTAAGTTTAATTTTGATGATTTAGAAATATGGCTTATATTTTATTTGTCATATTGGTTTTAAATTCAATTACTGTTTTATTTAATGACTTCATCACCTTGAGTGTGTTGGCCTTCTTTATGACTTACGCAATTTCAGTATGCTTAATTATGGCTTCAGCCAATTGATTTTAAAATTGAGGATCACCCTTAATGAGCTTTACCAATTGCAATTATTATTCCTTAGTCAAACGCTAAAATTTCTAGCCATTTCTCTTTTTCCTCTCATTGTATGTTTAAGTTTGCTCCTTCAAGGTTTGATCGTGCTTTTCAATTTCTTCTTTAGAAAATTAAGGAATCGATGTTTTAAAAGCAGAAGAAGATGGCTGTGAGGATTGAACTTGATTATCAGGTAATTGACTTGATTGTGATTATTTTGATCCATAGGTTTCTTACAGACCCTTAGCAAACTGAAGACGAATTTTATATTACATAAATTAATTAAAATCAAGAATTGAACCATCTGTCTTACAAGATCTATAATTTTATTTTTTTTATACTCTTAATGTTGTGATTCTCTCGCTGGCCCTGATGGTTAGCATTTATGAAATTAACTTTTGACATTGAGGGGATGCATTAACCTTTTGGTATATTCCTTTTTTAATTTATCCATACAGATCAGAATCGTTGGATCCTTTAAATGGAAAATGACCTGTCAATAAAACATACAGTAGAACTCCTAAGGCCCAGACATCTACAGGTTTACCAAAGTAATCCTATTTATTGACTAACTCTGGAGCCATGTAACTTATGTAAATGAAGTATAATTACCTAGGAGTTCCACAAAATACTCCTAATTTGCAATCTCTATTAACTAAGACTGAGAATCCAAAATCAATCAATTTAATCTCATTGTTATCTTTTAGGAGTATATTTTCAAGTTTAATATCTCTATGTACAATATTCAATGAATGACAATAATCTACGGCTTTTACAATTTATCTAAATAGTAGTTTTGCATCGTCTTCATCGAGTCTTCTATTGGGAAATTGCTAAGATTGGAAATGGTCAAGTATACTTTTAAATAAGATCGCAAACTCTTGGAACCACCGTATTCAACGATTAGATTGATGTCCATTTGGGTTTCGATGGTATTGACATACTTGATGATATTTGGATGGTCCAATAATTTGAGAATGTGGATTTCTCTTTTCAATTGCTATTTCCTTTGTTAATTACATAATTTAGCTTTGGAATAAATCTTGATTGCAATTAGTCTAATTATATAAATGAATTGTACTTTTCTGTCAATTTATCTCTAGCTAATTTAACGGTTGCATAGGAACCTTGTCCGAGAGTAGTCAAAATTAAATATCTATCCAAATTAGAAATTTGTTGATGCAATACGGTATTGGTATTCACTTGTTATTGAGAACTAGAACGGGAAATCCTATTAATAATGTAGAGAATGTTTATACTTGAAGAGATCTAAAGGTTGAGTTTTCAATTTCTGTTCACATTATTATGGAACATCAGTATCTAATTATGTGATGCTAGTTTTTTTTAGTAAGCCATCTGCTAAGGTTTCCAATTAAATTTTGGTTGATTATTTGTTTGTTCTGTAAGAGCCTTGTGCAGTCTTATGTCTGAGGTAATGTTCTGTCTTATTATCTTGGGTTGCCACTGTGCAATATTAATCTGTAACTCTCATGCCAGTTTTAGGCCGAGGCCGTAGACTTCTTTAGGTTGGTGTTAAAATAAGTTAGGGAACGGGATTGATGGTTGTTTGCTAATACAGATCCAGGATGGCCAATTCTTAGGCTGGCCTTCTTATTGCAGAGTTACAACGAGTTGTGGGTCTCACCTTGAAACCACCTCCTTTCATAACAATATTAATATATAATAATATAATAATCAATCATTATTTTTATTTAGAATAGTTATCCAACATAAATTCTGCAAAGTGAATACTAGCTGGATTAGATTCATCGTACAAGATATCCTCTAGATATTGAGTACCTTAATTAATGAGTTCTTCGGCATATACAAGTTCAGCATAATTTAATTTTAGTTTTGGTTTTGTTGGTAAGAGCCAATGATACCATTCTGAATCACCAAACACTTGTTTAAAATTGTTAACGAACGATTGTTATCTACCAAATTTACCCTGTCTTGATTCTACCACTGTCTAATTATCTCTGATTGCTGTAATTTAATCCCAAAGCAGTTGACTTACAAATATTATAAAACAGAAACTAAATAAAAGAATACTCAAAATTTAAAATTTTGTGGTTGTTATCGTCATCATAATTGATAAAATCTTTCTCTTTGACTACAAACAATAATCGCAAATTCCAATAGTGTGAATACTCAAAACTGTTAAAATGTATAAAAGTAAGTAAAACAGAAATAGAACAAAGTATTTTTAATTCAAAGCTCCAATGCAATTATTTTCCCATTCGCAATGATGATCCATCTTAAAAATGCATTTGTTACATCTCTTGCAATGATGTGCTCTTGGTGGCTTCCATGCATTGCATTTCTTACATATTCGATCATACATTTCATGAACCAATTACAACTTTATTGGAACACTTTTCTAACGAACTTCTCCAGGATCCGAAATAGAAGCTCTGATCTAACAAGTCGACAGCAATACACAAAAACAAAAAGCAGATGCTCTCAAATAATATAGGATTGATAATGATGAATTTTCATAAAATGATGTCGTATACAGTCCCCATACAACCAAAACCTGTGTAAACACTAGCAGTGTACGACCCAAGCACTTAGACTTCTTAAACTTTTTACCTTCAACATTCTTTTCTCTTTCCATTTTTAATTATGAATTATAAATAAAATAGTTAAATTAATTGTGAAAAGCCAAAATATTCTTAAAAATATAACATTATGTAAATTGTTTATGTGTTTAATTCGAATTGCAAATTTATCATACAACTTGCTCGCGTAGGACACATACTTTCTATTTTGAGATGAAACCAAAACAGCCATGCACTCATCACAGGAGCTGGCATCCCATTAAGGATCTCTCTCTTATTATTCTACGCTGGACTGACTTATAATTGGTTATTTATGAGAAAATAAATTTATGGGATTATATTAAATAATCCATATCTGATTAAGAAAAATCTTACTATTATGCAATTATATTATTTTTAAATAATCATCATTATAAATAATATTAACAATTACATTAAGGAAATACCATATTAAGTGATTTTCAAAGTAATATTATTGTGCATTAGTAAAAAAATTAAACAAAGGAGGGATTGCAGAAGTAGTTTATAGAGCTAAGTATATTGTTGATAGAAATGATTATTCAGTCATTATAAATTATTGCTTTAACTAGTTTTTGAATTAACCTTTATGAAATCTCTGAGTATATTGATAATCTTTATCCTAACATATCTATCTGTCAAATCAATTTCAATAATTCTAATATAGATAATTTATGTCAATTTTAAATATATATCTATCGCATATCATATTAAATTGGGTTAGAATATATCTGATATTGTAGATATATAATTAATACCACTTAGTTTAGTTAATGCAATTAGTTTAGATGAAACTTACTATTTTGGAATCACCAGATATCGTTTTCACCATTATCATCCAAATAAAAATTATATATAAAATTACTAAGTCTTCATCGATATTGATAGGAAACGATAAATTATTTAAAATTTATTAATGAATATATCTGGAATAGTTGATTGGTATAAAAGTTATTAATTTAGGATTCTTTTACATCCAATCCAATACCCAGGCAGACATAACCACTAGTAATAAAGGACGTTGTCAATTTACAGAGATCTTACTACCAAGGATTAATTTCTATTGGTTATTAACTCATTGAAAGAATTGTTATAGGATTGTTACAGCAAAGGCAATTCTCTGCATATTCACAACTTTGGGACATTTAGTTTCGAATTCATAGGTCCAACTTCACAAGCAATTCCCATCAAGCAATCAACACAATTAAAATAATTACCGAAATTATATCAAAACATTAGGCCATGTTTTATAGTTGATCCATACTTACAGAAATAACTATCTCGTTATTCACAAAAGGATGAAATTAACAAGAGTAGAGGAGTTGGAAGCATATACAACCAAGGACATGCAACATAATTTTGTAATCCGTAAACACTCTCGAATATGTGTTATGTTGACAAATTAACAATAGAATCGATACTCAAAACATTTACACAAGCAATTAATGATTTAATAAGAATGGGACATGATGTTAATCTAGATTTTGGATTAAGCATTATAAATGTTAAGAATAAAAATTTGTAGTACATGTTTGATGAAAAATTCGTAAATTTTATGAACCAACCTGAATTCACAGATAATGTATAAAATTATGTTAATGAACCTAGTTTTTGAAGTCTAAGCCTATTACTTGTAACATCTGGAAGAATGAAAAATCAATTCAAGATAAGAATCTAAACGAGATCTACTTTGCCCCTTGTTCCCCATATAGTTTAGTGACTAATCAGAAAACTAAGAATTTGATGAATATAAAAGACATGACATCTGTGTAAAAATGATTATTTAATTATGGAATCATAAATTATATTCTTAAGTTGAATTATCCAAATCAGTGTAGTTTGTTATTTTTGATTTATTTCCATTTTTAATTTCAATTTCTAATTTAAAGATATGGAAAATCATTACACTTTTACAGATTTGTTAAATCATTCTCCTATTAGAAATCATAAATAAAAGGCATTCAATCAAATTTATTCGATTGTTAATAAATAAGTGATTTAAACAACAATAATGTTTTTTTAAGGATATGCTTTTGCAAATAGATATATCAAAACTGGAAGTATAGTTACTGCATTCTATTTTAGTTTATCTCTTGTTTAAANATAATTAATACCACTTAGTTTAGTTAATGCAATTAGTTTAGATGAAACTTACTATTTTGGAATCACCAGATATCGTTTTCACCATTATCATCCAAATAAAAATTATATATAAAATTACTAAGTCTTCATCGATATTGATAGGAAACGATAAATTATTTAAAATTTATTAATGAATATATCTGGAATAGTTGATTGGTATAAAAGTTATTAATTTAGGATTCTTTTACATCCAATCCAATACCCAGGCAGACATAACCACTAGTAATAAAGGACGTTGTCAATTTACAGAGATCTTACTACCAAGGATTAATTTCTATTGGTTATTAACTCATTGAAAGAATTGTTATAGGATTGTTACAGCAAAGGCAATTCTCTGCATATTCACAACTTTGGGACATTTAGTTTCGAATTCATAGGTCCAACTTCACAAGCAATTCCCATCAAGCAATCAACACAATTAAAATAATTACCGAAATTATATCAAAACATTAGGCCATGTTTTATAGTTGATCCATACTTACAGAAATAACTATCTCGTTATTCACAAAAGGATGAAATTAACAAGAGTAGAGGAGTTGGAAGCATATACAACCAAGGACATGCAACATAATTTTGTAATCCGTAAACACTCTCGAATATGTGTTATGTTGACAAATTAACAATAGAATCGATACTCAAAACATTTACACAAGCAATTAATGATTTAATAAGAATGGGACATGATGTTAATCTAGATTTTGGATTAAGCATTATAAATGTTAAGAATAAAAATTTGTAGTACATGTTTGATGAAAAATTCGTAAATTTTATGAACCAACCTGAATTCACAGATAATGTATAAAATTATGTTAATGAACCTAGTTTTTGAAGTCTAAGCCTATTACTTGTAACATCTGGAAGAATGAAAAATCAATTCAAGATAAGAATCTAAACGAGATCTACTTTGCCCCTTGTTCCCCATATAGTTTAGTGACTAATCAGAAAACTAAGAATTTGATGAATATAAAAGACATGACATCTGTGTAAAAATGATTATTTAATTATGGAATCATAAATTATATTCTTAAGTTGAATTATCCAAATCAGTGTAGTTTGTTATTTTTGATTTATTTCCATTTTTAATTTCAATTTCTAATTTAAAGATATGGAAAATCATTACACTTTTACAGATTTGTTAAATCATTCTCCTATTAGAAATCATAAATAAAAGGCATTCAATCAAATTTATTCGATTGTTAATAAATAAGTGATTTAAACAACAATAATGTTTTTTTAAGGATATGCTTTTGCAAATAGATATATCAAAACTGGAAGTATAGTTACTGCATTCTATTTTAGTTTATCTCTTGTTTAAATATAGTGAATTCTAATAATAAAGATATGTTCAAAGAGGACTGCCGATACAAAGATATTAACTAAATAAATCTTTTTATTTTACAGAAAGACATGAGAACATGCAAAGGATTTGATCCTAATTGATATATATATATATTCTGAAGGAAATTTAATAGAAAATATCTGATGATGTTTATTATAATTGATAATATTAATATTTAATAATTTAAATCATGAGTATTCAATAATAGTCATTTGTAATTAACATAATATTAGAATAACTATATAAGAATTTAATTAAAAAATATTCTTGAAGTTAAGAAGATTGATTCGATAATAAATTAGTTTTGTTTTGTTTTCTTATTGTTTGACATGACTTTGATATTTAATTCGTTGATGTAACTGGTTAAAAAATAATATATTTAATTAAATAAGATGAGGAGTAATTTGTATTAAAGTATGTCCTAGGATTTAAAATGGAAACAAGATAGATTAGTGATCCAATCCTAATTTAAAAAAGAGAACGATAAAACTTGCCATCTCTTAGGTTTTAATAATTATATCATATATATGAAAGTAATATGAGTTTATTTGATGTATAGGATCATCAAAAAGGACCAAAGAAATATATTCCTTTAGATTTTGAGATTAAATTTGAAATTTTAAGGGATAAAGTTGTAAAAAAAAGTGAAAACGAGGATTCTTTGGGTTAAATTAAAGGAATAAGCTTAATAAAGGATGTAGGGAATGATAAAATACTTTAAGAGAGGTATTATGGAGAGGAAAACCTGATCAAGCAATGGAGAGAGTATTTGAGCAACAGGATAAACCAATGGCAATTTCACCAAATGTTTAGAGTGTATAAGAAAATTGGGAAGGGAAATTTTGCGTCAGTATTATCCTTAATAATTCTTTATAGGTTTATATGGCATAGAATATTGAGAATGAGAAAAATATGGCAATAAAAGTATTTTCTAAGTAAGTAGCATATGCAGAAGAACAAGGGAAAAAGGTGATAGTAAATGAGTTGAAGGTAATGAGATAGCTGAATCATACACATATAATGTAGATGTACGAGGTATATGAAACCTAAAATTCTCTATACGTGGCACTTGAGTTGTTGGAAGGAGGTTCCCTGTATGACTTGATAAAAGAGAAGACTTTGCTCTCAACTACTTAAATTTAATAAATAATGGTAGGGGTTTTATAAGGATTACATCATATGCATTAAAAAGATATAATGCATCGTGATCTCAAATTGGAGAACATCCTTTTTAAACATTAAAAGTATAAGTTAATTACATTTTAGGAAAATGGACTCAGTAGTAATTGCTGATTATGGCCTGGCAACTAAAGTCAATGAACCTGTTTACTTATATAGTAGATGTGGAACTCCAGGCTTTGTTGCCCCAGAAGTTATAAATTTGAAAGATTAGAAAGGCCATTATAGTGAGGTTTGTGATATTTACAGTCTTGGACTTGTGTTCTACATATTGTTATCTGGAAAATAGGCTTTCGCTGGTAAAAGCTATGGAACTGTAATTAAATAAAATAGAGAAGCTGTAATTAACTTTTAAATTAAATAATTGCAATAAGCTCCAAGTTCGGCTATGGATCTGATGAGAAAAATGCTTGAGAAAGATCCAAATAGAAGAATTTCAGCTGCTGATTGTTTAAAACATCCTTTCCTTGCTGAGATGAATAATTATATGGCAGATGATTCAGTTAATGATTCATTAGATGATGATAATGAATTGGGAGGAGTTGCTTCAAGAATGAATGCATTGAATGAAGAGTATTCTTAATATTAAATATTCCTAGGGTCATAAAATTCGATGTATTTAGAAGAAATGCAATAATGAATTCTCCAGGTTCTCCAGGAATTATTGAAACCTAATAATTAAAATAACAGAAAGTTATAGATTCCGTAAATCAAATTTAAATGAATTCTCCCTTATTAAATGGTAAGATTGAAACAATAGGGAGTTTATCTAATATTGGAACTCCAAAGATTTTAAGTTCTTTTTATTAATCTCCATTGATTAAACATTCGCAATTCAAATAGTAATTCATATTTATATAAGCTTTTAGAATTCTACCATAATAATAAAAATAAGATCATCAATTCTCTTAGTAAAAAGCATGATCTTGTCAAAAATTTGTATTATCAATTTATTTTTATAATTAAATATAAACTAAATTCACTTAAAAAAGATTAAATAAAACAATTAAAGGGGGTGCTATTGCGCGAGAACTAAAAAAATAAAAGAAACAAAAAAGGAAGTTGAAAATCAACATACTAAAATACAAATGATCTTTTTATCCTTTGATTACATAAAAGTAAATTAAAATGTAATAAAATTTTAGACAATTTATGTTATTTTTAATTAATATAAAGGAGACGATTTACTTCAAGGGCAATAGGAGGAAAGAAAGTAATATTCTCTTTATTATACATTTCTATCTTTTAAGAAAAATTTATGTTATTATTTACTTAGCACTTAAATTTTTCAGCTTTACTAAAATTGATTCTGAAGATTCTAAAGTTTATTTTTGCTTTTAAATATTATCTATATTATCTTATCTTATTAATAATCCTCAACTCGCTATAAGACAAAAATAATAAATTTTGTAGATTATTTTTATCTTATAAAATTATAGTGATGTATTTTTTGTTCTTGATTTTAGGCAATATTTCTTAAGATTCATTTAAATCTTTAGTTATTGTTTTTGGTTCTGATAGGCAATCTCTATAACTAATATTACATAATTAAGATATAAATTATATTAAGCTAATATCAAACATTTAAAATTTAACACGATTTATTATAACAAATGCTCACTTAATCCACCTTAGTTAAGGACCACGATAAATTACTTATTTCGTTTTCTGCTTTGTATTCTAATAAGGGATCTACAAGATTATCAATATAAAATTACCAATAGAATTAAGGTCATTCTATTTATTTTATAATTCTGAGAAGTCCCAAATCAAAGCAGAAGAATCATCAGAAACACTACAAAGATGAGTTGTTGATTCAGGTGCCCAGGCTATGGCATTTACATAGTCTTTATGATTTTTTAATTTTGCCAAGGGTAGAAGTGGTTGTCTGAATACAATTAATGAAAATACCTCGTATCCAATAGGGTCACATAATTCACATCCATCTCAATTATGGCTAGGTAGTTGGTGTCCATTTTATTCCATGCCAATCTGACGATGGGATTGTTATTTTCAGTCTCAAACAAAACTGTAGAATGATCTAAAGCTCTAGTGAAATATTAAGAAATCAGAACCTCAAATCGAATTGTCTACAACTGCCATCTGCTCCAACAGAAGCAAAGATCTGATGATCCACACTGAAACAAATGTCATAGACTTCTTTATCATGTGCTATCAATTAGGTGAAGACAGTCTATTTTTCAATTTCCCATAAAGTACAAGTAGTATCTATTGAGGCAGTTCCAATGTAATTCTGTTGTTTACAACTCCAATCGAAGGAAGTCAAAGGGGCATTGAAATCACTAGTCTAAAATTATGGTTTGATAATTAATTATGATACATTCTTTAAGTCCCATTTGATCTTCACTTGTGCATTTTAGTCATCATACTCCCAAACCTTCAGATTTTCTCCGCTAGTTGCTAAGAGATCTGGATACTTCCCTTCAACATCAGGAATCCATAATACTTTTGTGGGAGCATACCTATGGCTGAATTTAGCCTTCTTGAAAAAGGATTCTTATTCTTTGTCTAATTGTAAGATGTAAACCTATTTTCAATAATAATAGCTAACTTCGTTCTGAATATCTTCAATCATGCTACCAATTGCAATACGAGATTGTGGAGTTGGTTTTGATTGAAATCCCATGGCATAGATTAGCCAAGGTGCTTTGAACGTGTAAATTTGATTCTGATTCTCTTATTACATTTGGTTTGTATTTCCTAACTGAGGTTATTCAGTTTGAGGACCTTTTTCTTGTTATTACTCGCCATCGTTCATTTCTTTAAAAAAATATTTATAATTTAATTCATCAAATTATTTCTATAATACACTTCATTTGCTCAATAAATACTCAATGACTTTATTTGTAGTAATTTATTGTTATTTCAATATTGATTAGCCTCCTTTTTATTGCAGATTTATTTGCCATTCCCTTCATTTCCATAATCTGTCTCATTTATTTTAAAAACTGAGTTTTTAATTGACATTCCTATTGGAATTCGAATGCAAATAAATAGACTATTCTTTCCATACTTTCGAAGCATCCACCTTTATTTCATTCTAAAATTAGAAATATGAAATGTGCAATCTTAATTCTCTATTCTATTTTTTAACCTTAACTCTTAATGGCATATGAGAATTACTTTATTTATTCCTCCATTTCAATAAATTTATAAGAATATGGCATTCATTTATCTCATTCTTTCAAATTGAAGTTTAATTAACTCTAATTCTTATTGACTCTCAAATTCATATATTGTTAACTCTATTTGTATTGACTTATTGTTTCTATTGAGTAATTTATTAATTAAGTAGCATTCCTATATCTTTTATTGAGTTTTAATCACTACTAAAGAACTCTACCATCTTCATTTATAAATAATTGATATTAAAAATAAAAATATATTGCCAAATTTATCAACGGGGTATGCTTAACCAAGTATATAAATTGATAATATCCTAAAAATATTTTTGATTTAATTTTATATTTTCCGAATGGATCCAAATTAGAACGAGGATGTTTTCTCAGCTTTTGTTGATGAATATTAAAAAAACTTCTTTGATATGCTCTTCAGATTTGAAAGTGAGTTTACTATTTATATTATTTATCAGGCAAAGCTGAACCCATAAAAGAAGCATGGACAAGAGAAGATGGTCGAGGTCATGGACTGACTTGTGTTATTCAAGTATACCCATTATCATATGTCTTAAGGACGGCAATTTCTTTGAAAAAGCTGGTGTCAATGTTTCAAGAATCACAATTCCATTGAGTTAAGGAATCTATCAATAAATGAAAGGAAGAAGGGTTCCTGGAAGCAATTGTATTATTCTGAACAATAATCATTTAGTGGACCAAATCGATATGAACAATCTCGCTAAATATGATACTTATGCTAATGGAGTAAGTCTTGTGATTCATCCCATTAATCCTTTCTGTCCAACTGTTCATGCCAACTTCCGTACAATAAGAATCAAAGAACGAGAGACAGGTATATAAATGTATAGATTACTTTCTTAGGTAAATTGATCGATTCCTGGTTTGGTGGTGGCAGTGATCTCACTCCAATCTACTTATTTGATGAAGATGCCAAATTTTATCATCAGAATATTAGAGATGCCATAGTAGAAGTGACTGGAGATGATAAATTATATAGATAATACAAAAAGGAGTGTGACGAATACTTCGTAAATCATCATAGAAAAGAAGCCAGAGGAATCGGTGGAGTTTTTTATGATGATTTCAATTTGGAATCCTTTGAGAAGGGTTTGTAGTTCTAAAAAGGAGTTGCTTACGCTAACTTGAATAGTTATGAAGCCATCTTAAATAAGAGAAAGGATACTCCTTATAACGATGAGAACGTTCGTTGGAGATCATTCAGAAGAGGTATATTTTAGATTGAATCATAGGTCGTTATGCTGAATTTAATCTGATTCATGATAGAGGAACCAAATTTGGTTTGATGACTCCAGATGCCAGAATAGAGAGTATATTGATGTCATTGCCACTCACAGCCAGATGGGAATATAACTATCATCCAAAGGAAGGTACAGAGGAAGCAAGAATTGTTGGTGTGTTGCTGAAACCAGTTGAATGGGTGTGAGATATATAAGAGTAAATTAATTTATGAAATAAATTGCTTTTCGTTTGAATCACATTTGCCATGCTCAATTTGGATTGCGTACAAGAGCTGGCTCCATTATCAAAACAATCAATCCAGAGAAAAAGACCAGGGAGCAAATCAGATTGGAGATTGAAGATCCTTTCTAAGCAGAAAGATTACGATAAATCTAATTAGAAGAGGATGCCAAAAATTTTAAGCAATACATTTACAATTTGAAACAAAATGATAGCAATCCCAATAATTTCATTAAAGTCAAAGTTAAGAATGCTGAAGTAACAAAAACTGAAACAAAAACAGAGACTGATAATGTCACTCCATTTATTGTTAAGAAAGTCCCAAAACAAGAGAAAATTTTAATTAGTGGAATAAGAAGGTATTGTTTATGACAATTCATTTTAAAATAGAAAAGTGCCTGCTTCTCTAAGAAGATTAATTCCTATTTGCAGACCTTTAATTAATATGCATCTTTATTAGGCTCAAGAGGCTATTGCTGATTCAGGAAGAAAAGCAGCTTAATTCCTAGCCAAAACATTAGTGATGGTTAGATCTCATGCTGTCCAAAGAGGCTATGATCCAGAAAGACTCTACGTCCATTCAATTTAAGTTGGCAGATATAAGAAATTCAGAAAGGCAAGATTTCATGCCAAAGCTAGAATCAATCCGGCTTTTAGAGAGACCAGTCAGATCAAAGTTATCTTAGAAGAAAGACCTACTAAAGAGGTTTAATTTCTATTTATTTGTAGATGTTCAAAGATTTTGTCTAAGGTAAAACTCCCAGTGTCATCTCCTATCTTATGAAGGATTAATTGGTTAGGGAAAAGGCTGATTATGCTAAAATTAGAAGATTCTAATTGTTCCTGACTTCTAAAGGTAGACAACAATAGAAATTGATGTTAAAGAGAAGGGCATAAAAGGAAATGAAGGAGAAGGTTAAGTATATTCACTAAATTCTAGGGATTGTCCTTCAAATATCTTCATCGTCAGATCGTGGAGTAAGAAGCTGAGTAATTGGCTGAAAATTATGATACAGGAAAGAGTGGAATACATAGATTCAATTTAGAGGCTAGACAGACTCTGTTCAAAAAGAATGAGGAAATCAATAATTGAGTTTGGAGAATATTTAATATAAAAATTATTTAATAATAACTATTTCCAACAAATAATAACATAATGTAGCTTATATCTCAATCTTTTTGATATTAAATAAATAATTAAATAAAAAATTTGATATATTCAATTAAAAATGTAAACCATAGAGAACTATTAATATGATAAGAAGGGATTCCTCGGAGCAGGCAGTTTTGGCAGTGTATACAAGGCTAAGAATATAAAAACTGGGGAAATTGTGGCTTTGAAAAGTATTTGATTCATGTTCATTTTTCAGTTTTGGATATGAAATTATTCTAAGATTAGTTCATGATTGACTCATTAAAAAACGAAATCAAAGTAATGTAAACCTTGACTTCCCCTAATGTGGTTAGAATGATTGACGTATTTGGCAATAAATAACAGACATATATGGCCATAGAATTATGTGATTCAGATCTCAGATCTGTGATGCATAAAAAGGGTCACATATAGGAGTAATAAGCTATCGAAGTCCTTGCTTAATTGATGAATGGATTCAAGGATTTGGTGTCTCATAACTACATTCATCGGGATATCAAACCTGAAAATTGTTTAGTCAAAAGTAATGTATATAAAGTGGCTGACTTTGGTTTCGCTACTAAAGTTGATATAACAGGGAGATAACTACTCAGGGAATGTGTTGGCACTCCTATATACATGTCCCCTTAAATTTTAAATAAGCACCAATACTCTGCCAAAAGTGACATCTGGTCTATTGGGATGATGTATTACGAAATACTTTTTGGTAAAACTGCCTGGTCTTGCAGAGACATGAACAGTCTTCTCAGGAGTATCAAGACTTAGCCTTTAAGATTTCCTTATGAAAGACCCATCAGTGAAAATTCTAAGGATTTTATTAAAAAGTGCTTGATGATTGAGGAGGTTAATCGTATTGGATGGAATGAAATTTTCACTCATCCCATTTTTACTCTGAAATAATCTGGACAATTATAGTAGAAACAAAATTATGAATTGCCCTAATAATGTATCAAGATCTTAAGGAAGATGCAGGAGGTTGTTACTGAAAATAACATTGATCCACATTTCATTTTTCAAAGATTCGATAAAGACAAGAATAATATTTTAGATGCTAAAGAATTCAAGGAACTCATTTTAGCTGTTGATCCAAATACTACTCAATATGAAATTTAAACATTATTCAGTAGGGTCTGTGGTAAAGATCAAATCGTTAATTACATTGAGTTTTAAAAACTATTCACAGAATTTGATTTCTCTGATCTCAATGATAGAGCAGGACACATTATTAAGGATATTTAAGCTGTAATCAAGGCTAATAACATGAATATTACATAAATATTCAATAAATATGATAAGAATCATTAAGGAGATCTAGACTATTAAGAGTTTTACAATTTAATCAAAGTAATTGTGCCTGGAATTAAAGATTATGAAATTCAATTGATGTTTACTAAATTTGATAGAGATAACAATGGGTCTATCAGTTTCCCTGAATTTCAGTATGTACTTAGTAAAGGTACAGGTCAAACTTAAAAAGACGGTATTACCTAAAGAGCATCTGGAGTGTTAAAACAACTATAAAATACTATAAGGATTAACAATTTAGACATCACTAAAATATTTCATCGTTTTGATAAGTCTGGTGATGGAGCTATTGATTAAGAAGAATTTTTCTAACTACTCAAAGTAATTTAAATTTATCTAATAGTAAATAGGCTATAGATGGTAAAATAAGTAGAAATGAGGCTGCCAGTGTTTTCCATGTCTTTGATAAGAATCACGATGATTAGATCTCCTTTGAAGAATTCAAATCATAGCTATGAAATTATTAAGTTTTTATCATTCAATAATAATTATTCAGTCGAACTGCTTATCAGACTTTGTTTATTAAGCTTGCTTTTATAACAGAATTTCATAAAAACCATACTTAAATTTTATTTCCCTTTAATAGGGTCTCCTAAAAGATGACATAAAGGATAAAAAATAGTATTATTGAATATTATACTAAGGAAAAGAATAATAAAATGACTATTCAAAGAGATAGGTTTAATTCTGTATTAATTGGCTGACCTTCTATTCAATACAGATATCAATTTAACATCTAAAATATTAAAATAATTCTCATAGAATATATCAATTAGTTATTAAATTAGTTAAAAGAAATAAAACACCCATACTCAAAACTTCATTTCAAAAGCTACTACTCCTTTTCTATTGAGATTTTCAATCAATAAAGTTACACTTCCAATCAAACTTCCTCCAACAATACCGCCAACAATAAAAGGAACAAATCCTTAAAATTATTCAGAAGGAATTACCCAGAGTTGATTTGTATACTGCTCCTGAAATTGCACCACACAACATATTCTTTTTCAATTAATTTATATCTGCCAATTCATCTTCAAATAATAAATTCATTCCTGCTCCAACAAAATAATATAGCATGCTTGCACTAGCTGCTGCCTACCCATATGAGGATGTTCGCTTTCCTACTGCATTAAAGAAATTGTTTAAAATCAACTTCTTTGGCATATTAAGGGATCTTGGAAAACCTTCAATTGCTCCCTTGACTAATCCAATAGATGAAGCTAAAATAGGGTATATTCTATTACCAAGCATGTAACTCACACCTACTGTAAAACTTATCTTATCTCCAAAGTCTTATCCAGAATATTGCTCAATTTAGTTCTCAGCTTTGCTTCCCATAAATTAAATTTAATTAATAATTAACTTAAATTTGTATCTCAAATATACTATAGATATTCAATCAGCCATCTATCATCACTATAAAGTGTAATCAATCATTTATATCACATTTATTAAATATTTTAGGTTCATAACAATTTCAAATTAAAATGATAATTTATTAAAACGAATATACTTTAATCTTTAAGCCCTTTTAGATGAATGAATTTGCCTATCATCCTTTTTGTTTTTATGTATGTTGAATATACGAAATCTATATAATTCTTGTATTTTACTTTAATATCTATCTTTTTTTAATAGAATAGAGTTAATTATAGTGGAATTTAGGATTTCAAATCTTGCTTAATTAAGTATATGAATAATTATTATTAATTACTTCATTGACACTATTTGTTTTGAAGATTTCTAAACTGTGTAAAGGTCAATATAAGCATTTATTTTCTAACAATTTTAATAAATCTGATAATTTATAAATTCATATTTTTATAATTAATCTCATTAGAGAATAGATATTGCTAAGTAAAACTTCCAAATTTGATTTGCAAGGATAATATTATAGGTAAATCAAATAAAAGTAATTATCAAAACATAGATTTGCAAGTATCAGACATCCTTATAAAAATGCTTATTCTGTTAATATATCAAGGATGAAGAGCTCTGTGTAAATTACAAATTCTTGTTTATCTCAAAGCCTAGAATTATAGTATAAGTATAAATCTTTTCACTTAATATCTTAATTTCCAAATTCCAACAACCAGCTGATTATAAATAATGATTAAACTGATATGCAAATCCTATTGTAAATACAATTTAAAGGTTAGAATTATTTATGTTAGACTGGCATAGATAAACATTGATAAGTATAATATATCAACTATTCTTTGAATATATTTTATATTTAAAGCTGTAAATTAAAATTAATAAACATAATTATGAGTAAATTGATAAAATTGGCATTCAAAGCCTAGTATTTTGCTACTAGAGTGCAATCTGTTAATAGCAAGGCCAAGGCATTCACTGCTATTGATTTCTATAATAATTTGTTACTGAATACTCCAACAAATAAAAATGGGAGATACAAGTTTTAGACAAATGATGTGGGACATTTCGTTAATATGGTTGAAAAGGATAACATCAAGGAGGCAATTGAAGTATTTTAAGTACTTAAATTGAATAGGGATTTAATAACATACTAGGACATAATAATTAAGTGCATTGTGGTATTAAAGATAAGTTTATGCTTAAATGTATTGAATTCGATTAAACAAAATATGTTTTGGATGCTTTGAAATTTCATTCAGCAATAAGATACTTCCCTCATCCTTCTGTGATAATGACTTTGGCCAAAAAACTTGACGATGAAGGATTGATTGAATTATTCAAAATTTTGAAAACATGTCCATTTTTGAAAATTGATAGTGCCAATCTATCAAGTTTGATTAAAGATGATCCCAAAATATCATACGAGGTTTATAGAGTGGCTTTGTAGAAGAAAATAAAATTATAGCCAAAAGATTTATATAGGATTGCAAGATAGTTTTTATCTGGAAATAAAGTTAGAAAAGTGTATAACTATTATCCTTATTATGATTAGTGGTTTTATGACTTAATTTGCACAAGAAAATGGAAATGAAAATGACATCTATTCTTCATTAAGTGTTTTATTTACTCATGTCTATTTGACAAACAAACAATAAGCTATAGTCGAATTAGCCAAAGTAATTGAGCATAAGGATGGGTATATTTTAGATATTGATAATAGATTGACTATTTTGAAGGAGGAAGAGCAATATATCAAACCACTCTTAGAAATCTTACAAAAATAAGTGGACAACGATGAAAAATGGAAACCAAGATTAGATGAATTAATATCAAAATTGAGTTGATTTCATAGATCAATGAATATATATATATATAATATTGATCATCCTTGTTTTTAGATGGGTAAGAATAACTTGAATTCAGGGGGCAACTCTTCTTCACTGTAAAGACGATCACTAAAATAGATTCTTCGGATTCTGCAATTGGCATGAATTTGAACTCTACAAAATGAGATTGATATGGATACCGGAGTGTTTCTATATAGTTAGTACCATATGCTCTTCTGGTGAAATCAGACAAGTTGAATTAGATTTGATTCCATCCCTCATCCAATCTCATAGGCATTGTACAGATGAAAGGTTTCACTCTCGTTGTTGACTAAATTCCTTAGACTAATTACTTAATAATTCGATGCTCTAAATCTCCTTCTGACATTTTTATCATCCAATACCTACACCTCGAATGTGAAGTATTTTTTAAGCTAATCATCATACCAATAATATTACATTTTTTATGATCATGACTAAGAATGGCAATTTAATTCCCAATGTTTCCTTAGGGTCGGCAGGAGCAGTTATGAAATTAGTACTCACGTTTGTACCCATTATTTCAAGTACTGATGATTAAATATCCTGATCTGTGATACGTTTAATGTGTCCATTCTTGACTTAAATAATCCAATCATAAATTACTTTGCTTATCCCAAATTTACAATGGCTTTGATCCTATTGAATATAATATTGAAAGAAATCCACTTTAGAATGAGTTCTTGAACATCAGTTATTTTTTATTTTATTAAACAAATAAATATCTCACTCAATCCACCTTATCAATCATTATTCATTTAATATACTATTCGAATATTTATATATATATATATTACACTTCCAATCTAAATCGACTTATCTTTTTGAAGATTATTAGATTTTCAAATTTTTATTTGTATTCTAAATTAATTATTTGCCATAAAATCATTAATCAATTTTTCAGTACTTATCTTATATATCTTCTAACTAAGGCAGAACTAAGGAAAAATTAATAACTTATTACTTCATCAGAGTTGACATCGGCATATTTAAAATCAAGGTTCTGCTTTTTTAGATTTACCTAACCAAAGCCTAATTTGCGGGAATCCAAAGGAAGAAAGTAATAAGTAATATATACAACGTAAAAGAAATAAAGAGCAGAATTCTTGTTAATGATAATTGACTAAACGAATCTCTAATGCTTTATTCCAATTGATCAATTAAATATCTTTAAGTGTATCTTATCACTACTTTCTCCATAGTCCTAATTTCAACACTTAATGTAGTATTTAACAAATATATCACCAAATTCCTAATCTCATCCTTTCCTTCATCCCCATCAGTAGCATGCTAAAGTTAAAATGCTTAGTATTGTAAAAGGAAGAGTTCTAGACTCTCAAAATACTTGGTTAGCCCAATAGACAACCCTTCAGATACAACCCCATTAAAGAAAGTGTTACAATAATCTTCTGTAATGAAATCTTGTAATAATCCCAATGTAGGACAGGGGTTTTTTACAAATAGTTCCTAAAATAGATTTATGTATTCAGGTTAAAACAAATCTAGATTTTAAGTAAATTTAGTCTACACATCCGCATTAGTCTCATAAAGTCTATCAAAATAATTATTGATAAATTTCAGAGGATTAGGGTTACAATAAATACTCTAATTTGGATTTACTAAATACTCTCTAATAGCATTGTCTCCTAATCTATATTGTGATTCTAGCAAAGAAGTTGTATTTAGAATGGGACTCAAATTAAAGGTAGCTTCTACAACTCCTTAAGCTGAGATATATTAATAAATGAAATATCCTTCGATGATTGCAAATATCAAGAAGACAACAGCCATAAAGTTCTTGAATTTTTTATTGCTGTTTTTCCAATTTTTAATTTATTTGTTATTCATCATTTTGTTTTCATCCTAGTCAGAGATGTATTTCTATTGTTTATCATCTTAGACTTCATCCTATTTAATAGCGATATTATTCATACATTTTCATCATCTCCAATATTCAAGAATGATAAGAAGGACTCGCATTTCGAGATTATAGTTTTTATTTGTATCTGATTAACTTCAAAAAATAACTAATAAATCTAATGTTAGAATCTATTGAATTAAATTAAATATAAAGCTATTAGGATATATGCGATTAATTGCAATAAGGTTTGCAGAATCAAAAAAATCAATTTATTATCTAGGGAATTCTAAGCAACTGATTTGATTGAATAATATCGATAGTTTAAAGGTATTTAATAATTTTTGGTTATTGAATTTATCGTATTGTAGTTGTAAAAATAAAAATCAACATCTAAGTCATCAAATTTAGAAATATCTCCAGAATTTAAATATAAAGCCTTGCCAATCAACAAATCAATGGCTTCCTTGTATGTATAGTTCTTTTTGCTGCCATCAAGTGATTAAAGCTCTATATTTTGTGAAAAATATGCATCAGAATATTCTAGGTATTCTTGGTTAATTAATGTTTCAGATGTCATTAATGAAGTATGAATTTAGATTAAGTCCTATATCTCTGAATTTAATTACTCTAAATTACTTTTAAATTATTATTCAATGTAATCAAAATCGCCATTAATTTTCCCATAATTTAGTAGTCTAACATCTTATAAAATTGTTTATATCATCAAGCAAGTTGATAGTCGTTTATTGTTCAAACTCAAATTAAAAATCATATTAGACACATTTTAATCGTCGTTCAAATTGAATATAAATACTAGCAAACCAGATATGTAAAGGACAAATAATGATATATTCACTAAATAATTTAATACTTAGAATCCTCTTGAAACATTAGAATTGATTAATAGCTTGTACATTGAGGATTTAGATTAAAATAATTCAAAGTAGTGTTGGAATTCCTACATCTCTTTATCTTTCTCCTTAATTAATAATTGAGAATTTAAATATTCCTCTTCTTCATCTTCTAATTATTGTTAGTCGATATCAAAATCTTCTAAATCTCTAATCTACCCATCCCATAATCGTTTTACTCTTATTCCGTCATCATAATGAATACTCTGTTTTTGGGATTATGACATCCTTTTTACCATGCAAAAATAATTCACAATTTTAGATAATTTAGGTTAATTGTCTTAAGACAACTTAAGATCCATCGATTCTTCAATCTCTGTAACACTCATATAGTCCAGATAGTAGACAGAAGGAGGAATGAATTAAAAAATAGGAAATCTAGTTTTTCTGGGCTATTATTACGGAGTTAATTTCAAAATTGATTCTGAAGCATTATGACTGATAATTTTTTCTAATCTCATTACTATGCCATAAAGTTCTTCATCTTTGATACAGGGAAATTAAATGTAATTCAAATAGCACTGAAAATCAATCTATTCGTAAATACTTACTGTGTCTATGGTTCTAGTACTGAATTTCAAGCCATGAGGAACAAGGTGTAATTTGGCTCCACTTTTTTAAAGAAATTCTTATTTTCTAAAATGAAAATCGGGAAATAATTCTTTAATGTTGATTCTCCTCATCTGTATTTTAATAATGTCCAATCTCAACAGTATTATACAAGAACTTGTAATATTTTCTATGTATCCTTCCATATCTAAGAGTAATATACACTATTATTTGGGACTGAAGGTTTATTGATATTATGCAATGAAATACAATTGATTATTATTTGTTTATATCAATTTTACATTTGAATACAGAGGTATTATATAATTACTTTTTGCTTAAAGATATACAATCTAAGTGACTAAATTTTGTTAATATTTGGCTTGATTTTCAATGAATAGCTCTAAGCAACTGTTATGTTGAGTGGCATATCTAATGAAATATATATCTATAAAATTATTTACATCTCTGGAATAACTTGATTGACAGATCTCCCAATAAGATCCGTTTTAGAATAGCCAAGGAGACTGCATAGAGCTTTATTAACAGTTTAAATATGAAAGTTTTAGAATTATGCAGTAACCACTAACGTTGGCATTGATTTATTGCATACTTCTTCTATTTCAGTTACCTCCTACTATTTAATTTTCTATAAGACCCAAAGTTGATTCTATAGTTGATCTGAAACTTCTTGATCATCCAATACTAACAGATAGAATTTAGCCATCAAATTAAATAATTTCAAAGAGTCGCTGTTTTTCAATTTGGACCAAAATGAATCAATTTCTTCTTTTTACTTCAAAATCTTGAATCCCAAACTCATGAGCTTATTCATATCTGGATGATCATCTGACATAGAGATCCAAAATTCTATCATTTACAATGCTGCTTATTCTAGAACTTCAATCAACTACTTGGTTTATTTAGTAGAATTGGATATATCAAATTGTTCTGCTTTTTGTTGGGACTCTTCCTCAATAATTAATTTGTATCTGTAAATATGGAACTCATAATCAAAGGTTGGTTTGAATTCCATGGCTTGGACCAATTCTGACATGATTAAAGAGTAGGATTTTTTATTATCATAAAGAAAGTAAACATAACTAAGTCTTAATTGGATATCTTCAGGAAAATTCTTGATAGATTCCTAATAAATTTGAGTGATCAACTCATTGACTATGTTTTTTCGATTAGTGTATTTGGGATTGCCTTTAAATTTATTTGCCATTTCCTCCTTGAGTTTGACAACACAGTCGTTTCTATTGCAAACTTCTTTGTGGATTTCAATATAACTATCAATCAGCAGCTAATACCTCTGAGATTTGCTTGAGTTGTGAATGAGAAGCAAAAGATACTCACATAACTTTATGACCTATCCTCCATCTTGAAACTTTCTTAAATTAGCCCGCATCAAATCAAATTATTCTCTCTATCTAAATATGATGATGCCAATAATGAGGGGAATCCCTAGCAGCCATGCTTAGATGGTGTTCTAAAAGGTCTTGCCATCCAATAGATATGAATAGAACATCATAATGATGGTCCAAAAATTGACTCCTGCCAAGATCGACCACATTTTCTATATGAATGTATCATAATAAGGTTGGTCGATGTGGGTATTTATGAATACAATAGAACTCCCAATCAAAAAGACTGCTATGATCAATATTGTGTACTCAGGAGTTGCTAATAACTAGTATGTCATTATCTGGGTAAAAATGTAGATCAACAACTAATAATAGGATCTTCCATTTCTCATTGCATTTGCATCTTAGTCTGTTCTCCTTGATTCATAAGTTACGAAGGCCATCAAAACACCAAAGCTCAATGTGATTATTAATCCTAATATTGCTACGATCGCATGAATATAATAGTCTGATGTCCAGCACTCTTAGGATTGCTCAAACATCATAATGAGCTTGCCTTTCTTATTGTATTCACAGGCCAATAAGCCAAATTGCATCCTCACTATTGGCCAGAAACCAAAGGTAAGAATAATTCTCAACAAAAGGCGTAGCAATATTAAGGGTCCTCTCTGCAATTTCTTGTTTTTAATTACAAAAGCCAAAAGCATTATGAGCAATATCGAAAATAACACCAAACCCAAACAAAAGTAAAAGATGGTGAGGTAGGTTCTGATTCCCAGATTTTTTACAGATATTGTTATAGTAAAATACCTATTTCATATATGAGACTTACTTCAATAGGAGGTTGATCATATCACTATAGGCCTTGTTTCTCCACACATACTGAACCTTGAGGCCAAAGTTTAAATAAGTATATTGCAGATACTAGGTTAAGCATATAATTATTGTGATCCACTAATAGTTCGACCATTACTTGAGGATAAGATAAATAACTCTAAATAGAAGGAGGATTACTTGAAAAATTTATATTTTAAAGAATTGACTATTTGATTGATTTATTCTCTCTTTTACATTTTAAATATTTTATAATTAATGATCAACAATTAATTCATTCATTTTAAATTCTTAATTTTAACTTTGAGTTCCTCAATTTACTGCAAATTAGTACTCTGTAATCTAGACAGCATCTGATTCTATTAATTTTTGATATCAATCAAGTTATTGACCTCATCTTTGTATGAGATTGTTTCTTTTTCTTCAGATGTCTTAATTTATAATTCGATTAACTTATTGTTCAAAGTCATAGAACCAATATAGTCAATTACTCTTTGATTCAATTTCTTTTGAGCATCCAAACTCTTTTGCAAGAGAGCCTTGCTGCTTTCCAACTATTTTATTTAATCAGTCAGAAATTGCTTCTCCTCTTCAAAACTCTATTTCAACTCTTAAACCTCCTTTCCTGACAGAATGCCTTAAACTCCACCAGCTAAGGATAAAGACATAGTCCTATTCTCTAAAGAACTCTCTTTCACTTTTTCCTTCAATCTGTTAATTTATTTCTATTTTTCCTCTATGATTTTCTATGATTGTTAATACATTAATGAGAAATCTGAATTAGTACGTTCCTTTTTTTAATAGACCTGATTTTCAAGTGTTAATTCGTCAATTCTAGATAATAGAATTGCAATTTCATCAGATTTTTACTTTAGGAACTTATCTTTCTTTTATTAGTCTGGTATTTAAAGTTACGATAACTGAAACTTATAGCTTTCGATTTCATTATCCTTCAATGACAATTGTAATTTAAGATTTGAAATCTCAGTTTTTAAATCATTTATCTGAGATGTATCTTATTATTCCAAGGTTGAAAAAGCCAAACTCATGATAGATTGAGTACGATCCTTATTCTCTGAATCCTATTTTGGTTTTGTTTATTTAATAGTTTTGAGTTTGAGTTCTACATCTTTTCTTTTGATCTCTCTTAATATAAAAATCTCTAAATCTTCATGTGTTGACGACTTCAGATTTGGACTAGCAATCATAAAAATAGCTGATAATCCTTGAATGAAGTAATCATATTTTTATATCAGTTGTTAAATCAAAAGCAAAGTAGTATCAAAATTGAACATATTGATTGAAAATGTAAGCAAATATCTTTTTAATCTGGCCTCCAAAAATTGTCTCATATAAACAGTCTCATTCTCAGGCAAATTGAATCCTTTCACACAACAAGTTACTATGCTTATTAAGCACTCTTCAGGTGGCTTTTATCTGTATATGATATTTAAGAGCTAAAAGGCAGAAGCTTCAGATGAGAAACAAAGCAAAAAGTTAGCTAAACAAACCATCTCGGCTGTCAATTTGATGTCTGAATTCTTTGAACAAAAAGTCATGCAAACATTCTACAATTTCACATTATCTTTTCCAGCTAATGTGTAGAAGTCCTTCAAGGAATAATTAATGTTATCTAAACCAGCAAACTCTATCTAATCCAATTTAAGTTTAGTGGATTCTCTCGCAGTCTTGTAATCCTAAGAATTAAATGCACTTCCAAGCCATTGTTTTGAGAGGGTATCAACACCATAAGCAATATGATAATATTCTACAAAGGATTTGATTGAATCTTATTCCTTAAAAGAAAAGGTTTTAATTTACTTCTTTACATATTTTACATAGTCTTCTACCCTTATTCAACTCGAATGTAATTTTGAATGGAGAACAACCACTACACACAACTCTTAAACATCTGGTATGAAATAATCAAATAATTGTTCTACCTTTTGCACATATGTTCTCGCGTTGTCACTTTTGAAAACCCTTTTGCACATATCTAGCACTTTGGTATTTTACCACGGACCTCTGGAATATTGATATATGTAATAAACTTATTCATTTATTTATTAATAATTCATAGATTTTTTATTTTACATATGGTTTTTCTAAAAAGTCTTCAAAAATTCTTCGTTTCGAATACTCAGAAAAATCATTACAACATGTTAAATCAATATTGGTAGATGCCTCACTCTACTCCGTTACAGTTAAGAGGGCCTCATCAAAACATCGCTCCAATTCTGATTCTTGAAATTCCTCAACTTAATTAATTTGCTACTTTAATTTTGCATTCAATTCTTGCTCCTATTGTAAATGACATGAATTCCTCTTGAGTTGTGGCAGAGGCATCAAACGAACTGATTATAATTGCTACATTGATTTCGGTTATCTTCTAATTTAAGTCTGAACTTGCTGCTCCTCCTCACCCAAACTGTTCAATTCCTCTTGCAATATTATGTTGTGTTTATCAGCATAAATCAACTATTCATCCAAGAATTTGATTTCACTCTACAATTCATTGAAACTTTATCGAATATCACGATCAATCTTACCCAATTCTTTAATGTTATCACTCAACTTAATGCTCCTCTCGAGATACAACTCTCTCTCCTTTGCTAGTTCCTCTCTATGTTTTTGAATTCTTTTCTCAATCTCAGTCTAACTTTCCTCATCTCTTATTTTAACTAATTGTCTTTAAACATTAAGCATCTCCTATTTGTACACCTTCAGCAATTCCTCTTCTCTTTTGTTAAACAAAGATTATAATTGCTAGTTAGCCTATTCGATCAATTCGTATATCTGCTAATTGGTTTCCTTCAAATCATTTTTTAGTTCTGATTTTTTAGACTCTATCATTTATTATTATTATGTTTATTTTATTCTTACTTTAATCTGTATGGGCATCCAAATAGGAAGCACAAGTAATTTCAAAAAAATTGAATTCCACCACCCACTATGCAATCATGAATTAAGTCAAAACACTGTATGACGACCCAAATTGCTTTTAAATCCTTTTATGGAAAAGAAGTGATTCCGACCATAGAGTGTATTCCTACACAGATAATGATTATGATACATTGGTTTAAGAAGAGAACAAACTAAATGGAACAGCTGGATGCCGAGCTATTTAGAGGTCTTTCCCTGTCTAGTAAAAACTCAGAATGGGATTACCAGCTGATGAAAAAATATTTTATACTGATCTGATCATCTTACAAAATAGAGCTCTCATTATCAGAAATGACTTCACTTTACAAGAAATAAATTTATCGGAGAATCAATTCATTAAGACCATTTAATAAAAAAAAATAAAAATTTAATAGTCATCCACTAGTCATCCCATTTTCATATAGAATCCCATCAATAAAAGAGTGTATATAATCTCAGAAGGTGGAGGTGTCAGCATACCAGATTGGATGTAAACATTAAATCTCATTATTTAGTCCCTTGGATTCAACAGTATTCTTTATAAACGAGGAACCCTTCAAGAAAAGATCAATGATCTATGATGCTTTTATTAAACATGATAGGATTTATGTGGCTTGCGGAAATGAAGGGATAGACATTTATGTTTTCAAAGATGGGGTGCTCAAACATGAGAATGTACAATTAAGAATAGATAATTCACATTTGGATGCAGTGGATATTAGTGGTGATGATGAAAGTATTATATTCATTTTTACTATTTAGATTTATTTATCTTGGATCATAATCACGGACTCTATATTTGCGATTATCAATTTAAGGTTAAATTCAGAGTGCCAATATTAAAGGGAAGTGATTTTGGACATTACAATAATACCTTTTTTATTATAGCTGAATCGATAACCAGGTAAGATTATGCAGTTGAAGCCTTCTTAAACTTTACGGATAATTCCTTTTACATTAATCATTATTACCTTGACGATATGCAATTCTACGATGTTAAAGTATATGAAAATTATGCTGTATTGATTGGTTATGAAGTCCATAAAATCATTCAGCATTCTATTTATTCCAATTTTATCAAGTTTACTAGCAATAATTATTTCGAATTCCCTTAAATGTTGTAACTGAAATCTTGGAATAATTCTGTTGTTGGACTATCAAAAAAACAAATTAGATTACTTAATCTATCCATCATACCTGCCCATATAGAGTGTGAATCCTAGGAAATGTTCTAACAAAACTACTTAGTTGCAAGTTACTTTTAGAACTCAACAAATCCTTTTGAAGTAACTAAAGTAGATCAAGTATTCAAAATAGTAATAGATGACGTATCGTTACTGTCAAAAGCTAATCTTATTCTATTTGTAATTGCATTCATCATAATCTTTATTATGGTATGGTTATTGATAGTGGGATTCATTTGCTATAGAAAATGCAAAAATAGAACTGAAAAATTGGAAGAGAACAAGAATTTCTTGGCCAAACAATATTAAATAGATAAGGAAGAAGGTCCTGGTTAAGAATTGTCAGCATTATGATATTATACTCATTATACATATCTATTCCTCAACAAATTATTCTTCTTCTTATTGTGTTCCGATTAATGAGCTTATGATGAAGATGCAAAGGGATCTTCTGCTACTTCTTAGGTTTATTAAGTTAATTATTCTTCATAGACAACAGGTTTGGGTGGATCAATCTTTCTTCTAGGAGGAGGAGGAGCTGCCACAACTACTTCCTTCTTTTATTCCTCTTCAGGAGGAGCAATTTACGGCACACCATTAATCACATAAGCTTTTAATTGTTTGTCGTAATAAAAGTTTTATGGTTATGGCTAATAGGTTGCTTATTGTTATTAGGGTTATTTCTATATATTTTTGACAGCATTGACTGCCTAACCGAAATAACCTAGAAGACCACTGTTGTTGTTATTTGATTTATTTTTTTCCTTCAATTCTATCACTTACAATATCCTTTCCCTCAAATCTCTGGCCTTTGAATGATATCCTAGATCAATTGAGAATTTGACGCACTCCAATGCTTTATCGTAATTTTCGGACTCTACAAAGAGCAGACTCAATTTATAATATAATTCAGGGTTCTATTAGTTATGGAAACACATATGAGAATCGCCAATCAATAATTAAATTTCAGAATGACACAGACTGTAATTAAATTTAGTAAAAAAGCTCAACAAAAATACATCCAATTAGGTATTCTAAATCTCCATCTTTAATAATAGCCACAATAATCGAGCTTAGATTTATTCACTTGAATAAAGATGCTATAATTGGATGAGTATTTCTGAATAGTATTCTTGGTCAATTGGGATCATCTTAAGTAAAACTGCCAATCGAATTAGCCAAGCCTCCTAATCATCATGATAAGATCTCTTTTTTATGTACTCAATTAAACTCTATTATTATTTAGTATTTATAAATTCTCCTTCCAATATACTCACCAGCAATTTAGTTTCCCAATCATTTTAATTGTATATTCTTTCATAGGCCTAAAATAATCTCAGATATATGTGTACTTCAACAAAGGCTTAGCCACTTTAATCATTAAGTAATTTGGACTCTATGATGTACAATGCACTATTCTTTTCGAGGGGCTTTTCAAGGTGATCGATGGCTAATTATAACAAGGCATTATTTGTATTGAAAGAGGACCAAAAGTAACGCAATGATCTTAAATTATCTGGGCTTCTGTTCTTAAAGTATGGACCAGGATATTAAGACACAAGAGAGGTGTATCTAAGTTTAGTGAGTTTATTTGATTCTAATTTTATTATGATTCATAATTACATATATCATAGCTTACTAGCCCATGATAAAATGTTTAAGCAGTGATAACTGATGATTGATTTAAGTGATTCTGATTACTTAACAACACCTATTGATTTTATTAAGGTAATGGTTGTTTAACCTCATTTTCAGCAACTTAATGTTATTGTTAAGGTTCTTTTTTAATTGGAGGGGGAACTTACTGTCGTGTTCTTTAGACTTAATTTTACTTCAATTATTCATTTTAATTTGCATTTGCTTTAGTGATGGGAGGATCAATTAATTTTTGTAATTAGTCATTAGGGACTTCAACTTAAAATTGTGGATGAATATCTTGATTTAATTGTTATTGTGGCTATTCATACTATTAGTATTATTATGATTCATATTACTATTCCTTTAATCTTTGTGAGTCTTATTATTGATTTGTTTAAATCACAGGTTATTGAATATTCTCTTGAATTATGGCTGATTGAAAAGCATTGGCTTATTATGTTGGATTGGATTATTGTTAATGCTAATTAACATCGCTTAGATATTTAATTCTTTTACTTCTAATGCTAATCCTACTATTTGGGCTGTCTTCTTCTTTGTATCAGTTATTATGACTATTAAATCAGTTGCTGTGCTCTGCTCTATTGTAAATTAGATTGAGTCTGCTAAGTAACACTTTAGCTCTGTTGTGGAGCAGTCTTCTCTTATGTCGGAAAGACTTATTATTAAACAACAGGGGCACCCTATTATTCACTTTTTTATATGCTATCAATTTCCTTGTTGAAGAAAGAAGATTATTACTTGAAGCAGAGCTTCTCGAAAGTCGATTTCTTGGATTGGGGCTAATTCCTTGACTTTTGGAATGGTTGGTGCATTCATTTAAGTATTAGACTAAATTGGCTCCTGGAAAGGTTGGTTTGGTACTTAAATTGCGTAATTAACTAACCATAATGGATCTCCCAATATACTTTATGCTTCATCGAATGGGCTTCCAACTTGTATTTATCTTCTTTTCATATATAAAAATTAAATATATAAAATTTCAAAACCACCCAGATTTGTTGTTGTATATAAGTTTAACACATAAAAAATAAGAACAATAAATTTTATTTCCTTTTAACAAACATTTAAATGGCCCCTCCTCCAGTTCCCTCTAATAAACCACTTCAAGCACCTCCATAAGTATAACAGCAACCAGCCCTCTTTGGATAACCTTAGGCCTACCAACCCTATTCCACACTCGCCCCAGTCTAATATCAACCCATCAATGCTCCTTTGGCTTACAGTGTTGCTAGTCCTGTCTAGCCTGTCGTTCAATAGGTTGTGGCTCCACAACCAGTATTGGCTCAATCATATGTGGCTTAACCCGTCATCGCTTAACCAGTCCAATAATCAGTTCATGTATTAATCTAAAATGAGACTTAGCCAACCATCAAGGGAGAATCAAGAATCGAATACATTCCATACCAAAAGGCCATAACTGAGTACGAAGAATAAGAAGTAGTGTAATATGTTCCAAGAGAAAGAAAAGTGACCGAATATTACGCTGTGGAATACCAAACTGAATACGTCCCCTAAGTATTCTAAGAGAAATATACAGGTACTCATAAATAAGTAATGTTGTAGAATACGTACCAGTCGATAGATACTAAGAGAGAGTTGAATATTATCCAGTCGAAAGATAAGTAGTTCATTAATAGGTTGCCTAATAACCTGTTTAAGTTGTTCAATAGCCTGTTTAAGTTGTTCAATAACCAGTCTAAGTTGTTCAATAGCCTGTTTAAGTTTATCAATAACCAGTCTAAACTGTGCCTGTAACATATGCCCCACAATATGCCTCACCTATAATTTCTTCAAGAGTGATCCCAGCTTATCAACCATAATATTAGCCAGTTCCTCAAAAGGTATAACCACAGGCTCCACCAAGATCAAATTTAAATAATAATATATGAAAATATTAAATAATTTAAATACCCAATTTTAAGTCACATCATTATTTTTAATATAAATGTATCCGTTCTTATATAAATACGTAATTGTATATGTGTTCAAAATTCAAATTTCTGGCCAGAAAGGTTTATTGGATGCAGTGTTTGACCTGATGTCCTCATTCGTAATTAGAGATTCCATCTTTTGTATAGTTTGTGGACCATCCGATTATTGTCCATCAATTTTGAAGACCATCCAAGTTAAATCCAATTTATCCATTTGTAAATTGATATCTAAGTTAATAAAGATCTTACTTTAAGGTAATCTAAACTCAATTAGAGGGTAGTTTAATTCACTCAAATACACAGTAATATGAGGATCTGCATCAATCCATTCTTAGCTGACTACAGAGTTCTTCAAAAGATCCAAAGCTTGACTCCTACTCAGAAATCTCTTCACAAATATAGTATAGATTTGTGGCTCCAATTGATAGATGTCGATCACCTCAATATGTTAATCATTTTTAGAAAAAGTTGTCAATTGCATTCCTCCACATGATTTAGAGAGAGAACCAGTTATACATGAGTGCTCTCCTACTTTAAACATACTATATAAATCCAAATTGAGAGTCTTTGATGTCCATTCTAACAATATCCGAACTGAATGTTTAGGTATACTCTTTGTTAATCTGAAAATATAGTTAGTTTTAGGCACTCTTCTTTGTAGATCAAGGACGGAACACGACTTCTTGAACCCTTGAAATATGTTACGATAATATACCTGATTTATAGATTAACACAGTGTAAGAGTATCCTTGACTTAAGTTATTGATTTCTGTATTTCCTTGCTCATTAGTTTTTAGTTCGTGTAAGTTGTTTTCCAATTGTCTGATGATTTGACAAGATTATGATAGGAATTTACCTTCGTAGACTTCAATTAGCTAAACTAGGAATCAATTACTTACAGCATCAGCAATAGGTGTAAAATCGACAGAGTTTTCAATCGTGACTTAGACATTATAGAATTTAAATGCTTGATCTCCAACTTGTTATTGTTCTTTGGTTAATGCCTCCAACATTCTATTATGTTATAAGGGAATATCATAATGATCAATCATGAAATCAAAATCTGCACTTAGTGGATTATCTGAACAATAATGCAAATTATTATTGTAGAACTTCTCAACTTCATCTATATCTCCTTAGATTAAAATTCCATCAAATGGTTGAGATTATGTTGAGAATATGGATTTGTTTATTTCATCATCAATTATTATTTTTAGTTTTTCAGTATTGTACTCTTTTAAAGCAACAAATTATCCGTTTGTTCCAGAAATGGCTAGAGTAATTCTAATTATTTTTATCGTATTACCCCTTTTAATTATCAGTAGATTTAAATGAAATCTTTTGGATCATAATAGAAGAGATAGGTTCACAACTTTATAGATTGTAGAATCCAACTAATCTTTCCTATTTGTCGAAGTTTTTGTAAACCGGTGATGGCAGAACAGTGATCTGATTTAACATCGATTCCTATCTAGATATTATTGGCCATAAGAATATACTTGACAAGTGAATGCTGGACATTTACAGATAACTCAGGAGTGATATTATATGCTACAACTACTAAAATAGCCAAGAGAACAAGAATGATGAAAACCATTGCATCTCCAACTATGTGCATTCTGAATTTCTTATAGGATCCTTCAGATAGCATTGCAGTATTAAAAGCTTGGACAATTCCAACCATCACTATAAGATTAATCCAAATAGTTAGACTATTGATTTGATTAAAGACATATTGCTTAACATTATTACAACATTTCTAATTGATGCAACCCAATTTATTATTTTTTGAATTAGTTTCCCACTGGTAAGTTTAGAGGTCCTATTCACAAGGAAGATAGGGTGATAATTCCAAATCAAAATATTTTTATGAACATTCCAACTAATCATTCAAACTCTTCTCCGAAATGGATTACATTGCAAACTTACAACCTTTGCTAGTTGAAAGTTCAATTTCCAATTCTTACACTCTTCTAACTAGTAAGCCATTGATGCAGCATGCTAAAATACAAATGCACAAGACCAGAAAAGCAAGGGTTACGAAGTAAATTTTGATTCTTTTTAAATTGAACATTGAAACTACTAATGTTGCCATAAATAGCACGAACAACACTACTTTCACTAGAGTTACCTCTATGTTCGTAGCTGAGATTTAATATAATTGTGAGTTTATTTATAATATGACCTAAGATAGATTTAATCGGGTTACTTATTTAAGACTGAAGGATGCAAATATCAGAAATATTAGGTTTACAGTAGAAGTTCCATAGACAATCAATCTTTGAATACCATATTCTCTAATGTTGAACTATCGACTCACATTTGCCATGTATAATAAGAGGAATATCTCGAGTATCTGAAGTGGCAAAACTAATAAAAAGTGGTTGTAGGAATCATATTCAATCAAACTCAACACTAGCCCACCTTCGATTGCACAAACCAGTTAAGTAAATAGGGAATGGAGGTAGGGTAATGTGGAACTGGGGTTTCCTTCTGGTATATCAATTCCTTCGTTGACAACCACTTTGGATGTAAAACTCCAGTAAAGAGAAAATATGCAAGTGAATAGAATTGCTATCTTAAATAAAAGAATGAGAGTACATTGTTGATTCCTACTAACAAATATTCAGTCAGTCCATTAAATGAGTACCAGACGAATCCAATTACGATGCTACCCAATGCCAATACAATGCACAATGGAGCTACTATTTTCAGTGTTGCGAGACTCCTCTACTAAACTTGAGGAGAATATTCAAAATGATGTCCTATAGGCATATTTCTTCCATTCATAACGATTATATAAAATATTAATTATCATTCAAAAAATATAAATTACTTTAAATTTTCTGAACATTTTTTATTATATAAACAGATTGATCCCTAGAAGAACACCCATGTTTTAGCAATGCGATATACAAATAGTGTAGATAATTAGAAATTGGAATTGATAGACAAAATCAATATGTTAATTACAAGTTTGATTATTAAGGAGCACCATTCTTGATTGAATTTCTTAGTATTAAATGTTTTAGTCCATGATTATTTTTAATAAGATAATATAAATGATGCATTATAGATCCTTATTCCGATTTTCCCATTATCCTGTTCTCCAATCCTTATGCGATCGAGCCGATCCCAATCTATTAGCCAATTTCGAGTTGATGAAACAAAGCAATGAGAGATTCCTAAACATCACCAACAAGGTGATCAATTATGGTGGGACAGTGGCTCATCAAAAGTTGGCGGAGAGAAACAAAGTAGAAATCCTTATTGATCTTTAGTTTCCTGTCAGAGAAAGAATCACTAGACTGTTGGATGTAGGATCTCCATTCTTGGAATTATCTTAATTAGCAGGATATGAATTATACGGAAAGGAGGAAGTACCCAGTGGAGGTTAAGTATATTTCAATTGTAGGAATCGTAACTGGCATAGGGTTGATTAATAAGAGATTCTGTATGATAGTGGCAAATGATCCAACAATAAAGGGAGGCACCTATTATCCAATTACAGTTAAGAAGCATGTCAGAGCCTAAGAGATTGCTTGGGAAAACAAATTGCCATGTGTCTATTTGGTAGATTCTGGTGGTGCTAAGTAAATATCCATCAATAACAAAAGCTTGATGAGATAAGACGAAGTGTTCCCAGACAGAGATCACTTTGGCAGAATCTTTTATAATCAAGCCAATATGTCTGCACAAGGCATTCCTTAGATCAGTATAGTGCTTGGGTCATGTACAGCTGGAGGTGCTTAGTAAGATCATGCATTTAAGTTTTAGTGTCCCTGCAATGAGTGATGAGAATGTCATAGTAAGTGGAAATGGAACCATCTTTTTAGGAGGTCCTCCTTTGGTGAAAGCAGCCACTGGTGAAGTGGTATCTGCAGAAGACTTAGGAGGAGCCAGAGTGCATAGTTTCACTAGTGGATTGACTGATCACTTTTGCACTTCAGAATTAGAAGCCTTGCAAAAAGGTAGATCAATAATTAAGAATTTGACAACCAAATAAGTAGGTGATATTAGAGATGACTAACCACTCTATGATATCGAAGATTTAAATTATTTGATGAGTAGTGATCTCAAAAAAACTATGGACAGTCGTCATCTTATTGCACGCCTTTTGGATGGATCAAGATTTATGGAGTTCAAGGAGAATTATGGTACTACTCTTATTACAGGATTTGGTGAATTGTATGGTTAGGAGGTAGGAATTATTGCAAATAATGGAATCCTGTTCAGTGAGTCAGCCTTAAAAGGAGCACACTTTGTCAACTTATGCTAATAAAGGGGAGTCCCTTTGATTTTCTTGTAAAATATTACAGGATTCATGGTGGGTCGAAAATATGAGACAGAAGGCATTGCTAAACATGGAGCTAAGATGGTTAATGCTGTAGCTACTGCAACTGTTCCCAAATTGACTTTACTTTTTGGTGGAAGCTTTGGAGCTGGTAACTATGGTATGTGTGGAAGAGCTTATGGAGCCAAGTTCCTATTCTCATGGCCTAGTAGTAGAATTTCAGTTATGGGAGGTGATTAGGTATGATTAATATATCGAATATGTTAGGCAGCTGGAGTGTTAACATCAGTGTAATAATAAACCATTGTTAGAAATGGAGGAGAGTGGAATGAAAAGGTCGAGAAAGATTTAAAATAGAAATATTCCTAGAAATACGACTATGAATCTAGTGCGTATTATGCAACTGCTCGATTATGGGATGATGGGATCATTTTACCAACTTAGACCAGACAAACATTAGGATTGGCACTTTTAACTAGCATGCAACATTATAAATACGAAAGAACAGGTCATGGGGTTTTTAGAATGTGAATTTATGGAATATATTTAAATAATATATAAAAATGGAACGAAAACTCTATTTTGGAGTACAAGAGCAAGCTTAAAACAAGTAGTATCGCTTTCCAACCAATTTCATTAAAACTAGCAGGTATTCTTTATGATTTAAAAAGGTACAATATATTAACATTTCTTCCTTATTCATTGGCATTGTAATTCTAGAGAATGGCTAATATTTATTTTCTAATCATTGCAGTCTTATCCTTTTTTAAATCTATTTCCCCTTTTAGTCCAGTCTCCTCTATTGCCCCATTAATTTTTGTTGTATCCTTATCAATGTTAAGGGACGGATATGAGGATTATTAAAAGCATATAAGCGATAATGAGTTGAATTCTTCGCCTGCAACGATATGGACAGAAAAAGGGTTCGTAAAAAAAACATGGAAGGATGTGCTCATCGGAGATATTATCAGAATCGATGAATTAGAAATCATTTCAGCAGACATTGTTGTTTTATAAACATCTTAAGATGGGATTTGTTTCATAGAAACCTCTTCCCTTGACGGAGAAAAGAATCTCAAACCCAAATAGGCAATCAAAGAAACTTAAACAATCGAATGTAGATCAGGTGTCATAGAGTGTATAAATCCAAATCCCCTTCTTTATACATTTGATGGTACTTTATACTTGGATTCCAAAAAGATCTAAATCACTCATAAAAATTTCTTATTAAGAGGATCCAAATTAAAAAATGTCAAATAAGCAATTGGAGTTGTTGTTTACACTGGAATTGACACCAAAGTTATGAGAAATTCCGAAGGTCAAAAGAATAAAGTTAGTAACATAGACAGACTCATCAACCTAAGAATCATTTACATTTTGATTATGCAAACCATAATTTGCATTATCTTGGCAATAGTATATGGAATCAATTGTCAAATCTAAAGTCAAAATTTCAGTTATTTTAGTAGAAACTTTGCAGGATACGAATCCTACAATAATTAAGACAAAATCTATGATCCAGACATTCCTAATTGTGCTTTGGCATCTTTGATGACTTTTGCTGCTTATTTTTTACTCTTAAATACATTAATACCCATAAGTTTAATTGTCTCTTTAGAATTTGTTAAGGTTGGCCAAGGATTTTTTATGTAGAAAGATGCAGAGATGTATTCTTCTGAAAATGACAAGTACGTCAAAGTCTTTAGCACAACCATTAATGAAGAACTAGGCTAAGTACAATATGTATTTTCTGACAAAACAGGAACTCTGACTTGTAATAAAATGGAATTCAAATTATGTGTCTGTGGAGAAACCATTTACGGTGATCTAAGTATGTTTAACAAATAGGAAATAACTACATTTGTTGGAAATCAGATTCTAAGAAGACAAAGTACCTTACATAGAAGACGATCAACTTTAGTGAATGAGAAGGCTGGAATTGAATATGCATTCTCAGGGGATAAGATCTAATAAATCATAACAGAAACAGACCCTTCAAAGAATCCCAATATAGACTTAATGATTGACAAATATCTCATTCGTAATCAAGGAGATCTAGTTAAAGAAAATTTGATGCTTCTAGCCACATGTCATGAATGTGTTTTGGAATAACAAGAGGACAAAACATTCATCTATTAAGGTCCTTCTCCAGACGAGATTGCCTTGGTTGATGCTGCCAGAAGACTCAATGTTGTGTATAGAGGTATAACCATGGGTGTAATGGAAATTGATGTTCTTGGGGAGATTGAAAAAGTTGAACTCTTGTTTTCATTCGAATTTAACAGTGATAGAAAGCGAATGTCTGTTATCATCAGACACAATGGAGTTATTAAACTCTATACAAAAGGAGCAGATGCCATCATCAAGGCTAGATTGTCTCCAAATTAAAAATATTTGGATGGAATGGATCAGAAACTAGATATGTTTTCAAGAAAAGGACTTAGAACTCTATGTTTAGCCATGCGTGTACTTAGTGAAGAATAATTTAATCAATTTTCAAGAGCGATGAATGATGCTTTAGGAAGTGGAGAAACAGAAAAACTGCAAGATGATCTCATCAACTAAATTGAAAAGAACTTAACACTTATAGGAGCAACAGCAGTAGAAGATAAATTATAGGAAGACGTTCCAGAAACCTTGGCTGATTTCTTAAAAGCAAATATCAATGTTTGGATGTTGACTGGTGACAAATTAGAAACAGCAGAGAATATTGGAAGATCCTGTAATCTATTGCAAGATAACATGGATGTATTTTTCTTGACTCCTGGATGTGAATCAATTAAAATTTTTAATGAAATAGCAGATCACATCATTCATAAATAGTCAACTAAAAGAGCCATCATAATCGAAGGCATAGTTCTAGCAACATTAATTGACGACGAGAAACTAATCAACTATTTAATTACTCTAGTACCATTTTTACATACAGTGATTTGCTGTAGAGTAACTCCAAAGCAAAAAGCTGACATGGTTCGATTAGTTAAAAATTCACTTGGCAAAATTACATTAGCAGTCGGAGATGGAGCTAATGATGTAAATATGATTTAGGAAGCACACATCGGAATTGGTATTTATGGACAAGAAGGAATGAGGGCAGTCTAAGCCAGTAATTATGCTATTGGATAATTCAAATGTCTTTGGAAATTGGTGTTATATCATGGTAGGTAGAATTATATACGTATTTCGGAGATGATCTTGTACTTCTTCTACAAAAACATTATTTTTACCATCCCATAATTTTATTTTGCCTTCTTTTGTGGACATACTGGCACTAGTGTTTTTGATCAATTGTAATTCTTTTTTTTTATACTAGCTTTGTGTCATTCTACAATACAGTATTTACCTTCTTGCCTGTTGTGATAAGAGCAATCTTTGATGAGGATGTGTTTTACACTTCAAAAAGAAAATAAACTCTTTTAGGCAGTAGGAGAATCAAAGAGGGGGAATAGGAAAACGATATTCTTAGGCAAAATTACCCCCTTCTCTATTATATTGGACAAAGGAATACAGTATTCACAAGTGAGAAGTAATCCATCCTCATTATTTAGATTCTTTAAATGGTTTTTTATTGGGGTCTTTCAGGGACTAGCATGCTTTTTCTCTTTTTATTTTGAATTAAACGATACAACTTTTATCAAACCCACTGGTTTAAACAATGATTTTTGGTTTTTCAGCATGTCAATGTCAACTGCCATCATGATTGTAAACTAATTCTTTATCATCAGCTTGTCACTTTGAAATTAGCCTTGAACACTTAATTTTGGACTATCATTACTTGGGTTGCCTATCTTGGGACAAGCTTAGGCACCTATTTTGCATATATGTGGGTTTCAAACATTATTCCTCAATCATCAATCTATGGTACTACTAGGATGTTATTTTCCAGTTCTGCCTTTTATTTAAGTTTGGCTTTATCTGTTCTATCTATGTTTATTCTTGATTTATTAATGTTCACAATGAAGGTTTCTAAAGACACTCTACTCAATTACATGAAAAGATAAGCCAGATCATAGCAAAATTTAGAATTATCTAAAATTAAGAAGTTATAAAACAAAATTGACGACAACACCGAACTAGAAATACCTATTATAAGGTTGTAATAACAAAAGAGCCTTATAAATTCTAGCATGAGCGGGAGCTAACCAATAATATAAAGAAATAGAGAAAATTCAAATTTCTATTTATGAATTAATTTAATAAAGTATATTAATTTATTTAAATGTAAAATCTTATATTTAAATTTCTATTTATTATATTCTTCAATTCTGAAACTTTTCTAAAGATTTTAGAATTCCAAAAAGAAAAGAGTTTACTAACCAATTTTCACCATATTTATTTGATTATCCAATATTAAAAATTCTCCTTTCAAGGTTTATTAATTACTTAATTTAAGTTATACCAAATCTGTTAAAGTTTTTTTGAGACAATTTTAAAAATTTATTGAATTTATACAAATTTTGATTAAGAAGGTGATCCAAAAATTACCCTTAAATTTAGTTATATCAATGTAGTAAAATAATAGAAGATATTTGAGTACTTGTCTTAGTACTACTTGATAGATTAATTTAACAATATTATGTTCAAATAAAAATAAAACTGTCATAATTTTAGTCCTTCTATAAAAGGATTAGCCTTATGGAGTCTAAATTACTATTGTAATCAGTGTAGATAATAATATATAAGTTGATTAAATATTTATATGCTTAAATGATTGTGTTTTTAAATAAATAAATAAAAAGAAATAAAAAAATATTAGTTTTTAAAAAATGAGCTTAAGAAGAATGAGAAGTGGAGGAGTACATGCAGATTCCGAGGAAGATTATTTGAATGTATTTAATTATTATCATATTTTGATTAGAAAATTGGCAAAATGGAAAAATCACAAAAAAGAAGAACCTATGTATAAGAAACTGAAGCTTTTGAAGGTTTTATTATGAATTCTCAATTTACATTTGATTGCTTTGGAGGAAATCAAATTTTAAAGACAACTTAACAATCACATTTCATCCTAATAATGATTGATGATTTCGCTCTAAGTCCCAAAAGACTCTATAATATGATTGATAACAGTAAACTTTTGTTGTTTATGTATTTTAGCAGATAATTGCGAGACGATGACTCAAAGTACAAATGATGATTCAATTGTTTGGAGCTCTTAACCTATGAATTATGACTGCGTAGTACATAATTACACTATGGGATAAGTGAACCATTTGTTTAATCTGTGGATAATCAATACACCTGTTATAAATTACATATTTAAATGTATGAATTTTTATTTATTATTTACTTAGAGTGTTATTTTCAATTATTTGAAGCCTTTATCTGTGTAAATAATGAAAGAAATGATATTTTTAAGGAAGTCTTTGAAGAAATGAAAAGTTATAATAATAAGGTTCAGTAATTTCATATAAAAGAAAATGATGAAGTAATATAAATTTTAAAGTCTTATATAGGGTTCCCCGAATCGCAAATAGATTAATAATCTTTAATAAATCTTAAGAATTTTGATTGACTCCACAATGAAATGATGAAAGCTCTTATGATAACAGATATTTTGTTTATTGTTTATGTTGAATATTAAAAAACTTATAATTTATATTAGAATATTACCAAAAATGAGTGAGATTGTATAAATAATTAATTAAATTAAAAAAAATGGCAGATCAATCACAAGCTGAATATTTGAACTTAAAAGTTAAATCCCAAGATGGAGAGGAGGTTTTCTTCAAAATCAAGAAACAAACCCAATTCAAGAAACTAATGGATGCTTATTGCTCAAGACAAAATGTAATTATGAACTAAATATTTTAGCTTCAAATCTAAAATGTGAGATTCCTATTTGACGGCGAAAGAATTTTGGAGACTCAAACCCCTGCTGATGTTAGAGTTATATGATATATATTAGATTGGAATGGAGACGGGAGATGAAATTGACGTGGTTATTGAGCAAGTTGGAGGTATGAAATGTGTATGAATAAACATTATTATTTTATAATATATATATTTTTATGCTTGTTTTCTTCTTGTGTATGGGGATTGTCATCTCTGGTGACGTTAAATTGTATAGTAAATACGACACTTTGCTATAAGATAAGTTGTTAGTATCATAAATGTAATACATTAGATTGTTACTAAGAATGGGCTGATTTACAAATATGACTTAAAGTATCAACAAATAAGATGGAGATCAGAACTGGGCATATCGCTCTAATCCGACGGTATCTAGAATGGAACTTACTTTATGAAACCATACAAGGATGGTTCATTTCTATTTTACGATGAAGGATTCTATGTAACGAGATTCTTTAAATTAGGAAATACCTTCAGAAGATTTAGATATCCTGTTTAAGACTTGCAGTATGTTTCAAAACTCATTGACCTACAACAATGAGTTAATGTATTTTTTAGATATTGCCACAGGAAATATAAAAGAGTTGACTCAATATGACATTTAATAGCTCTTGAGTTAACCGAAAATGTATGAAAAGGGAGTGCTAATTCATGTTAAACAAAAGTTTATTTCAGATTTGGAGTATGAGGACTCTCAACAACATAATTCTAGAATATAAATTAATTTTTTACTCAAATACTTACGTGGAGATTTAACTTAAGCAAAATATTCTAATTCTACTATAATTTACAAAACCAATACAGGAATCTAAGTGCTATGGGCTAATAAAACCCTTGATCTCTATTTGGATGATGAAGTATTTGAAATATTCGAGTATACACCAGACTAAGGGATTTACTCAATAGTATTTTCTTAAGATCACACTAAGAGCACTGGTTTAACCGTAATGTCTATAATTAATAATCAATATCAATGTGAAATTGAGGGACAATGCTAATCTAATTCTAATTCTAATTCCAGTCCTCATGCTTTGGGAGTCTATAAAGATACTCAATTTAAGCAATGCTTGAATCAATTCTACAAGATCAAATTTTAAACTTAGTTGGTCTTATACTAATAGGAAAAGACATCTGAGAAAGTAGAATAATGTTAGGCCGTTGAAAATTACGCCAATCAGTTTTTATCTATATTATTGTTATCGATGGTGATTGCTTATATTCCTTTACTATCATCAAAAAAATAAAAGCCAAAAGAGGTTGTTATAGTTAAGGAACCCTAAGTGTAATATATATACATAAAGTCTAAGGAAATTTAAATTAACAAAGAACGTATTCTGGGAATTGGAATAAATGGAACTTATGTATATGAAGGCATATTTCAAGGGAAAGTAGTAGCAGTCAAAGAAATTAATCTTAAGAATCTACAAAATAAATATTTAGAGAAACTGCTTGAAGAGTCAATATCAAAATAAATGCTTTTAAATTCGCCTTAAATTAATAAACTATTTTTCTTTGAAAAAAGAAATGATTGTCTGTATTTGGCTATGGAAAAATGTATGATAAATCTTAGAGAATTTATTAAATATGAATCTAGTTAAAAATTGAATGAAGCATAAAAATTAAATATTAAGTAAAATCTTTAAAATCCAGAATTTTATAAGGAAATCTTCCTTGATCTGTTGAATGCTTTATAGACTCTATTAGAAAATAATACCTAACATCATGGGATAACTCCTGATAATGTATTATTCAGTTAGGATTTAAAAATAAAATTAGCTGATTTTGGACTATCGACCTTGACTGATTACTATTAAGAAAATCAGAATGATAAAAAAGTAATTAAGAAAATTAATTATTCAATGTTATAATAGTTGGGTCTGATTTTTTATTTCTTGTTATCTAAAGGGGATGATTTCTCATAGAAGTAATATTCTCAATAATTTTAGATAAGCTATCGATTAGAAATTCCTAATGGAAAGATTCAAGAAATTTAATATCAAAGAATTGGAAACCAAAGATTTATTGATGAAACTTTTATTAGATCAATCAATTGGTAATCCTTAGAGTATTTTTACACATCCCTACTTTTGGACCAAATAAAAGAAACTATCTTTTATTTGTGAATTTAGTGATTATGTTGAAACATACCCTTTACCAAATGATCAAGTTTCAATTCATGACAGATTCATAGCAAATTCTGTTTTCAAAGACAATTGGGGTACACGATGCGGAATGATACTCAAATGCTAAATTAGAGGATATGATCAAACATAAGCCTAATAACTAATTAGAGTAATATAATATTTTAAGATAGCTAATCCGAAATACCAAGAATCATTACCATCAACTTACAGAGGATTGTAAATTACTTTTAGGACCAACTGATGAAACTTGCTTTGATTACTGGAGCAAACAGTTCCCAAATCTTTTCTTTACCCTCTATCAACATGCCATTGAAAATAGTCTCAATCTATTAAGTTTGAAATGAGGACTACCAGGAGGATTTTACATTTACTTATATAATAAATGTATTTTCAATTTATTATTAAACTATAATATTTTCTTATGTTTATTCAATCTATTGAAATTATTTTCTTAGCTTATTAATAATGACTTCAAATCATATTAAATAATATAACTTTTTAGATGACTAGGAAAATTTGAATTTTTAATAATCGGATTTAATTTGATTTTATTAGATTATAATAATATCAAAATTTCACTTTATTTATGTCGTAAAAGTTGATCAAATCAGCCTCCTCATCAGGTATCTAGACTTTTGACTAAATTTATCGTTCTTACAAAGAAAGAATTCCGATATCTTCATCATTAAGAGTTTGTTCCTCTATTTCTCTAGAAGTGCAACTCGATTTAGAAAATGGATCAATTACAACACTAGACAATTTGAGATGATCTAGTTTCAACCCTACTGCATGGCATTTTTTAATCTCATTTTGCAATTTATCAGCTCTGATTAATATATAAATTCTAGATATCTCATAAACCATATTAACAAAAGTTAGTTTTTGCTCTATTTTTTATTTGATGTTCTAATAGAACCTCAAGTATTCATTTAAATCAAGTTGCTAATTATGTAGAACCACCTTAACTATATCTCTCTTCCAATTTTTGTATATCTTAATCTAAGGAAATTGTGGATAATAGTAGGTTATTAAGTCATGCACTATTTTTTCATTTAAAAAATGTGAATTGAATATCACTATTAAATGTCTAAGCATGAATAAGATTGAAACAATCGACCCAATATTAGCAAGTAGGTCGCCTGCATTTGGATATTCAAAAATAGTTTTAATTTAATTTCCTTTCATTACTACATAAAGAGATGCATATGTTTCATCTCCATATGCTTATTGGCAATATTAAACTGAATTTGTTTGTGGTTGAATTAAGGCACCATTAACAAATTCAAAATATTTTGGATACCCAAAAAGGAATGAATCTTTTACTTCATAAAAACTACTTTGTAAGAATGTGTTCAAAGAATAGCAATTAGGTTTTTCTATTTAAACAAAAAATTCTTAAACACTTGACTAAATTGATCCATCTTTGGAATTTAACTATTTGTATTAAACTTACATTATTATAATATTTTATGCTTGATTGAAAAATTAATTACTGATTTCCTCTGTTGCACATTCCTCTCCATCTTTTAAATACTCAGGCGTGCATTTAACTATTTAAATGTACATTTCAGATGTAGTTATCAACTAATCATTGATATTTGTGAATCCTAATTTCATTTATGGAATTATAAATCTATTTCCGTAATAAGTTGTTTTGTTCGATATGTCTAATAATGTAGTTTCAGTAAATGTGTAGTTTTCTGTATAAATTATTAAAGGAAGAAGCACTTTAGCTTCAAAGGGATCAATTAAGTTTTCTTCATATTTGTAATAACAAATTTTTATAACATCGTAGTTGATATCTAATAATTTAAAGTCTGAAACATAGACAGAACTTGAAATCTTAGGGCTAAATTAGTTTATTTACCATAAATAAATAACCCAAATTGCATATGAAAGACTAGCTGAACAAATTAGCAATGTCATTACTCCGCCTAATATACTTTTATAAATAGATTGTTCTTTGTCGATTTGCTAAACTAATGGAGCTCCAAAAAAATCTATCTATTTTAAATAACTCACAAAAAGACTCATTTCTTAAAATTATTATTATTATAAATACTATTGTTTGATATTTTTTGCTGGTATAAATTTTAAATATATTTCAATATATGTAATAATTATCAACAAAATCAAAATTTCTATCCTTGATGATTTTAAAATGTAGCTATTCAATTTTATCTATAATGACAGATAGGAGTATGTAGATGAAGTTTTATAAAATTGTCATAAATCTATTAACTCTAATACTATAAAAATAGTGAAAAAGTAATTAAGCCTTTGATTTTTATATATTTAAAATATAATAAATTATAAATATTAATTGAAATAATATAATTAAAAAGATTACTCTTTTCATAATTGTAATGGTTTAATTAATATAAAAGCGTTCTTAACAAGATTAGCTGATTAGTTTCTTCATTTTAATAATTCTATTTTGATGGCCAGCCTATTCTAATATTCAAAATCACCTTTACAGGAAAATAATACTCAATTAAATATTAAAATAATAGTTTTCTTTTGGAAGTGCCTATTTATATGTCTAGATTTTCACTTAAGTAATATTGTAGATTAAAATTTAATGAAATATAAATATAAAAGTAATTTCCTATGATTAGTTTTAATCCTATTTGTATAATATAAGAAATTAATAAGAAAAAATCTCTTATTTTTCAGAATCATCAATTATTTTATTTAAAAGGAGGATCAAATTATGAAGTGGTTTCTCGAGAAAAAAAAGTTCCCTATAATTATGAAATATACTCACACAATTTTAGAGACAATATAACTTTTATATAAATAGGATATATTTAAGATTGATCCCCTCAAATTAATATTGAGTATCTTATTGAATTAGAGTTATTAATATTATTTAATTCAATAGACAAAAATTAACATATCAAGTAGTATGTATTCACAAATTGTTAGGTTTTTTTAATAGAGATACTAAGGATGAATTTCTAAATAGCATTTATGGTTTTTATCGAGTTATTTTGAAGGATAGTTGTCTGTGTCTTTATGTTGAAACAGAACCTGTATGAATTGAGTGAATCGCATGCATTGATTGAGATTTGATTCTGAATTCAATTGTTTTTCTGAATTTCTATTCTAATTGCTACAGAACTTCTTTTTTTAGAGCTAAGGCTTGTTTATTAGAAAAGTTTAACCCTTTGACAATATCATAGATGGACTTAATTTCAGAATTAGTTTTCATTAATATTAATATTGATGTAATTTTAATGGGTTTCAAAGTATATAGACAAAGTGAAAACACTAAGAATATTTCAATCAGGAATACCTTAGAAGTTAATTTGGCTATGTAAATATAACTAATTTAATTAGATGGAACCTACAGGTTCGCTTAGACAATATTGCCAAAGGTCCAATCTATAGCTGTTCATTTATTATGGAATTCTAATTTAAGAAGACAATATGGGAATGGATGGGCATTAGTGACAGGAGGTGGTGACGGTCTTGGAAAAGCATATGCAATAGAGTTAGCCAAAATGGGATACAATATAATTATTATAGGTAGAACCCAAGATAAATTGGATTAGACTAAATAGCTGATCCAATAAGAATATAAGGTATAGATGGAAACAATTTAATTTGATTTTGATACCAATAGTGAAACTTCATACAAAGAATTATATCAAAAGATAATAAGAATAGGAGAAATTGCGATTTTGATAAACAATGTTGGAACTTTTGAAATGCACCCATTTGAATAAGAATAAAAAACAACGACCTTGATAAATGTTAATATTAATGCGTGCACCTATTTAAGTTAAATGTTAGTTCCACACATGAAACAGAGAAACAAAAAATCTTTAATTTTATTTGTTGGTTCAGAAACTGGAGAAAGACCACATAGTGGATGTGCTATCCAATCTTCCACAAAGGCTTACATTGGAAATTTAGCTAGATCTTTGGCACTTGAGTTGTCACCAAAAATAGATGTTAGACTAGTCACTCCAGGCCCTATATCCACTGGTCTTTTAGAGTAGAACAAAGAGTATGTGAATTTCAAAACGAGATTATTCATTTGCACTCCATCAGAAGTTGCTCAACAATCTTTACGCAAAGTAACAATACAAACTCATATCATTGGTACATGGAAACATGGATTGTTGTAATATTTATAAAATAAATAAAAAAATTGATTTAATTTAATTTAATGCAAACACAGCCAGGAATATTAGATTTGTCTGCCTACAATTTGCCTAAGAGTGATTCCTTATCGTTGAGAATACAAGAGAACTTTTCTCTGTATGGTGTTCGATATACTCAATTAGTTGTAGTGGCAATTGCAATTGGAGGGTATGCTAAAAATAATAATTAGACTCTCTAACTTCGCGGTTTTGTTGACACTCTTTCTTAGTTACTTAGGGTATTATTGTGTTATTAAATCGAAGATGGGCATATGTTATGAAACAAAGTGCTATTTTAGATTTCCTGCCTGATTTAGGATTCGTCAATACTCAAGATAAAAAAATGATACTTTTACTACTATGTAACATGAATAGCATTTAATTTAGTTAATATCTTACTTATTTTGGCTATTTCAGGTCCTCACATATTGACTTATGTGGGTCTTGGATGTTTAATCGTAATTGTACATGCATCATTATGGAAAAGTCCCTCAACTTTACCTGGACAAGATATATAGTCAGAGTTTGACAAAGTGTTAATACAAAATGATGTTGAATTAATTAATCATTGAAGTATATAGATCATTATATTAATTCACTAATCATGTTTCCATATGCAACTTTATCATTTTGCATCATATGAATAGGAAACTAGGATATTTAGACTTTATCCAATTCTATTTCATTATCATACATACTAATAGTACCATCCTTTCGACCAACTATTAAATATTAATTAAATTGCATAAACGAAATACCATTACATTCTATAGTGATGATATTTAAATGTTCAATGTAATTTCTGATCACAATTTGGGAACACAACATTATTATTTGTTCTTGATTAGTCTTACTAAACTAGATTTAACATTATTCAATTGATCTGAACCTATAACTATCCATTAAATAATATTCCGGAGTATCATCAATTACATTAGTGGCTTTCTTTATGATAAACTCCTCTTTCTCCTTGTAATGCAAGATGGAAACTTTTTAATTTCCAGTACTATATGCAATTAACTTATCTTTTATATCAATGGAAATAATTGCGAAATCTCCTCTCTCTTTAACTATTTCGTGCATTTTAATTTCATTCAAACCAGTACAATAAAACAATTATCCTAATTCATTTCCAACAACAAAATAATTTTTTGAATTTGCCACCAAACCAGTCACACTCTTTCCAACTTGGATTTGACCAATCAACTAAAAATCTTTGAAAATTCTGCAATAACCATCTGAATATCCAGCGATTATGCAATTTTTATAATGCGAAATTTGTAAGCACTATCTCTTCGGTACCAATATTTCATCATTGTTAATCATTATTGATCCTTCTGATGTACCAAGAATATCCTAATGAGAGCAGAGGATCTTATGTTCTAATGGAATATTCGGCTCAATTTTGACTGTCGTTCTTGATTGAATATCCACGAACCAAATCTAAGATCTAGTGGCCACTATTATATCCTGTTAAAACATGTTCGAATAACCTAATGGGATACTATCTAAAGATATAATATGTTTATCATTAAATTGATATGTGTAAATGTAGATGTTTGGTGAATTTGTGAACAATAACACGTATTCTTTAGTGCAGATTACTTAAGTAATATCTTGAGAAGTGGCATTTTCAACCGTTAATAAAGTCCGAGCCTATTTGATATCAATGTGATGAATTTTTTGTCCTTATGAAACTACCAATGACTATTTATAATATCCACTACTTTAATAGTAAGTAGGTTGTATATCTAAATCACAGTATTCTAATAATGCCTTTTGATTGACTCTCCATAATTAATTTTGGATTCCACTCAGCGTCACAAACATCAAATCTTGGTCATGACACCAATCTGTATAAATATTACCATTTCCATATTGAATTATTGTTTGAGTCAGTATTTTACCACTACTCAAGATATATATTTAAATTCTATTTTCATTTATCATTAGTAAATAATTTCCACATGGAGATACTGTGGAACATGCTAATTATCCTGCAAAATCAAATTATTTTATTAAGTCCATTTTCAAATCAAATACTAAAACTTGTTATTTAAGTAATACAATTATTCCTTTAATACTATAATGTATGGCTTAGATTTATGTTGTCAAAATGAGCTACTATTTTTGTTGAGTATAATAATTGATAGAAATAAATTATTCTGATGGCAAAACATAAAATTATTCTTCCTTATTCCATGGAAATTATTAAATGTATGTATCACTAAAACGATACCCCATTACTTTCTTAATTTTAATTTTTGGTAATTGTTATTCATCTATTATTAATTATTTATTTTGATTTTAAATATTTAAATGCTGATTAGGAAGAACAGCTTTAGGAGATGATTTTGGACTTACTTATTATTATTATTACTATTATTATTATTATTATTATTGTTATTATTACTATTATTAATTTTATTATTATCTTTATTAATTACTCTTTTTATTTTCCTTCCCTTATTTTATTGTTTTTTCTTTTTCTAATTTTTGTTTATGGGGACTCATTGATTCTTAGATGACATCTATTAATTAATTTATATATGGTTTATCTATTGGATGAGTTAACATTGTTTAATGTAAACCATTTGTGTCCCAAATAAAGATGAAATCATCAACAAAGCTGATAATTTATGATGAAATTACTAATTTTTTGACCTTTTATTAGTAAACTTATTTGATGGGATTGCCTGTTTCGTCACTTGTGAATAAATAGTCATATACAACCAATTAATCTTTGTTATTTGCATTGAAAACATAATTGTTGCAACTCTTAATATACACACTATTTGATATTAACTCTTATAAAAAATTCAATTGTTTATCAAATCTTTTGATGTTACCATTGCTTACAATATGAAGATGCTCATCATTACAATCAATAGCACTGATTGGTATATTCAAGTGATATTTTTCTGCTAAATGATCACAAGAATATAATTTAATATGTGAACTACTTGCAATATAATAAAATTCATTAAAAAACCCATTGAATGCAATTTATTGGTTATTTTAATTGTACTTAATTTAATGTTGATGTTATTTGATAATCAGTAATTTATTATTTAAGATAAGTGTCTCGTTTTCATGGGTTATTAAAAATAAAGTATCATTCAAATTTCCACTCATAGCTAGAATAGGATGCTTTGTATCAATTTCTAAAATGACTGTATAAGTTTATAGTTCAAAAACCCTTATGTAACCATTATCAAACCCAGCTATAAATTAAGGCTTAGTTGATAATCCACATAAGGATGATGCCAAACCATCAAGACATCTAAATTAATATTCTAATGATAAGTTTTTGTTCCATATTTTAATTTCATGATCCATTGCAGATGAAACTATTTTATCCTAAACAACAATAAGATCCAATATATTCTACTGATGAGAATGTACCAAATATTTAATAGTTTTATCGTCCACAATTCCAATAGATTTATCTCTAAATGCACAGACCAGTTTTTATCGACTATCACAACCAATTACTTCAACTTCACATTTTATATCTCTGACAAGTTCGCTGAAATCTTGCTTCCAAAATTTGATTCCATCCTTATGGGTTGTGACTACAAAAGATGTAAATTTGTTCATTGTAGTTATAGGTGTTTCTGATATCTACCAAACACCGGTTAATTCCTTTTCTATAAACTGAAACACTCGACCTCTTTTACAACATCCCAAAACTCTCTTGTCCTGTATTAACACATCCGTAAAATCAGTTTCTCTAGCATACTATCCCAAATATGGAGAATGGCCTTGTAGACAAGTGTCTTTGATGTGCCAATACCGGATATTCTCTTTGCCTACTGATATGAAATTATCTTTGTCTTGTATTTTAAATGTTGAGATATGAAATGGCGAGGCTTATTTAATAACAACTGTTTCATTCCGAATCAATAATAACATTTAATGTTTTTCATCATTTGCTAACACAATTAATGTGTCATCCCAATTTTATATAAATTTAGCTTTGTACCCTTCTAATTTATAATGATTTAGGATTGAACATGTAGTAAAATCAAATGTTATGATCTCAGAATCACATGCAGCTATCAATTCGTTTTTATATTTTGTTATTGATTATATTTCACTTGTAGCAGAACAAAACTTTTATTCTTTTTCTGACATTATTACAATTGTTTTATCACAAGGAAAGGCAAAATAATTATCATCTAAAAATATTACATTCGCTTGATGTTTTGGAGTATAACCATGAATATGTTTTAATTTCATAATCGATTAAGGTTTGCTTTTTACTTTTGCTTCCTATTCTTCTAATATGGGTTCTCTTACCTCCTATTTCATAGGAGATACCCTTTCTTGTGGTAATGGAATTTCTTCCAAAGGAGCCTATTCTTGTTTTTTACCTTTTGTTTTCAAAATACCCTTCAAAGGTGCCAATTTGGGTTTCACATGTTTAATTAAAGCACGATGCACACTATTTAATTGGCAATCCGTGGGCAACAATTAATCTTCATTTGTATTATATATATTTTTAACAGCAATATTTCCACTAATATTTAATTAGGTAATCTCTGTAAAACTGTAAAAACTCTTCAAGTCCACCACAATTGTACCCCAATTTGGTAATCCTTCACAGGGTTGATTGATCTAATTTTCATGAGGGTAGGAGACTGATTTAAACAACTATTTTAAAAAATAATTCAAATTACATTGCTAATTGAAACTTTGAAATTTTACCCCTTATTTTAATAGTTTATAGAAATTATAAACACACCTGTGGGAGGAACTTAAATTTAAAAGTGAAGCTTAAATTATTAGGAATAATTACATAATTTTATCTAAGATTGACAGGAATTGTAATCTAGGCAACTGTATTCATATTTCCATCTAAATATAAGACACGTTTCTTTATGTATCGATCTTACTTCATGTAAACCTTTCCTTACTGTTCAGGATGATACTATTTTAGAATATCAACACACACCATGTAATTCAAATTTGTAATTATAATATTAATTTTATATATCATAACAACTCTTTTCTTCTTCTGCATTTCAATTTTGGCACATCATTCAACCATTTCTAGGTTATGGAAACTATAAAAACTACATTTGATGGTCTCAATTCTTTTTCTCTTGCTTGCAAAGATTAATGTTCTACTTGATCCATATTTCCAAATATTTGTTTAATGTGAAATAGTGTCAATTCAGCAAACAGAAATCCATATTTTAATCTTATTGCTTTCTGTTCTTTTAACAATGCTAATCCAACTTAACATATTAAATCTTAATTTTCTTTATCAATTCCTTCCACTATTCCCATATATTATCTCCTAATTTATGTTCTTCTCTCTTCTTATCTCAATTACACTAGCTCATTTTTCAGAATTCTATATTCATTTATCAAAGGACTCAAAAACACAGTTTCTATACCTTATTTTTCAGCTAAATCCACTTTAGGACAAGATTCAATAAATTCTAAATCATTGTCAAAAGTAACTAAATTAACAACTGGTTGTCTATCTGAATCTACCTTAATTCCTCCTGTGTACACAAATTTCACTTTTTTATGTTATTCATGAGGATAAAGACCTCCCTTAAGATGGCATAAATTATCAGTTTTTAAACTATCTGGATCAGGCTCAGGATTAAAAAGAGGTGAAAATTTAGTATCCAATACTGGTAGTTACAATGAAACCTATTTAGCATCAACAGTTTATTTCAAAGCCTCATTAATGATATTTACTTTTTCTTATTCATCCTCACTGAAATGAGGAGATGCCTTGCCATTTTCATCATCTGAAATTGTAATTATTACAGGATTGGGTTTGATTCTTTTGGCAGTTGGTAAATCTCCTCCACCATTTTCAGTATTGTTATTATTATTGTTATTGTGATTATTATTGTTATTATGATTGTTATTGTTATTGTTGTTGTAATTGTTATTGTTGTTGTAATTGTTATTATTATTTCTATCAAATCCTCTGTCTCCTCCTCTATCTCCGCCTCTATCACCACCTCGGCCTCTTCCTCTACCACGACCTCTTCCTCTTTCGCCATTTCCATTTGATTATTGATTACTGGAACCCCATCCATTAGATTATTGTTAATCGTTGTTACTACTTCCCCAACCACCATTTGATTGCTATGGAGCATCAGAGCTTCCCCAACCACCAGTTTATGCTGGTTATTCTGTAGCTGTAGATCCCCATCCTCCATTTTATGCTGGTTATTCTGTAGCGGTAGATCCCCATCCTCCATTTTATGCTGGTTATTCAGTAGCAGTAGATCCCCAACCTCCATTTTATGCTGGTTATTCAGTAGCAGTTGATCCCCAACCTCCTGTTGCTTATGGTTATTCAGTAGCAGTAGATCCCCAACCACCATTCTATGCAGGTTATTCAGTAGCTGTAGATCCCCAACCTCCAGTTTAAGCTGGTTGTTCAGTAGCAGTAGATCCCCAACCTCCATTTGATTAAGGTTATTCAGTTGCAGAAGATCCCCAACCTCCATTAGATGCTGGTTAATCAGTTGTTGATGATCCCCATCCTCCACCACCTTAATCATTTGATGATCCACCCCAGCTTCCACCATTACCAAAATTATCATTATCCCTGCCTCCTCTGAAGCCACCTCTTCTATCTCCTCTATCTCCTCCTCTATCACCTCTCCCTCTAAATCCTCCTCTATCTCCTCTGTCTCCTCTTCCTCTAAATCCATCTCCTCTACCTCTAAAACCTTCTCCACCTCTGTCTCCTCTTCCTCTAAAACCATCTCCTCGACCTCTAAAACCTCCTCTATCACCTCGATCTCCTCTTCCTCGACCTCTTCCTCTCTGTCCATCTCCAGATCCTCCTCCACCCCAAGAGTTACCATTTTATTGATCTGATGAACCTCCCCAGCCTCCTCCAGAAGATGCTGCTTAATCAGTTGTAGATCCCCATCCACCTGTTGTAGTTGCCTATTCAGTTGTAGAACCCCATCCTCCAGTAGTTGCAGGTTATTCAGTTGTAGAAGCTCCCCAACCTCCTGTTGACTATGCAGGTTGTTCAGCATTAGATGATCCCCAACCTCCAGATTATTAGGGTTGCTATTCTTAAGTAGAATTTCCCCATCCGTTGGATTATTTTTATGGTTATTCAGTTGTTGATCCCCAACCACCACCACCAGATTATTAGTTTGATTATTCAGTTGTAGTTCCCCATCCACCTTAATTTGATTCTGCTTNAGTTGGTAAATCTCCTCCACCATTTTCAGTATTGTTATTATTATTGTTATTGTGATTATTATTGTTATTATGATTGTTATTGTTATTGTTGTTGTAATTGTTATTGTTGTTGTAATTGTTATTATTATTTCTATCAAATCCTCTGTCTCCTCCTCTATCTCCGCCTCTATCACCACCTCGGCCTCTTCCTCTACCACGACCTCTTCCTCTTTCGCCATTTCCATTTGATTATTGATTACTGGAACCCCATCCATTAGATTATTGTTAATCGTTGTTACTACTTCCCCAACCACCATTTGATTGCTATGGAGCATCAGAGCTTCCCCAACCACCAGTTTATGCTGGTTATTCTGTAGCTGTAGATCCCCATCCTCCATTTTATGCTGGTTATTCTGTAGCGGTAGATCCCCATCCTCCATTTTATGCTGGTTATTCAGTAGCAGTAGATCCCCAACCTCCATTTTATGCTGGTTATTCAGTAGCAGTTGATCCCCAACCTCCTGTTGCTTATGGTTATTCAGTAGCAGTAGATCCCCAACCACCATTCTATGCAGGTTATTCAGTAGCTGTAGATCCCCAACCTCCAGTTTAAGCTGGTTGTTCAGTAGCAGTAGATCCCCAACCTCCATTTGATTAAGGTTATTCAGTTGCAGAAGATCCCCAACCTCCATTAGATGCTGGTTAATCAGTTGTTGATGATCCCCATCCTCCACCACCTTAATCATTTGATGATCCACCCCAGCTTCCACCATTACCAAAATTATCATTATCCCTGCCTCCTCTGAAGCCACCTCTTCTATCTCCTCTATCTCCTCCTCTATCACCTCTCCCTCTAAATCCTCCTCTATCTCCTCTGTCTCCTCTTCCTCTAAATCCATCTCCTCTACCTCTAAAACCTTCTCCACCTCTGTCTCCTCTTCCTCTAAAACCATCTCCTCGACCTCTAAAACCTCCTCTATCACCTCGATCTCCTCTTCCTCGACCTCTTCCTCTCTGTCCATCTCCAGATCCTCCTCCACCCCAAGAGTTACCATTTTATTGATCTGATGAACCTCCCCAGCCTCCTCCAGAAGATGCTGCTTAATCAGTTGTAGATCCCCATCCACCTGTTGTAGTTGCCTATTCAGTTGTAGAACCCCATCCTCCAGTAGTTGCAGGTTATTCAGTTGTAGAAGCTCCCCAACCTCCTGTTGACTATGCAGGTTGTTCAGCATTAGATGATCCCCAACCTCCAGATTATTAGGGTTGCTATTCTTAAGTAGAATTTCCCCATCCGTTGGATTATTTTTATGGTTATTCAGTTGTTGATCCCCAACCACCACCACCAGATTATTAGTTTGATTATTCAGTTGTAGTTCCCCATCCACCTTAATTTGATTCTGCTTATTATTGCGGTTATTCTGTTTTACTTCCCCAACCTTCAGATGCTTATTGAACTGGTTATTCAGTAGAATTTCCCCATCCTCCAGATTGTGCTGGCTATTCTGTCGTGGTACTACCCCATCCACCTGATTGAGCAGGTTATTCATTTGTTGTAGTACTACCCCAACCACCTGCAGCATTATCTTTATTGTCTGAATTTCCCCAAGAGCTACCTTCTGCATTACCTCCCCAACTATTTCCTCCTCCATTGTTATTATTTGAGTTGCCACCCCAATTTCCACCATTGTCTCTTCCACCTCTAAAACCTCCTCTTCTCTCTCCTCTGTCTCCTCCTCTATCACCTCTTCCTCTAAATCCTCCTCGATCTCCTCTGTCTCCTCTTCCTCTAAATCCATCCCCTCTACCTCTAAAACCTTCTCCACCTCTATCACCTCTTCCTCTAAAACCACCTCCTCGATCTCCTCTGTCACCTCTTCCTCTACCTCTAGGTCGATCTGATTAAAAATTATTATCTGAGCTTCCTCCATTTCCCCAAGAAGTTGAACCGCCTCCCCAAGATGAACCTCCATTATCTCCTGTTGATGTGCTTCCAAACCCTGTAGTTCCAGATCCCCATGCATTATCATTATTATCTGTTTTAGTTTCTCCCCAAGATGATGATTGCTGCTGTTGTTGGTTTCCCCAACCTCCTGATTCTGCGGCTGTTCCATTTTAGCCATTAGTCTCTTAGTTATCCTTTTTCTCTCCCTGCCCCCATTAAGGCTCTTAATTTTTTTTCACTTCATCTATTTACGATCCACCTGCGTTTTATTCGCCACCCCATACTGGAGTGGAATCAACTGGTTTAACCTCACCTTCTTCAAGGTTATTAGTATTCCAACTCATAAGAATATTTAATTAATTAGTGAGTGGACCAATTTTTAGATTGATTTATGTTAATTTTATGAAGTGAATAATTGGGTTTTTTTTATAAAATGGCATGTTTTAGATTTCTTGTCAGATTAAATATACATTTTTTAATGTTTAACGATAAATATAATACAATTGCATCTTATCAATAATATTTCTTGTATTTATTATTGTAATTTCTTGATTTAAATTAATCCTGAAATTAATTTTCCTCATCAAATTACACCTAAGCTACACTACTCATCTGTTTTAATAGATCATCGTCTACATCTATTTTCTTTTGGCAATTTTTTATGTGATCTTCATAGTGCTCCTTTTATAAGATATGCAATGAATTATAAGGACATATCTTATATAGATGACCTAAATTTAATAAGGATTATTACCATATTTTTATTTGTCTTCACAGCCAGATGATAAGTGAAACCATAATTGACTGAAGGGCATTAAGTGATTAGGATTATAAGGGCAGCAAACTTCTAAATTCTGCTTTTTATATTTATGAGCCTTTTTCATTTTCTTAAATATTAATCAATTAATGAAATTTAGATACTTGTATTCTTTAGATTAATCTCAAAAATTCATTAACTTAAAATAAGTCAAAACAATCTTAGAAATTTCTTTAGGTTGCTGTAGTATTGATAGGAAGTAAAAAAGAATCAAACATTTCTCTAAAATTTAAATGATTTATTTAATATATATATATTGAAATAGAATTTTAAATTTTAAATGATTTATTTTTATGATTTTTCAGATTACCATGAATATACCAACTACAATAATGTTCAGAATAAATCCTTTTGAAAAATACTCTGTCATAGGCTCGTAAATTTATGAAGAACCATAACATTATTAACATGATCCAGTAGTAGAGTTGTTACTTGACCAATGATACTAACCAGCAGTTTATATATAGCATTAATTAGCATTAAATACACTTGCATCTGGAGGATTTATACACTCAGTCTAGTTCCAAAAACATGGTTTAATCGTATTTTCCGAGTCAATTACAAATTGACATTGTGACTTAGTTAGAATATATGAACATTCGTAATTCTGACATCTGTTTTAATACCAATTGCAAATTCCATAATAGATTGAACAAGAAGTTTAGCTTAATTTTTCGCATGATGAAAAATTTTCACAAGTAGTTCCTGTATTAATACAAAATGTTGGGCAACTATCCAAACTGAAATATTGACAATCGTAATCTATGCAAGAATTTCCAGATTCCCATAAACACATCGAATTCTACATTTAACATTATGAGAGATTATTTCCGCTTAAATTTTTACATGAAGTAAAAGGTGTGCAAGTTAATGAAGAATAATTAAATGAACAACTATATGGGTACAAAAGGCATTCAGCTTTAGATGTTATTGAATTACATTGAATATCAATGCATAAACTAGAGCTTGTATTCCATATACAACCTAGAGATGATTCACATTCATCTTAAAGTTGATATTTTGAGCAAGAGCATTGATTCTAAATCTTCACAACCCATCCTAAAGATGAGATAAGCAATAATTACACAATAATGAATTCCATTGTGCTATTTTATTTAATCTACAAAATAAATTAAAATTGACTTAAAATATACTAAATATTACGTCATTTTTTTGCGGTAATATGAATTATTTGCTTTTATTATTTTTATATTATAATCTATTAAGAGATTACCTTTATATCATTTCAAAAAAGAAAGGCTTTAAATGAGATCAAAGCAATATCATCAATGTGAAGGATCGATATCATATAACAATTTCCAAAATGTACATATAGTAAAGAACTTTACAATTCCAAGAATAAATTTATTTATTTTAATGTGTATTTTATTGTTAAATTATAATAATATATTTACATAGTGCAATTTCTATATTTTTACTATGATTAGACAAAAAGATATTAACCTATAAAAATACTCCTTTTCCATTTCAGTTGTCTGAATGTTTGGACCAATATCAACTACATGTAATCAAAGTCAAAATTAATAATTCCCAAAACCTCTCAATTTTTCACAATATACATTTTTATTTTAATTAATAGAAATCCCATATTGAATTGAGCCTTTTATTTATTGGTTCAAAAATATAATAGGATTCAAAAAAAAAAATTACAAAAATTTAAAATAATTTTCAGTATTATTTGCCTTATTACTTCTAAAATTTTAATTCTTTATTCCTATACGATGTGTTAATTTGCTCTATGTGTAATTAATTTTCATATTTATTTGAGTATTAATTAACTTAGATTGATAATTTTTAAATTTAAGAAGTTATATAAGTTTAATCAACGAAATAAAAAAATGATGATAATTGTATTAAATATTTTAAATAAAATATATTTATAAATATCTATTGAACTGATTATAAAAGGAATTGAATTTAATATAAATTTCATTATTAATAATAATAATTAAACAAATAAGGAAAACTCAAAAATTAAACAAATAACCACCTTTAATAAAATGAAAGATAAGAACAACATGATGATCAGAAGGAAGATAAAAAAATAATCCCCAAAAAAATTTCAAAATATAGATGATTAGTTAAGCTCACCATTAATAACGAATGAGATTCTGTTATAGAAATACCCTATCTATTGCCCAAGTGATATCTCAAGTCCTCACTCTGCACGAGAAGAACCTGGTAGTATGTTGGAATTCTTGCTTCATATAGAGAATTCTAACTACTCTCAGTTCATATGAATTTTATTGATAATATAGAGTTGTTTATATTTAATATTTCGATTATAAGCATGACATTGAAACTGAATTCTAATCCTCCTCAAATTCGTTTTTACATTGAATGTTATATATTTGATATGAAATATTCAAGAACCAATGAATATTTAATATGAATATTTGACTCTAGAGAAATAATGAAAGATGGAAATATTTACTTTGAGATCTCTTGTAATTATATAATACTTTAACAACAGGTCATGTTTGTAGTTTACAAAACAATGATTATTCAAGATTTGGTTGTTTTATAAATAAGTTAATAATACGTATTATGTTAAGTTTGTATAAATAAAGAAGACTAATAATCAAATAGAGAGAGGGAAATGAATTTCTTCTACGTTAAGTAAGAATTCTAACATGCTTCCTGGAACAAATTTGGATGATTCAGGACTCGACAGTAAACTTGAACATAAACTTTGATGCTTTGATAATAGGTCTTCATTAGTTATTATTGGAGAACTTAAATCATCTTATTATTGATGCTTTTTCGGTGATAGTTTTCTGATCTTCTTGACTCTTAATGAGTAATGTTTTTCTTTCATTTTGCTGATTATTTTAAGATTTATATTTTTTTATAATTTATTTTATTAATTAAAATTAAAAGGTAATAATTCTTACATTTGAATTTTAATATTCCAATTAATTTCTCATGTATTGGCATTACAATATAATTGAATTTTGAAATGCATAATATATAACTAATGAAAAATTTATTAAAAATATGTATAGAGATTAATTATTTTTGATTGCTTCTTGGGTAATATGTTATCATAAATCTTCCCAAAGTTTTAAAATTATTTGAAGTTAGCTTAAATAGATTATGGCAAAGAGTGATATAAATCTCTGTTTTGATTTAGTCTATAGAATAATTAACTTCTTGTTGAATTTTTAAATACTCAGCCCAATAAAGATAGGATATTTTTGTAATATTGTATATTATAGGGACGTTATATATTTAGAAATTAGAAATCCAGGCAAATTCGAAAAATATGCTTATTGGTGAAAAATTAATGATGATTTTCAAAATTAAGTAGCCCTTCATCCAAATAATTAAATTTGCTAAGTTGCTTTTATAATTGCCATGAGTCATTAATTAATTACATCAAGTTAAAAGTTTAATTATTAAACATGCGATTGAAATTTCTATTGTCCTTTATTTCATAAGAAAGTATTGATCTCAGCTATCTATTTTTTGATATTTAACAAATTTGTAAGATGTATGGATAAATTAGGATAAAGCCTCAATTATTATTTTTTTCCATTATTGTTTCCAAAGTCTATTATAAAGGCAGCTCTTGATTGAATTTTTATTCATAAAGTTCTCCAAAAAATAATAGTATTGGAGCATATTCTTTTGAATTATTTAGTAATATTATGTTAAATTCTATCTACTAAATTACTGATAAACATTAATTAGTTCTTTAATAAAATTGGGATGATCATTTTATAGTTGCAAAAGTGAAAAGTCAAAACTGATAATAAGGATTAAATCTCATTCTTTTTAGAAATTTCCGATTTAAATTATTTTTGAAATTGGAATTAATTTCTCCTGTCTAAGATCATCCTCTAATATCATTCTTAGTTAGTTTATTTCTTAAATACTAAGTTTAAAGATTTTCCTATAAATTATAAATTAGTTATTGCAACAAATATAATGCTAATTATGGGTTTCCATTCTTAGAATCACTTGATTGTCCATACTCTAATTCATAAAATTATAAAATATATTAGCCATAAATTATATATAATTCAATTCATTTTCTTAATTAAACAGCATCAACCATAATAGTAAATTACTTGTTTCCATCTATTGCTTTAAATTATTTAGCTCCAGAGTCATATTTGAAAAATGTTTTTACCATCTCAGAAGTTAAAACTTGAGGGCATTTTCCTTATCCGAAAATCAGATAAGGTTATGAGTCTACAGCATAGCCATACAAAGCTCGAAAGTCCTTAATATTTTATATTTCTTACCGATCTACCATAGGTTTTGAATAAAATAATAAAATGTTCTGCTTCAACTCCATCTAATTTTTAAAGAATTGCTTCTCTTTCCCTTTTGTTTGGTTCTCCAGCCAAACATACATAAGTTATTGCATTTTTTAGAATAGTTTTATTATTTTTTTTAGTTTTCTCCACAGATATTGATCTATCTATATCTTAACAAAAATGAGCTGTTTCCTTTTATCTTGCCATCGGAGACTTTCTATTCGCAGATGCATTACGTTTTGATTATGGCATAGAGGTTTAAATTTATTAAGGTTAATTCTCTTAGAATAAATTTCTTTGTTATGGTTGTTATTGCTAACAAAATTGATTCTAAGAATTTTATTATTATTATAGTAAATATTATTACTATTGCCATTATTGTTATTGTTATTGCTATTGTTATTACTATTAATATTGATATTGTTATTATTATTGTTATTATTATTATTATTATTATTATTATTATTATTATTATTATTATTATTATTATTATTATTATTATTATTATATCCTTTTCAATGAAGCACTAGGCATTAGGGGAGATTGATCTCTTTTATTATTCTAAGCCACTTATTATTATTATTCTTTATTTCTTTATTATCTAAGTTGTTTTAACTCTTCCATTTCCTATAATTTTTTTTTTTTCAATGCTTCAAATTTTTTTTATTTATCTTTATCATCTTGATCTTCAAATTTAATACTAAATTAGTAAAATTTATTATTATGATCCTCTTCCTCTGAAAATGCTTCTTCTTCATCTTCAAGATAATTATTACTTTACTAACTTTACTAAAACTCTTCAGGTTTTTGATCATTTTCTACAGCCTATGAGAGCTAATATTATCTAGTTGCATTAGAATTAGCGCATGTATAATTTGGATAATATTGTTATTTCTCAAATTCTGATGATTATATTCTTTTTGTAGGTTCGCTATATTTGGAAGGTTAATGAGATTACTAAAAGTTTTGATATTAATCTTAAAGTTTAGATTGCAATTAATTTGATATATTGGATTTTTCTTGAAAATCTAAATTCTTTTGCTATTCCTATACTCTAAAAGATTGTTCTTAATGGTTATATTTAGATTACATTTCGTTTGTTGCATTACTTTTTTAAATTTATTCAAATTAGCTCTTTTAGCTCTATATTTTAGATTGCTCAAAGTTAGATTGCTAAAGTTTTGATTAATCAAATCTAGAAACCTAATCCGCTACTTTATTTGGATAGAAAGACTTTGCAACTTGAGATTGATCTTCTAATTTATAAGAGAATTCTTGATCAAGAACAGGCATCTAAGGATAATCTATTTTCTATCTTTCATAGAATTTTGATTATTATTATGATAACTCTAATAATTTTGAGGACATAGATTATTGAGATGACTCTATTAATGGTTCTTCATTGGATTTAGTTTGCAATAAAGTTTAATCAAGTTTAAATGTGGTTTATTTGGAAGCATCTACTTATCTACTAATTTCAAGTATTTTATTAACTTCATTTGGATTTACCTTCAAATCACTTAATGATTCAGATATCTTACTTAAATCATTCAGTTTAGAAGTGTCTGCATTTGCAACACTAGTATCCAATCTCTCGATTCTTAATTTGATTAAATTGTTATAAGCAGTCTCATGATCTTATTAATTAAACTTTTAAGACTTTTATTGTATTTACATTTAGGATTCTTGCAATTCTTCTTCAATAACTTCTTAAATATCTTCATCCTATTCAAAATCTTAATTGTATTGTTCGTCATTGTCATCCTAATCCTATTACAGTTAATTTGAAATATTTTCAGGTTGTTGTCTTTTGAAATAATTCTTAGGCAAATTCTTTGTTTTCTGCTCATATTGGGCTATAAGAAAATCAAGTTGCTTGTATTGTTAGTCTTTGGAATCGACAAAGGAATGATAATTGATTTGGAGATTAGGGTAGTCTTTTTAGAATTGCATTGATTATTCAAATTTCTAACTCTATTATTTCATTTTGGATTTATCCATCTGAAAATCAAAACGATCAGATTAAGCAGAATTATTAGAAATCAGACTCAAGGGTGTTGCATTGAGACGAGACTACTAAATGGATTATTATTATTGATTTAGAAATTCCCAAACTTGTAATTTGATTTTATTTCTTTCTTATTCCTATTAAAGAGTGAGTTATGACTTTTCATCAGCCACTTTTTTAATTTGTTAATTGAGGTAGTATTGTATTATTTTGTCTTGTTCTTGTGATTGAGTTAAATCCATTTTATATTATTAAAATTAATGAGTACCGATTCTGATGAATCTGAATTTTTGATATAATACTTCTCCAATCTAATCCTTGCTCCAGAAAACCAAAAACCTCAACCCATAAACAATGAATATTCTTCCTAGATTTTATATGTTTTTGTTCATACAAATTAAAGATTCGATTACAAATCATGGGGTTAAGAGTATTTTGGGAAAGCAGTAAAAATTAGTATGTTTCGAAGAACTTAAAAATATACGATATTGAAATTGTTGAGTGACTAAGGTAACAGACATTTAAAAAATCTAGTTTTGTTTTAAAACTTCAGACATCAAGAGATGAATTGCTGTATCAAACCAACATTTCATATTAGTGCTACACTTTCAGTTCAAGTACCATATGATAGTGTCAACGACTACGTGGTGTAAGGGAATAAGACCATCTATTTATTGGGTAAGGAATGTAAATTGAAGGAGAATGATAAAATAGAATTTAAGTCATATAAGGTGGATCTTTTGATTAACAATACAGGTTTAATTATAGTAATAGTATTTAGAATAGATAATGAAGGTGATTTGCAGCATTTTGAATAGTCATAGACTAGGAAAGATTTTGATAGGAATTTCATTTGACAAAGATCTTAATAACTATGTGGTTAGTGGGTGTTTTTGTTAGGACAAGAAGGCCTATTAAGTGATGAATGCTATAATGAATAAATGCAAGGAGTTTGGTTGCGACTAATGGGTGAATGTTAAACTGCATGAGTGTGGAGTGTTACTTTAGGATGTATGTTACGTTGTGAACAATCTAAAAATGTATTATCATACTTAATTAGATTTGAGATTACGATTAATGAGGGTCAAAATCAATTAATCACCAATACTCCTGGTAAATATTATATTCGAGAGAATGGACAATCAGTACCTATAAAAATGAAGCAACTCTTTAATTATTGCAAAGAAAAAATGATAACAGAGGAGCAATTTGAGAAATGCCTCAATTTTTATGATGAGTTGATGAAGAAAAACAAGTTAATTTGAGGAAATCAATAAAATTGTGAATATATGAAATTATTTCTAAAAGTGTTTATAAATAATTAAATTTAAAAACGGATTAATGATGAAATACTTAGTCCTATCAGTTTGCGCATTGTCTGTATTGGGATTCATTAAACCCCAATATGATTCAGGTATTGATTAAAGTTTGCATTGGGCATAAACTCCCTATCATCCTTTACAGCAAAGTGTTGAGTAATTCATCCTAATATACATTGATTAGAGTGGGAAGAAGCTTCTAAACATTAGTCAAATTCAACAAGCCCTTCAAATCAACACCCACTGTAATATTGGCACCAATCAAATATGATTTTGGAGACACTTTACCATAAGGTTTCGATATTCAATTGAGTGCTGTCAATACCGTTGGCTTCACAATCACATATGTTGCATTAAGTCCGGCTACTATCTTCGGTTTTGATGTATCATGGGCAGCTATTTTGGATAGCAATATCTATACATACGAATTGCAAACAAACAATTTACCAGTCGTCAAATCAAATAAAGAAGGAACGACTAGATCATAACCATTAGAAGTGACATTCCCAGAAAATTGGTCACTCAAAAGTGCACCAAATGTCGCCATCTTTATCTTGGGACTTAAAATGGTTGAAGCTTGGCCTAAAATTACAGTTAACATGGCAGTCATCACCAAAACATCAGCTTAATTCAAGGTGATTGTTGGACAAAAGGGAACCATCGAATTCCTTAGAGTCAATATGATTATCGGTGAAAAGGATACCTTATTAGTTGGAACTATTTTACACAAAACAAGCGGAGCTTCTGATCCTTTGAATGCTGTTAATCCTGAATCAGAAAGAGTCAAGAAGTATGAAGACAAGATCACTGATGAAATTTTCCTTAAAACACCTAGATATACATTGTATGGAATCAGTGGTTTATATTACAATTTTGGTGCATTCTGCAGATTCTTAACTAAGAACTATTTACTTGTTAAAGATAAGATATCCGTTGAAATCGGAACATGTAATTTTTGATCCATAAATCAATCTAGGGTAGAATTCACAATTATTGGAAGGGTAAATTTCTTGGTTTGTGTATGTTCCTAAACCAGATGCTGGTGTGACTGATCCTGATTGTGCTTAAGTTTGGGAATCATGTAACTATCAAGGAGACTCATTTACTGTATGCGATAGAAAGATGTCTTTCCCCAAAGATGGATGGAACAAACCAGTATTGATTTTATATATTCTAGGTTAAAAGTTTCAAAGTTCCTGATGGAAAGGTTCTTAAAGTTTATAATGAAGAAAACCTTAAAGGATTATCAATCAGAATTGAAAAAGATTTACCATGCATGGAAGTGCCTAAATTCTCTTTCTTACAACTTGTAGGAAGCTTAGGAGATGATAAATTCTGGGACAATGACTGAGTCGGCAATATCATTAAAATTACATTCTATTCAAATATTAATAATAATTTTTAACTCTATAAAATTAATGTTAACTCAAAATTGAAAAGTGTTCTCTTGTAAAATACCTTTAATATAAGAAGAATCATATATTTACTATTATTTTATAATTCTATAAATAAATTAATCATAAAGAATTTATTTCAAATAGAAATTTAGATTTATCTTCAGATTAGATTATATAGAAAGAAAATGCCATAAATTTAATAATAGAAGAGGATGATGCAGTTTTAAAGTTTCTTAACTTAAGATATCAATTATTACATTTAACAAAATATCAAAGAGCAGATTTTTAGTCTATTTTAAAAAGAAAAATATTATCCAATTATTGACAGAGAGGGTTTATTTTAAATTTAAATTAGAGAAAAATTGGAAATTAGGAAGAATAACTTGTTAAATAAAAGTGATTCTGTGAAATGATTATACATTCAGCTTTGCTATTTCAATGATTTGTAAACTAATGTGAATAATTTAGTTTAACCTTTGACTTCATCAACTTATCGAGTTTTGACTTTTGGTTTTTCTTCCTAGCACTTTTTCAAAGAGATCATGCTTTCATTTTTTGTTAGATCCATGCTCTTGAGATGGAAACTGCTTTTAGTAGTGATTGCTCTTGATCTTTATAATGGAGAAGTTCTTTAATTAGTTTTAATAGGACTGGATTTTTATGGGATTATCTTCTGTGTTGGACATAAATATATTTGAGGGTTTCTATCATAGTGTAAGTTATTACTCTTATATTTAATTTTATTCAACATATAGTTTTTATCTTAAAACCTAACCTTGTTTTAACTGAAAACCATTTAAAGTAGCCATGCTTTTGATTTCATTGACATTTCTTGCTATTGATCTTTTCTTTAGATTCTGGTAAAACATCTTGGCTAATTGAATTCTTTCTTGGTGTTCATGTAAAACATATTTGAAGACTGGTTAAGGTTCTTATTCTGGTATTTAAGGAGGTTGTTATAGTTCGATTTAGGCCTTCTTTTTCTCTTGGATAATAGAGAGGATTTCAGGTAGTGAATTTTATCTTCTAATCATAATTTATTAAATAAAAAAGTATATTTTCAATTAGGCACTTCCTCTTCGAATTTGAATTAAGGATCTTAGTATAGGATAGTTTTTTTATATTCTTCTCTTTTCTTCTTTTCTTAAGTAATCTTGAATCTATCATAGCCAGATATAGCATCTCCTTATTTCTCAAACATTTCGTCTTCTTGAACTTGATATTTTTCCAATTATTCTAAAATGTTTGCAGATTCCATCGAAATTCTCTTCTATTTTGAAGCCCATTATCTGAGTTTGTTCCATCCTAATGACTATGATGGTGGAGGTAATAATCCTTCTTCTGGCAGGAGATTTAAATTTCTAATAGATCTTATTTTCTCCTCATCGGAACTGTTGTCTTCTTCTATTTAATGATTATACTAATTTTATACCATAGATTCCCAATTTCCTTGCTTTCTCTGTTTTTATGACAGTTTTATAGATGATTTCTTTTTCTACATTAGGAATTTCCAAAAATAGAGACTTCAACTTCAGATACATAATTATGATAATCCCTTCAAATTTTACAAACAAAGGAAAGGTTCTTCTTGAAACATCATTTATTAAGTTGCTGTGTTTCTTTGCATACATAGGAGTCACAGGTGAAATTCTCTCTGCCAATCTTGTTATAGCTTCTATAAATTCTAGTAACTCCATTTTCAAGAACTTTGATTCTCTTAATTCATCTCTTTGGGTTTGCATACTCTATAGATAGATCAAATACAGTTCTTTCTCAGAGATGTATTTTTGAAGTTCAAATTAATCAACAAACAACTTGAAATCAGATAATGTCATATATTTATTTCCATGTTTCATTGTTTATTTACAACCATTCTCATATAGTATAACCAAAATAGGCATCTTAATTCTGATTGTATAGTCCATCAATTCAGTCCAATAACGAGTATCTCTCCAATCTTAAGAGATTCCAAATTTTTACATAAATTACAATACTTCATCTTATTCAAACAACATTTCCAAGGCATCGGCCATATTACTAGCCAAACCTGTTCTAATGTATTGTTCTTTTGCCAATCTCACAATAATTTCAACAAATTAGAATCTCACTAAACATTTTTCTTGGATATGAATATAATTGGTTTGTTTCATTACTACATAACTGGATAGGAATGTTAACTATAGATCTAAGGAATTCATTAATGATTTTTCAAGGATGCTAGTTTGTGAAATGAAATCCAAAAAGCTTTGTAAATTGATACAAGGAAGATCATAATTGAGTGTTTTAGCACAGAAATAATGATAACATCCAATAATATACTTGTAGATCTTCTTCATTTTATCTTTCAATTACTCAATTTCCTACTGGTTCTGCAAATGCTTTATCAATTTCCCACATTCAAAGTCAAATTCAAAGCAATCCAATAGATGCCCTTCTGTATCTGGTTAAAAGTCTTTGAAAATTGAATTTTCATACGACCAAACTCGCTTTTTCGCTTTGTTTAAATCAATATCAATGATTGACTCTGATTCTCTTGGTCTGCATGTTATATTCGCCATGTAATGTTTTGTAGAATCTATAATATTTCCACTTTATCCTGATTGTATGTAATTCACAATAGACAACTAAACTAATGCTGATGAACCATCTGCATATTGCAATTCAATTCCTTTCTTCCTTATTTCTTCGTTGATATCAAGAGTCAAAGTCTTTTGATCCTTAGCCACAAATCTCACATCATAGACAGGATTGCTAAAAAAGTAATGTATCTTCTTGTTTGGAGGACACATTCTTTACAGATAATAGCTATTGGCCTATTGATTCATTAAGATTGGCCTATACTATTCAAAATCGAGATGCAAAAAGATGGGATGTTAATACTCAATTCCTGAATAATGAAATCCGATCTCTACCCAACCTTCACAAATCCAACAATTCTCTTTGGTTTTAGTATTTATGCAGTTCACACTACTGATTCTCTTAAAGAGCTTAGGATCTGACTTATTCTCATCATACTGAATCTCTTTCACCAGAAAGGCTCTAGGATTTACGTAATAATTATGAGGATTGCCAGAAAAATGAAACCCAAATAATTATTGATTATATAAGAGGGCTTTGTGTATGGCCATAGCATCTTCATCATTAAATCTATTGAATGACAAGTCTAAATGGGTTAGCTCAGGATGTGGCTTAATCAAAACACTATTATTTAATTTAAATCTTACTCAGACAATGCAGAGATGAATTCTTGGTTTTGTCCTAATTTATTAAATGATAGGTCTAAGACTTTTAAGAATTAATTCTTTATCAAGCCTTTCATGATTGTCAGCCCTCCAGCATTTTTTATCTAATTGAAGTGCAAATAAATTTCTTGCAATGAATTATTCTATCAATATGATTGATATAATACCTTCTTCAGTAGTTATCCTAATGTGTCCATTGGGATATCAGTAATCTAATTTTTAGAAAGCTTTAGAACTCGAATTGATTTGCTGTCATTCAATGTTTTTAAAATAGTAAGGACGGCAAGATCCTTAAGATTGTTATCCTCCAGATTCAAATGCTGAATATTATAATTTCTAGAGGATATATAATTACAAATGCTCTATATTCCAGAAGTACCAATTTTATTATTACTGAAATCTAACTCTATTATAGAACTAGGAAGCCTTTGAGTCAATAAGCAAGTTCGATTATTATTTAGCTTGTTATTTCTTAATTGTAATCGCTTTAAATTGTTAAAGTGAGAGCTGCTTATCCCCTCAGCAAATAATTATACGTATTTGTCACTTCCAAATATATTATTGGCTACTAATTTGTCAGGAGAGTCTGCCAGTAACTTTAATGTTCTTGGCATCAGTCTCTCTGTTTATATCTTTTCGTTCATTCTTCCGTATATATTTTTATCAACATGATAAAATTACTACATTTCCTTATATCGTTCAGACTTCAGATAATACCGTCTCAGTCCCTATTCACTAGCATTAGGTAGATTTGGTTTAATCAGTTGCAAATTATTATCAAACACTTAATGTTGATTATCAATCAAATACGATCTCCCTTTATCTTATATTTATTCCAATGAACACAGTTCTTAATCTTACACTAATTTGTTTATTTCTTTTGTCTAAATTAACATACCACTTACTTCTTCATCTTCTTCCTTATCAATTTACTAGGTTGGAAATCCAGGCAAACTCTGATTTCTTTAATTCGACCTACTCTTGATTGGGGATTGTTTAGAGCATCCAGTCTGTGTAATTCTGATAAGAGATTAGGCTTTATGGCTTGGGATCAATTATTTCATTTTATAATTTTTCTGAACAAAAAAATAATTATTCAATAATAAGCTCCTTTACTTCAATATCACTATTTTCATTGCATTAATCTATTTCATTATTATCTTGATAATTAAAGCTGCTTATGATCCATCCAAATCTTAGAGAAATCGTAGATATAAATAACGAAGATGTGTAAAATAATTAAATAATGATATGAAGAGTAGTGTTGTATAAATTGAATTGAATATTCATTTAGTTTTGAATTTGAAATAACAATTTTATTTTTCATGATGAGAAAATTTGTATGTTTCTAAAATTAGGGATTTATCAGGAAATTTTCTAATTTACCAACTTATTATAAATATTTATCTAAGCTTCTATCAAATAAATAGCTATATAATTAATCAAACTTCTTTCGGTGATATCAGACTTAAAACATAAGGATAAAATTCTGTTGAAATAATTTTAATTTAAAAAAAATAAGGATTAAGATAAAAGTAAAAGTGTTTAACCTTCAATTTCAACCTTAAAACCTATATCTGCAAATAGTAATGTATTATAAGGCTAAATGATTTATATTTCTTCTTGAATTTTTATTAGCAACTTTGCTTATACTATGATATTTAGGTATTATATTATTTTTTTTCTAGTATTTTGATCTATTTGAAATATTTTACTTTTGTTTAAATGAGATCAGGATTGGGAGGTTAATAACTATTTATTATATCTTAATTCTCCCTTTATATTATTTTTTCTTGATTAAATTAAGTTTGGTCAATTTAACATCATCATCAAGTTAGATTTCTAGGAAATTAATTCCAAAATTAAATTTTGTTTGATACACAATTATTTTGATAGCAATAATTAACTTATAATTTTATAACTTAAATTTTTATTTTAATAACTCAAACTTAAATTAATGAATATTAATATGTAGATTTTATGAAGTGAACTTCAATCTACATTATTATACTATACTTAAAAATGGTAATGATATTCAAATCCATAAAAATAGAAACCCAGAATGTTTTTGCATCATGTTTTAAGTCAATTTAACAAAATTTAATAATTAAATTACAGTTTTTATAAGGTCATGCGCGATCCACTTTACATTTTTTATATGTTATATAAAATTATCTTATAGTGAGCCCACTTCTCTTGATAAAAATTGCTCTGTATAATCAAGGGTAGTTATTGAAATTTAGTCAATTAATTAATTTGAATAGATATTATGAAAATTGCTAATAACTTTCTACGTAATGCAGATTTCTTTGGGACCCCTTTTGTCCAATAAATAAATGAAAAGCAATCCATTTACAAAAGTGCAATTGGAGGATTAATAACATTGATTATATTTTCAGCGAGTTTGGCATATACAATCTGGATATTATATTAATGGTAAACGAATTAGTTTAGCCCAAAAATATCTCATTCTTTATATATTTCAGATTTCAAACTAATCGATTTCAACTATGATATTGTAAAAATATATTTCTGGAAACTCGATGCCACCTATGTTGATCCGTTTGAAGAAAAGGTTCTTTTGCCAGTATTGTCCTTTATGAATTTTGATGGATCAATTACCAGCAGCGTAATTAAAATGTCTGTTGAGACAACATCAGATGGAAATAAGTACTTTTTGCCAAAGCTTCATTTTGGTGAGGAATATCAGAATGGAAACTTATACATCTCATCTGACGCAACCATTTTGTTTATAAAATGCTAATAAGAATATTTGGAAGATGGGGATTCGTGTGCTAATTAAGAAAAATCTGATTAATTTTTTTCTCAACCATTTAATGTAATCACAACAGAAGTTACATATAAATCAATAGATTCCAATAATGGGGAAACTAAAACAAGCACTTAAGAATACTATTTTCAAGTAGAACCAAGTAATTGCTACACTCTAAACATCTTTCTTTAAAGCAACCTTTATGAGGTAAGAGATTATTTTCTCTTTGGATCACCAAAAATTTAGGAATATATAAATGGAGCATTCATACAAACTCAAACAAATACATTTAATTATTGCAAATTAGCCTATGGGAATGATGCCTTAGGAGTAGTTTATCTAACAATGTAGGGAAATTAAGTTAAAACCATTTTTGAATATCCTCATGCAGGAGATCTCTTGGCAAATATAGGGTCTATAGTATCTTTACTGTTTATGATCAAATATATTATTATTTTGTTGAATTAGCATTTTTTACAGGAGAACTTAATACATTCAATTATTAGGATTTATTATCCTCAATTTAAAAATGTCAAAATTTAAAAAAATTGGAAGTTTTAGATAAATAAGGTTAAGATAGGGGATAAGTTCGTAGATGTAAATTAGTTCCAATCGTTTTATAATAAAATAGTGGAAAAAATTTAAAATAAAATGAGTTATTTAAACCTCTTATATGAAATATCTAGACTATATTTTATAATTAGATCTAGTCATTCGAGGGATGTGATTAGGAAAACCCATTAAATAGGCATAAGAATGGGTTTCCTTTAAGATTTAGAATTATTTCAGGATTTTAATTCAAAATCAGAATATTCGTCTGATGGCTTATTTTAATTGAATGATGAAGATGTATGCATTTTATCTGCTGAAGAGAGAATGTAAATTGCATCCGGTGAAAAGATACCAGAGGAAATAATCAACCAATATGATTTTTTTGAGATAAATAAAATAATTTGAATTAATCTAACATCTATTTAACTAAGTATTCTTGAAATAGAACTCTTTTGCGAGAGAATGAGTTTGATTTGGAATTCTCAAAGTGAACACGAAATTCTAGTTCTAAGTAATATTAATTTATTATGTATTTAATTAAAACGGTTCTAGTATTGCTACTATTTATTATTGAACATGGAAGTGCTGTAGTCTCAACCGAGGATGCGAAAGGGCAAGTCTACAACTGTGCCAATATTGAACTGATTGGATTAATCGGAGGCGATCCAATGCCAGTCGATACAAGCAAAGAACGATACATAACATTTGAAGGCGATGTCAGGTTTTCTCATAAAACACATAAACAAACAATGGATAGTTTGAAGGAAGGGAAGGATTATTTTGGGACGAATTCTATTCATTATAGCTCAGTTTAAAATGGAATATATACTTTTATAATTGAGAAATCTCAAGAAAACATCATTCAAACATACATTAAGACAACCTTGAAGAGAAGTTATAAAGTAGCTCAGATTCCGTAGGTCTTCTATTTAAAGACAATAATAGAGGGATAGAAAAAATACGCAATTCATTAGATAACTATGAGTGACAAAAAAGAAATGAAGCGAGAATTATTTAAAGAGGAGAAGGAAACTATGCAATCAGTAAAATTTTGTAACTATAAGAGTTCACTGGTTTACAATTTGCAAAAAAGTTTGTGAACATAGTCTTCGCTACTTTGGAGACAGGAACTATATCCGATTTTACAGCAGATGAGAGTTTCCTTGAGGGAGTGAAAACTATATTGGATGAGATTCAAAATGGAAGTAATAAGATAATGATATTCCTTAGAAAAGTGCGATCAATTTTTCTGCAAGCCTCCAACATTAGAAAATTTGGGCAAGTTACTATCTGATTTACCTGCCAACAAAATTACATGCACTAAAAAATAATGTGCTTATACCGAAGGAGGTTAATCCAAGCCATTATTTACAAAAAGTAAAGAGTACTTTTGATTTTGAATAGTACCATTTCTTCAGACTGATAAGAATTTTAGATATCTAGATAAACCTAATAATGGAATGCTCCTTACAACCATTCAACCAAACAATTAAAAGTTCGTCTCCATAACAGCTCAGTTGGCATTGAAATGTAATGTTCAAGATTACGATTTTCATTCACAAGGATACAGTGGTGCATTTTAAGCAGTCAAAATAGGTAGTTCAAAACTTTATAGTGCTCTAATTATTGAACCCACAAGTAGTGGGGTCACTAGGAAATTGAGAACCCAAACACCAGAAAGTATGATATTGAATGAGACTAATAGTGTATGATGAATTAAACGGGATTCAGAAGGTGAAATAAATCTATTATTTTATGATCATCACCAACAAAGCTCCAGAAGAACTCTTCAATCAAATAGTGTCTGTCGTTGAGAAAGCCAAGGAATCTGATCAAAAGAAATACTCTTGCACTCCAATGCCAAAAGATACAGAGGCTTTACTTGTGTAATTGCACCAAACTTTGGACGAGTCCAATCTTAATAATTAAGAAGATCAAGAAATGGATTTGAATGACTACGATTATGTTGAATACGAGGATGAATAGGATGCTTTATCGGAAGATGTTAATTCACTAAATTACTTTGAAGAAAGCCAACAGGAATTAATTAATGAATTAAATATTGAGATGGCGAATATTCCTAAAAGTAAATTACTTTAAAATAATTAAGTTGAAGCAAATGAAAATGATGGAGGAGATTAAGAATAGCTATGATTATGAATTAGAATACAATATAAGAACATGATGCTTCATTAAATCATTTAATAAATAAATTATATTATCCATATATGGCTGATTCTGGAAGAGAAAATTGGGCTGTTGACGAATTACTCAAGGCTGAAGAAGAGGCTAATGCCATTATCAAGAATGCTTAAAAGGAGAGAGAAAAGAAAATTAAAGAGGCCAAGGTTGCAGCCGATTAAGAAATTGCTGTATTCCGTAGAGAAGAAGAAACTAGATACAACTAAGAAATTCTAAGAGTAAATTACAAATTTAGACTAATAGCGTTTTGGATCAACAAAGGAAGAAGAAGAATTAGAGAGAAAGACAAAAGCTGAAATAGATAAGATTTATGCTGATTATGAAGCCAACAAATTAGCTGTGGTTGACATGTTGATTAAAAGAGTTATTGAAGTTAAATTAGAAGTGCCTAGAGTTGTTAAGGGATAATTTGAATAGCCTCAATAAACTATATGAGAGATAATCAATTCATAATAAAATAAAATAAGTATAAATGTTAAGTTGTTCTCACATTTCTCAATACTAATTACACTACGTCGCATTAGAATCTCAATTATCATCAAGATCCTTCCTCCCCAAATATGCGAATTTTCCTTCTAAAAATTTCATAGTAATGTCAAAAATAATTGAATAAATGTTGTGCATTTGAATTTTCATTAAATCATGACTACAAGCTTTAGAGAAGGAATATATAATAATAGGAACTCAGATTTTTAATTGATAAATAGAAATTGATATATTTTGTTTATAATTTATGGCATAGTCTTTTACAATCTTATAAAATTCCTTTAAACATTTTGGATTGGGCCATTACAAAGAGTCATTGGAGTAATCTACTATTTAAGTGTAGGGAATTGCAGAAATTTAAGCAATTAAAGGAACAATCTGATCAAAATCAGTCTATGGTGCAGATTAATGAAAATATCATCCTTTGTGAATACAATATAACCAAAGATGTGAATGTTTGTATTGCTAAACTTGATGAAATTATAGACGAAATTAAAAAGCCTTAAAGTCAGAAAAGTAATAATTTTCATGAATTACCTATTATTAGAGAAGAAACAGGAAGATGACAGTATTTTATAATTCAACAAGGCAGTCATGCTCTTCTTGAGTGGGAAAGTAAGATAGGCCCATAACCTACTGAAACAATTGAAAGACAACTATAATTTGGATATCTACTTAAATATTAAAGTGCATTTGCTTTTAGTCGAAACTTCATTCTAATTATAAGAATATGTGTATGCAAGTGAATTGTATAAGAAATTATCATCAGAAGAGACAATCCAATCATTACAATATAAAAGCAACAAGCCCAATTAAGCAGATGATCAATAGCAGCAACCCCAATTAATCTATACGTCCTTATTATTGGGTTCTGATTTGCCTTACCCAGATGCGCATCCTAACACATTTAATAAGGAAGAGTTTTTATTCATATTAAATGTAATAAAATTTCGATTTTACTTGTTTTAAAACCTAAAGGATTGGAAGTAACAATTGGCAAATTTAGAATAATCCTTTAAAAACTACATATTTTAATTAGATCAATAACCAGGAATGTTATAATAATAATCGCCCTAATTTTCATTTGAAATCCAAGCATACTTGAAATTGCATGCACAAATGATTGTCAAGTAAATGAAAGCTCAAAAACTTTCATCACTGAATGAGAATGTAGCTACCTGTATCAAAATGATCAATCCACAGGCAGACATTTCAAATTAATAGAATTTAGAATTTATCTAGAGCAAATAATACCTATATTCTGCATAAACTTATAATAATTTAGGATGTGTGCATGCAAAAATGGGCAAGTATGCCTTAGCTGCTATATATTTCCACAAGGCCATTTCCTAAACAAAGTAGGTATTGTAATCAGCCAATCTTTATGAAAGCATAATTTAGACGAACATTAGACAAAGATAATTTGCCATCTATCAGAATTTAGCTGATGCATTGTTTATGGATTAAAAATATTAAAAAGCTCTAAACCTATATAATCAATTATAAGATGCCTGTAATTAAAGTGCAAAATTTTGGTACAATAGAGGTGTCTGTCATATACAATTATATCATGAATCAATTCCTGATAAGAATGAGATTTATGAAATTTCAGAGGAGCAATCTCAAATGAATACTTAGGAGGAGGGAAAGAAGATTATACTTTAAAGCAGAGAAATCTATAGTGATGCTGATGAGGAGTGCTAGGATTAGTTCTATAAAATAGATTAAAAGAGCGAAGAAAACAAATTGGTATAGCCAAAGGTTATAAAGGAATTATTAAATAACGCTATTAAGTAAGATAAATAAGATTTATTAAAGATCATTCAGAAATGCTATTATTTTATCTAAGAAGGAGAAGAGAGAAGAAGTCATTCAATTAGATTAGGAGTAATTGTAGATTGCAGGTTCGCAATTATTTGAATCTTCCATTGTATTTTTGACGTATACATTGCTTTGTAGAGGAGACTATAACTTAGCGTTGCAATAAGGAAAGGAGGCATTGGAATACAACTTGTCTGATAACAATAAATACAAGATAATATAATATGTTTTGGAAGCCTATATTTCAACGTAGAAGTTCAAAGAAGCCAGTACTTTTTTGAATAGTAATGTGATTGCCACTTTCTTAAATAGAATCATCAACAGCAATTTGTAATTTTAATGCAGGAATGTTATTGGAATCCATACATCTTGTTTTTCCAATTATAGTCCTAAGGCTATAAATCATTTTAATTAAGCTGCCTTATATTTACATAATAATAATTTACCTCAGGCTTGGAACTCTATTTAATCTTTGATGAGTTCTTGCGATATAGCGATTAACTAAATTAATCAAGTCATCCCAGTGCCCATCCTAAATTTATTAATATGGTATTACTTGAAATCAGGTAAATATTTATACTAATAAATAAAAGATTAAGTGTAATTAGCCCTGCATTTGATAAAGAGGAGAAGATTGTTAACAGGATAAATGGGAAAAAATAAAATATCTCTGTTAAATATTACAAAATGATATAGATACAAACAATAGTTATTTTATGTATTCAAACTTTCTTTTATAAAAAACTTTATGTATCTTTCAATGAGTAATCTCTCATATTACCATTCTAAAATTCAAACCAAAATAATAAAGATTGTTTCCATATTCTTTCGTTGCAATTAAGTATAAATTATTATAATTAAATCTCACTTCCATAATATATTTTAAAAATTCTAATATCAAACCAAATTTTTTGGTAAAGAATCATATAATCGTCTTCTAACTCGTTTAAGAGTAAGTGTACATATGCATGTCTTCAATATCTGAAGGATAATTTTAGATTTCTAACAAAATTATCATTTCAGATAATCGTATTGCTTCCCCTCAAAGAGTTGGATAATAAAAGCCTTCACTTCTTTTAATGTGGTGATACAATAATTACATGGGCCACAGGTAAGTGACTAGATCCACTAATTTAAATATATTAGATGAAATCCACATCATAAATGAGTTTGAGGCCATTTAAGATAGTTTTCATTAGTGCTTATCTGATATAGAAGATTACAATAGGAAAATTTTGGATTTTATTTAGACATCCCTTTTGGGTGTCGATTTGATAAGAAGTAAGTGACAAAGACTTGACAGAGAGATGTCTTCTTTAGTTGGAATAGTATTGGAGGGTAAACTCAAAGAAAGAGGGTATTGAGAGTGGAGGTGGATTGTAAAATTCTAAATATAGAAATTTCAATTTAACACGATTTGAATAATGAAATCCCAATAATACTCAAGATAAATAAGACAGATAGTTAATTAGGGGAGATGATAATCGGGATAATGATTTGATGTCATTGGATGACATCTATATATCCTGGAATAATTAAAAATGATAAATATTAATAATTTATGAGCAAACTTGATAATCTAAAAGTAATTGTCTTTATATGAAATCAGAACCTCTAAATATAGTAGCTTAAGGAAGTGAATCCAGAACACGGTGATTAGGCAGCTGCAGTAAAGTTCACATCGAATCGTTTAAATGCCCTTGAAAAATTTGTTAGAGATTCCTTACATTAAGATAAGGAGTACTTTGCAGGAGAAGTAATCTAATTAGTGATTTTTAGAAATCCACACTTTAAAATATTATTGAGACATTAACAACTGAGAATAATAGACTCCTATAACATTTACAAGTGAACCGAGAATAAAAATAATAAGTAATTATCATGAATATATCTGTTAGATTGAGGCAGACCTAAAAATATCACAAGAGGAAATTGTTAGATTACAAGCAATAGTTCCATAACATGATGAAAAACAACTTCAAAATGAGATTCAGGAGACCAAGAAGACTATTGTAAGGCTGAACAAAATGAGATAGGATGAAGCCAATGGATTGAATATTAATGATTTAAGTAAATACCATTCTAATTTTATAGAGCAATTGAACATCAAGAACAAAGATAAGGAGAGTCCTGTCAACGAATTGTGGATTTGGTCTTTGGTTGTGATTTATAAAGAACCAGCCTCAAGTTATTATTGGAACAATTTCAAAGTATATATATAGAATTGAAATATCTTTTTAGGGATAAGTGTTTGAGAACGCAGAAGGTGCTCAAGACTTCAAAGATAGATTGGGAAGAGTTAAAGCTGTGGACATGAAAAAAGATGAGTTTGAAAGAACCCAAAATTTATTGAAACAAAGGGAATAGATTTTAGCAGCAGAGATCTTGACACCTGCAATCAAAACCTAAATTGCCAGTTTCTTTAAGATAGTGGATTTGATGATAGAAGTAGAGAGACATTCCAAATTGATTCACAATAACGAAAAATTGTTGCAATAAGTTATATTTCAAATTTATAATAGCTTGCTAATGAGAAACAATAAATATAATCAGAGACCAACAAAAATTAGGACAAGGCCTAAATCTTAAGGGATAGAATAACATTCTTAGACACCATTCATAAGGGCTATCAATTCATGTACGATGCGATGGTCAAAAAGATCCACAGTTATCAACAAGCCTAAATTTTGAATGATAAATTTACAGAACAAATAGAGCAAAGTTTTAGCAATCTAGATTTCTCTAAAAGTTACGATCAAGTAAAACCGGTCAATCTATTTTTAGTAATATGTTCCTTAAATAGTACAAACTATTTAACATGAGAATATTGAGAATTAAGACAAACAATAAATCAAAGTCTAATAAGTTGTAGTTGAGGAGTAGCAATAACAAAATCAATAAAAGGTTAATGTGATTGAAGTGAAATAAACACCATAGGAGGAGTAGATAGATTTGTAATTCACAGTTTATTATCTCATTTTAGATAACAATAACCACCGACAGAAATTGTCCAAACGAAGACTGGAGGATGTGAGGCCTGCAATATTTTTTGAGAGAATGATAATCCTTAATAAATATTCATAATAAAATTATATAAATATCATGATACAACAAGAGGTTTTAAATGAAATATTTGTTCCCAATCAATTAGCTTAGGTCTTGGAAACTGTGGCTCAGAGCAACAAAAAAGGTAACATAGAATTAGATTACTTTGGCGTTAAGGTGAGAGAGGGGAAGTATGAAAATAAAGCTGCACCCAATAAGAAGAAATAAAAATAAATAAAACAATAGTAATAACAATAATAGCAACAATAAGCCTAAGTTTAGTAGTAAACAGCTGACTATGTAGAGCAAGAGGAGATCGATGATAAATATGCAAAATAAATTTAGTTTGATGATGATGAAAATCTGGATATGGATTAAATTTAACAACAATAATAATTCCAAGATGCTTAGGCTTATAACATTAATGAAAATATAGAATTTTATTTGACATCTGAATACAAGACAGTGAAATTCAATGATAGGAAAGAACTCGCATGTTTGGTAGGTATCAAAGCTAAAGAAGTACATTAACCATAGGTTCCTTAACAGATCGAAGGAGATGCATAGAACTAATTTAACATGGATTAATAGCAACACTCAAAGGTGGGAGTGGATTTAGTAATATATCTAGAAATATCATTTAGCTATGTGTAATTGATAGAAGTGGCAGCATGAGTGGAGAGAAGATAGAGATGGTAAAATAAACCTTAAACATCTTGTTAAATTTCTTGGGTCCTAAAGATCGATTGTGTTTAATATAATTTGATGACACTTGTTAGAGATTGACCAATTTGAGAAGAGTGACTGATGAGAACAAAACTTATTATTCGGACATCATTTCAAAAATATAAGCTAATGGTGGTACAGTAATTGGTTTAGGTACTCAAATGGCCTTAAAACAAATTAAATATAGAAAGAGTGTGAATAATGTGACTTCAATTTTCGTATTGTCTGATGGATAGGATGAGGCTGCAATTTCCTAACTTTAAAAGCAACTTGCCTATTATAAATAAACTCTTACAATCCACTCCTTTGGTTTTGGTAGTGATCATGATGCTAAATTAATGACCAAAATCTCTAATTTGGGTAAGGGTAGTTTCTATTTTGTTAACAACATATCTCTGCTTGATGAATTTTTCGTTGATGCACTAGGTGCTCTGACTTCAATGGTGGTAACTGATATTAGTATAACTTTGGAAAACAAAATGCAAAGTCCTTATGATGCTATAACAATATCCAAATTCTATGGCGAATAAAAACTGAACACTTAGAATACGAATGTGCAACTGAAGATTCCTTTTCTTGCTGAAGGATAGAGAAGAGATTTTGTTTTTAAACTCAACATCCCTTATATCAATAATAACAATGTATTGTTTCATTATTTTTTTAAGGTTCAATCAGAAAATGTCGTCCTGTTTAAAGCATTAGCTAAGATCACCAGTTCCCAAACCAAAGAGACTATTGAGAAATAAGTTGAATTGGTTGTAAAATTCGTTGATGAAAATTAACCTCTCAATGAAGAATAAGATTAGTACATTATTATTTTTATAATTTTTAAGCTTTGTCACTGAATAAGTTTTCAGAGTTGAATCAGCTGAGGTTATCAAGGATGCTCTTCACAAGTGTCAAAATAGATAAAATTAGTAAGCCATTAATATGATCGGCTCTCTAATTTCAAAAGTGTAGGAAAATCCTTAACTAATTGAAAAAGTGAAGAACATTGTCTCCGATCTTGAACAAGTCAAGTAGGCAGCCAGACAAGAATATTTCAATAAATTTGGAAGTAAATAAATGTATTAGATCATTTCAAACAATTATAACTAATAAGGAATTAATGCAAAATTTGATGCCACTGGAATACAATTGCAATAGGAGGAATAATCTTAATTCTAAAACCAAAAATAAATGATGTGGGTTAAGAAGGTCTAATATTCAAAAAAATGCAAACCATGATTATTATTAACAATATAATAATAATATATATGTAAAATTCGTCTTCGGAGTAAATATATTATAAATTGCTTATAGGAGTGCTGTTAACCAAGATCACAATATCTCGAAATGGAGAAGTTATGGTTTACTGGAAACTGATGGAGGATCGTCTTCTTTTTCATTCCAACCAAAAAAGAAAAATCCTATCCAAAAATCAAATACAATGCATAATCTAATTCAATAATTCCAAACTTAAACCCAAGAAAATAATGATCTGAAAAACAGTTAAAGTGAATCTAAAAATAGATTCAGTCAAAGAACTCAGCAAAGTATACCAAGCAGAAGTTCCATAAATAAATAGCCTCTTGATGATGATATATAGTTTGATATGTTCTCTGTCAACCCTGGGTCCAATATCTTAAATTTAACCTAACAAACTATTCCTATTGTCCTATAATTAAGAACAAAAACTCTAGAAGAATTAGATTAAATTGGTGTAGATTTAGTAAAATATTCATCAATATAAGTTTTGTTTAATTGGCATTGGCAATGGCATGTAAGGTTAAAAAATTGAATATGTTAAATAAATCTTGCATTCAATATTAACGAATTTGAGAGAATAGGATAGATTGTGCTTAATTAGTTTCAACAATGACGGCAAACTGTTAACGGGCTTATAAAAGGTGACATCAGAGACTCAAGAATATTTTGCATTTGTAATCGATGGTTTATAATGCAATGGGACAACAGAACTATGGAAAGGAACCGAAGTAGCTTTTGATGTTATCAATTAAAGAAAAAATAAAAATAACTGGGCAAGAATTCTCATTTTTTCAGATGGTCAAGATGAAATTGCTCTTCCAAAAATAAAAAAGTAATTAGAGTATAATTATGATATTTTCACTATCGACTCATTTGGATTCAGCAATTCAAATGCGAGCAAACGATTATCCTCCATAACAAATTTAAGATTTGGGAAACACTATATAATAAATAGTGAATTATAGGTTTTTAAGTGTTTAGAGGAAACCTTTGCCAATTTTCCATTCAATCTATGGGATGATGTAACTATTACAATCTCAACCAACCAATAAAATATTCCATTTGAAAAGATTATGATTTCTGAAATTCACAGTGAAGGATGGATTGAACTGCAAAATTAACATTAATATTAAATCACAATTCCTAATCTGGAAATCGGAGAATCCTTTTTATTTCCTATAGAATTGGCCTTTTAGAAGTTTAATGACAATATAACTGATAGAGCAAAACCAATCACTTTAATAACTGGAAAAATAGAAATGAAAAATACTATAACGGGCAAAAGGATGATAAAAAATGTTGAATTAGACGCTATTTTCCTATATGAAAATGATTCTAATACTCTAGATTTTAACACTTATTTTAATTGCAAATAATCTCCATTAGTGATATGGATTTGTGATTTATAATAAACTTGTACTTAATTTAAATTTTAATAGAATTCAATCGAAAATCATATTTTGATTTAATTTGTGAGAATCTATAGCTCAAAGGGCAATTGTAGTCTTAAAGAATTAAATAACTTTATGATGAAGAACCATCTTGAATTTAAAAATGAAAAGTGGATTTTGTTTATATTATATATGTTTTAAATATTAAACGAACCATTTATTGATTTGATTTTAATGATTATTGCTAATAATTGAATTGTGATATTGATTATATATATTATTATTCATATTTTTTTGCTTCATTCAGAAATATTGTCTCCATAGATTATATAGACCATACTATCCTATTTCAATTAACAATCCTTAATTGTCTAGTCATTTTGAAGTTTTGTTCTCTTAAAATATAATTAGGATTTTGCAGGGTTGATTTATTAATTAAATATTCTCTTCTTGACATCAAAAATCTTTTCATTGAGTGTTACCTCAATATAATCTCTGTCATTTTCGTGATTTTCGACAATAATTGTGAATCTATCTTAAATTGATTCATTAGTGCAGCATTTGAACCTTTGGTTCATTTTAAATAATTAAAATATAAATAATATTATAATCAAATTAAAGCTAACTGATTAATGAGTTCCAAATTAATTAATAGAGTATTAATCCAATAATTACATAACAAATTTTAACAGAACCTTTTTAAATAATTTCTTTATTTTTGAACTAATTCTTCTATTAAAAATAATTTAAGAGAAATAGTTCATAAATTTTTGGTTGACTTCACAAATACAAAAATACCTTATGATTCAATTCTATATCCCCATCATCGAATTCAAACCTATACATTTTGTAAACTTAATCTTAAGGTTTCTCTATTGTTAATGATAATATAAATAGATACATAAGAACAATAAAATGATAGAATATTTTCTAAATCTTTTTTTGTGTTTTTTCAAAATATCATTTTAAACATAATATACATTATCGTGTTCATTATTATATGAACATAAATTAGGAAGAAACATATTGTGTTTCATTTAAATTTATTAATTAAATTGTAACTATTTGAGATTTAATCAATTTATTCAAATGAGTTTATCAAAGAATAGATTAACTTTGTATCACATTAATATTTATTATAATAGGATTCTGCCTTTAGTTATGGAGGACGAATAAAAATCTTAATAATTAGTTCCAAATATGAATACAGTTTATGATATTTTATCATATATTAATAAAAATGAATTTTAAAGTCTTCATTATTATGCTGATTTTTCTCATTAGTGGAGGTATTCTATTAATTCATTTTAGTTCTTACTAGCAAAGTAAAAGAATGCTAGGCAAAATGTGATTCTTAGATTAATATTTGTATCTATACATGTGCATCATCTCAACTGAGATAATCTTTAGAGAGTTAATCGCAATGCAAAAAAATGTGTGATTAAGTGAATAAAGAATGCAAGAGTTCTAAATGTTATTTAGATAGTTGATCAATTATACATTTTCAGAAGTGATAATATTTGATATATCTACAAATTAAACAATTTCTTCTCAATTTTTTTAGCCTTGCTGAGATAAATTGATTGTAAACATACTTATTGTTATTAACCATTAGTTATGTGTAATTAATTTAATGCCATTTTATACAAATTATAATAGGAACTCAAAATGCAAGAATTTCAAAATAAAGTTTTATTTCTATATATTATATAAATGAAAGATTTATGATACTGTTAAATAACGAAATGAATTGTATAATTATAATTAGTTTTATTAATTTAACAAATTTAGATGAACAACAGTAACAAAAAGGTCTCGGATTTATCAGGTACTCATGAAAGCATATGATTCATTATTGATACTGCTATATTAATCAATTTTATAAACTCTTATTTTAGATTTCAAGCCACCTAAACATGCTTCAGTTGAAAACCAATTAGAAATTCAGAGGTATCAATATCAGAAATAGTAGAACTCTGAAAGGAAATGTGTAACGCCGTTATAAGAATGATGAGTTTGAACAAAAGATGAATCCAAAAGTATCTCTTCCTAGTTTACCTAATGTTAAAAAAACAGACTTATAAAGCGATTAAAGTATTGTGTTTATTAAATTAGAATTGTTGAATCTTTCTAAACCCCATAATAGATTGCCAAAACTTGAAGCAAAAAGTGAAGTACCAAAATAATTGAAGTAACAATTGAAGAGATAATAAAATTAGATTGGAAGATGCAATCATTCATTACAATAGTGTGACTCCTGAAAGAAGATTATAGAGTCCTGACAGATAATTATCATTAAATAAAAAAAGATTGTTGGCAAAAACATGGAATGGAGGATAATATGCTTGTAAGACAAAAGCTGGATGTTTAGCTAATAAAACGTCAAAAACTAATCAAGATTCTGGTATAGTATTACCAAATTGTTTAGAGAAGTAAATTTATTTAAAATAAGTAAGTTTAGGTTATAGTATGTTTGGAGTATGTGATGGCCATGGCTCAAATGGGCATTTAGTATCTCAATTTATAAGGTAGGCATTACCAAAGCATCTCGAAATATTATTAAGTAAAGAGGACAATAAAAACAAAGTCATTTAAAAAGCATTTGAGTAAACTAATAAGGAGATATGGGATTCTGAAACTGATACATCTTTGTCAGGATCTACAACAGTCTCTGTTATCATGAAAAAAGACTAACTTTGGACAGCAAACGTTGGAGATTCTCGAGCCATTATTTGTAGGAATCAAGATGGAAATTGGAAGGCAATATAAATTACAAGAGACCATAAACCAAATGTGGAAGATGAAAAATAAAGAATTCTTTAAGCAGGTGGAAGAGTGGAGAGTCAAAAAGGTTAATTCCTAATTTATCTTAGATTATTATGGAAATTCAGTAGGACCTGAAAGAGTTTGGTTATCTTATATAGATGCTCCAGGATTAGCTATGACTAGAAGTTTAGGTGATAAGATAGGTGCATAAGCTGGAGTCATAGCTGATCCAGAAATATTTGAATTCACACTTACATAATATGATTAATGCATTATCATTGCATCTGATGGAGTCTGGGAATATCTCTCGAATGAAGATGTGATGAATATAGTCATACCATTCATTGAAAAAGAAAATATTGATTTAGCTGCAGATAGATTAATGGCTGAATCTATCAACGCCTGGAAGAGACACAGTTTAGGTAGAGATGACATTACTTGCATAGTTGTTTACTTAAGGAGTTGAATAATTATTTCAATAATCCCAAATGGATGTGTTTTTATTATTGTACTACTAATGTTATATCTTTAACTTTGGATTTCATTCCAAAAATAAGATACATTAACTATATATGATATATTCTATGGTTGTATATCTCTATAAATGATTAAATAATTTATTCATTTTTATTAGGATAGTCTTAGGATTTAGATATATTGCCAGTTTCTAATTATTTAAACTTTATAAATATAATCAAAGGAATTTTATCATCATTTAAAATGTCCTTTTTTTCTGAGGTATAAATGTCTATTAAGATTTGAAATACTAAAGATTTCATGCATCAATTTGCACTTTTATCTATTCTTGATTTTAAGGTACTATAGGTTAAATAATTCAAAAATATTTTGTTTGAATGAAGGAAATGCTAATTATTTTTAAATTGCTACATAAATTTTGATATCTCTTTTTGATATAGGAAATTTAGAGGATTTCTATAATATGCTAGATAAATTAGAAAAATTCTAAGTTATTATAGAACAAAAAAGAGAGAAAGTGCAGAAACAATAAATAATACTGAGCAGAGTAATTGAAATTATATAGTGATTTTTCTTTTAATTTTTATAATTTGAATATATCAATGAATATATATATCAATTTTATATTGGCCTTGCTGACAAGGGATTGTATAATGTATTTGCTAATGTTGAATTGGGAGCCATTGATTATGGAGGTCTTGATTAAGGAGGCATTTTAAGTGTTGAAAATGATTTTTAATTTTAAGGAAGAGAAGCAATTTATGTTTCATTTCGTGGCGCTCCTCCTCTTTAGGACAGTTAATTTATAGGATTATTGGTAACGGTTGCTTATCTTTTGGAAGGATTGTTGAATTCTTGACTCTATTAAATTGGCTGATTTCGGTATGTCGTATTAGAAGGAGCATAAATTTAACTAATAGTGGGTGCTGGAACAACTGTTAATTATTAACAACTTTATGTAACTCTAGGTGTTATATTAGGAGAAATAAGTATTGGGACCTATTTTTATGTTGTTTGGACGTTTTATTAACATGGTTCAACAGAAGGATTGTTTATTTTATTGATGACTTGAGGACACAATTTCAGGTCTGAATAGAAAGGTTAGTCTTTTTCTTCTAAGATCTTGAATGGGTCGATGAATCTCTAATTTAAAAAATTTAAGCTACTTTAATATCAATCCAGGATTATCTTTCTGAAGGATTCTCAAGGAGCATCTTTTAAATTAAACCAGATAAGAGTTCAGAATATTGCATTTTAATCTGTTGCATACTTTGAAAGATCTGATTCTTGTCCAACTCCTAATTAGGAGTGTAAAATTTGGTATAATTGCTCAGTGTAGTCAGACATAGCAAGACTATTCCAAATGCATATACGTCACTCTTGAAACCATTGACTGAGGGAATAAGGATATCTCTTTGCAACTACTCAATTTACTCTGGAGACAAGATGGCAATTTAATTTTTAAGTGCTTATTCATAAGAGGATTCAATATTAAAAATATGGTTAACTTCCTATCATCATAATTTAGATTACAAATATTTTGATGCCATCATTTAAAACATAGATAGATTTAGGATTGATGTTACCAATAGTTTTAAAGTGAGATTGTAAATATTCAGCACAATCAACTACTTAGAATATTATTTTCCAAATTGCTTATTCGTTGAATTTTTTAGTTCTTTGCCTTTAATATAGAAATAGAATTCGTACTTTTCAATAATAACCTCATCCAAAGTGCAAATTCCTGGGTAATCATAATAGACTTTGTATAAATCTTTGTCTCCACTACATGATCCTGAGCTTTTCTCTAAAGCCAAGGCTCTCAGCAAATTCGGATGCTTGAATTTAGTTTTTTAAAGGAAATACTCTTTATCAGGGACATAAGCAAATTTACCTAATTAAATTTGAATAATCATGCGTACTAAAGATTTTGACTTTATTGTCTGGTATATATTAATAAATATCAATATTTCCAAGAACATTATGCTTAGAATTGGTTTCATACAAGTCGAATGAGTGCTTTAATTATTCACTCCAATTCACTGTCATATTGTTACCCATATAACAAAATAAAATTAATTAAATCAAATATATCGTTTATACGTATTAATTAATCCAGGAGTGTTCTCTTAATCTTCCTAATTGCCTAACACAGCCTACACTGTTTTCTTAATTTAATTTCTTTTGACAATCTCATTCTTCGTTCTTTTCATCTGTTCCCCCTAGAAAGCCACCACAACAACAGTAATATTATCCAAAGTTCTCCTATTGATACTTTCCTTCAAAACCTATTCTACTCCAATGCTACAGCCTTGATGTATATTAGAATTAGCATCTAATTCTTTAGTCATGATCTCCACGACTTCATTCGATGACATTTTATCAAATATTCCATCACCTAAATTATATATCAAAATATTACTAGCAAGTACAATATACTGATGATCCTCTTGAATTTTAAAGCTTCTTAGTTCTGGTTCTGCAACAACAACATTTGGTTTACCTCCAAATCTTTCTAATTTGGCCTCAATATCTCCAAAAGTCCTACTCACTGATAGCCTTCCAGGTAACACTCTTAGAGGTCCAACAAATACTTATTGATCATCTTATTATTATTATGTTCTTAATTTATAATTAAATTGATTACTAATATATCTTCCCACCGGCCTTCTATATTCTCAGTTTTTCAAGTTCATCACAAGGCTTGTGATCTCGTGACAATGGCAATGCTGATTTATTATTACCACCACATAACACTGCTCTGCTATCCCCAACATTTGCAACATAACAAACATCACCTACTAATAAAGCCACAATTGCACAAGACCCACTTCTTTCGGCTATTCCTTTGTTGAATTGAGATATTGCAAAGTCTTAGAAGTATTATTCTGCTGCTGCGAAACCTTTTCTTAGTGCTTCATATGGATTCCAAGGAAAATCTAATTCCTTTATTACGAATTGATGTAAATTATCCCTTAAGAAATCTGCACATGTAGAGCCACCATGACCATCATAGACACCAAAGAAGGAACATCTTGGCCAATTCTCATGTTGTCTATTTTAGGGTTTAACGATATTCAATATTATAGATACTCTGTCCTCATTGTAATCTCTCACAATCCCTTAGTTAGTGTTTGCAGCATAGGCTCTAATGATACCGTTTTCATTGCTAGAACAACGAGTGGGTTCGTAATTTGGCAATTTGCTATTTCTTGTTAGTAACAAACCTTCTTGACTAAAATAAGCTGGCTGTTAAACTGCTTTCAGTTTTTAATTAGGACTCTAATCGAGATGCTTTTCAGAGTAACGACACTTGTTGTTCTCCATTGATCGATTAATGCTTTCTGCTTAAAAAGGTCGCTTAAATGGCATCTTTGGAGAATGCGAAGGAAGATTAACACTATATGTAGGATCACGATTATCTCGTACTTTTAATGCATCGTAGAAGTATTTTTAGTTTTTGTACATTGATTTGAAATTTAACTACTAATTTTTATTAATATTGTTTCATTTAATTTTAAATATTTATGCTAAGCCCTATCTGAATTAATTTATATTGTATTCCAATAAAAATGGTCTCTCCAAGTTCTCCGATTTCAAGATACTTATTAACGAAATGCCTCTAAAAGATATTCTAACTAATTTACTCATTCACTGTCTGATATATTAATATGGATCCATCCGACAACTTTATTTAGCTTTGGCCAGCATCATCCAACTTGCCATATATACAAGTCACATCTATGAATACATCGATCATTTCAGAACACAACTAAAAGTTCGTACTATGAAAATGCTAAGAATCACTAGCCAAGTATAGTTTTGAGTAGATTTCGAATAAAAAGGATTTCTCTATTCTGCATGCAAGATTGAAGGAATCTAACAAAGTTTATATAGATTAAGAGTACGGCAATATCCTTTAGATTACCTTACTAAAATGTTCCAAGTATGAGTGATCAAAGATGGAAGTAACATGAAAATCAACCTTGATTTAATTCATGCCATTCTTGGATAGTTCATCTGAAATGTCCTTCTAGATTTATTGTAGCAATTCTTAAACTCATTAGTCACAATTACCATTCTTTTTGTTGTCTTCAATGTCAGGATCTACTTTGTGAATAAAACAATGACATTCGCAATGAGGAGCTCTTTATTTTACAGTTTGGATGGCCTGTCTCAAATATTAGACTGCCTCATTAAATGGTTCTGCCTATAAAAATACGCATAGAATATTTTATTACTTAAGAATCTATAACATAGATCATTAGACTGCATGTTTCCATGGCTGCAATTTCAGGTGGTTGTGGATCATTCAAATCATAATGACCAGAAAACTCATAAATCTTAAAATGGATGTGAGATCCCAAGTTGACTGCAACAGATTCCATTCTATTTGTTGGGTCTAATTGGAATGTTCTGTAGATTTCTAACTTTTGGAATATCACTCTAATCATAGAGGTTTTTCCAGATTTTGTCAGTCCAAACATACAGATGTCGTTGTTCATTAAATATATTTAAATAAATGTAATTTTTGGTAAAATCTTCAGGTCGAGTTGGATTCTTTGGTTTTGCTACAGCTACAGCTTCACATAAAGATATTGCCGGAAAGAATTTCTTGAAATTCTAAAGCAAATATGCTGAATATGTTACTCAATTCAATTAAAAGCTGTAAGCTATGTCTTTGTAAACTTTGATAGTGAAGCTATTGAAAAAGAGAATAAGGCTCCAAATGTTGCACCTCAAGGCAAAGCATTCGAACACCCATACAACAATCCACACAACCCTGTAAATTTCAGTGGTGTAAGTGCTAATTACTAAGTTAGATCAAATCATCTGAATTGTTTTACAACTTTATTGGACCAGAATAAGTCTCACCACATTATGAAAACTTCTTAGTGGCTAGAAAATACCTCCTTCTTACATATGGTGGTTTGATTGTTATTGGATTTGCTGCAGGCACAACTAATCTTCATTGGATTGCTAAATCATCATTCTTGCCATTCCTATTCTGGATGCAAATTATGTACTTCTACTTGGAAGGTCGTAAATCATTCATGAAACCATTGCTTGCTAGATTTTACAGAAGAGTGGCTGGAAATGAGTGTTTCTAACTTGATCAATATTATCATGAGAACATGCAACTCAAAATCAGAACTCTTTTGGAAGCAGCCAAAGGATAAATTGAATATGGTCAACTACATAAAGAATTTAGAGATGTTAAAGCAGAATTAATTAATACAGTATGTGTTCATGATCTATAATTAAGTTCCTCATGAATGAATAATTAAATCTCCAAAGACATGTTGCAGAGAGATCCTCAAATATTCTTAAATAAGCATAATAAGCTGAATAAGTACGTAGATTCAATAATTTAAGATTAATCAAAATAGACTTCTATCAGATATCATTGAAGCTGCTCAAAAGTCACTTGAAACCAATCTTAAGAGCAACCTTCCAGAAATTCAAAAAGCCTTATTCAAGTCTGCTCTTAGAGGATTAGCTTAAGGAAAGATGACTTATGAAAATGACCCCTTAATTGACATGATTCTCAAGACTATCAGAGAACATGTCAGCAAAATCTAGAACCTTTCACCAGCTGAGTAACAATATATCATATTCCTTTTAGATAGAAGAAATTGATTTCACTCAGTAAGGACTAATTGGCTGCCATCCAAGCAAATGATAAAAAGTATATATATATAATAAATTCAGAGCTAAGGAAGATTTCTTAAGAGCAGAACCAAAGATTGATTAAACCCTTAAGAACTACGATAATGTTAAAAGACAACTAGCTTCTTGGGGACAATGAATATGAACATTAATACATTATAGCATCAAATAAAATAACATAAAATTTCTTATTTTTGTCTTAAATAAATAATTTAATAGTTTTTAAGTAAATAAATATGCCAAAAAAATATTTACAAATATTTATAATCATGAACTTCCAAAAGTTTAGATAAACACCTTGTCATTCAAAAACATTTTTAAATATTTCTAAAATATTAATTTAGATTACTTTAACTGTTTATCGATTCCCAAATTTGATGATTATTGAGAAACAAAGAAGAATCTGAAAGTTAGTATAGACTATATAATCTAATATAAAACTGCTTAAATAGGCTACTCCCCATAATGAAGCTTCTAAAACTGATTGATATTTAGCTACACTTCCAAATATCATAAATAAAAAGAATAAAACACTTAAGATTACAAGATTAAACCCTATATAATTAATACATCTTTTATCTGACTTTAGAAATACTTAAAGTAGCTTTCTAAAAATGACTCCAAATAAGGTTTACAAAATTGAGAGTGCTATAATTGAATTGAAATTAATGATCTACATTATGATAAATACATTACTTTCCCAAAAAATGTCAAAATACTTAGCTCCCCCAATAAAGACACATATAATATGATAGTTCTATAGATCCTAGAACAATCCTTATCATATAAATAATACAGACTCAGAACCTTATGATTTATCTAAGATTTAAATAAATAGAATACTTCCATATAGGATAGAATAGCTTTGCCTAAGGTAATTCTTTAGGTCGTATATTTTTCATACAGAGCATCTTAGTTATTAAAATATGACTATCTAGGTGTTGAAAGTGGGGAGGGAACAATTTTAAAGGATATACTACTAGCTCTATCTTTGGGAGATAATTAGGGTTCATTTTCTTCCATGATTCTCTCAGAACAAACATTAGTTGTTATTCCAATTGTTTTCCTGGCAGCCAAAATTTTATTATAATAATCAACATTAGGCCGTTTTAGGTATTTATCATCTGATGTGATTTAGCTGTCGTTGTTATTAAATATAGTTTTTCTTTGGCTCTATTTTCTCCCCATGTTTACATCAATTACTGGAAGTTATTTTTCAGACTCTGTTTCTCCCATATTAATGGTCCTTCCTGGTTTTTCAGTTGCTTGGTCCCAGTCAGTTGGAGTAACTTTGGTTGAATGAAATAAGCTTTCTTCATTTTTGGCCATATCCATTTTATATCCATAGAAAATGAACCAAAGAAACAATATTGTGTAAATCATCACTATATATGTAAATATGATAGATAAGTATGAGCATTCAAGCATTCGTTCAATGGTTTAAACTGAAAAGAAATCGACGGCTTCATCAAATATGTTTTGCGTTGCTTCCAATATCGTTGTTGAAGAGATATAAGTACATTAGCATGTTACTTTTTTACCTTCTTGAACTGTTTAGCAAGAATCTACGCTCCAGCTTTCTTTAACCTTTGCCACACATTCTACTATTAGATTTTAATCTTAAGTCTCGAAATTATATCTAATACCTTTGGAAGTAGTAATATTTTCTAAAAGAGTTTTGTTGGACATCTATTTAATTTCAGGTTAATACATAGGGTAATTGTATTAATCTGCATTATTATTAATAAAATAGGAGTCATGTATGTAAGGATTCGTTTAGTATTTAACCATTTTGTAAGAATATGTCTCCAAAACTTACTTTTAATCGACTTATTGATTTTCTTATCCAATAACTTGTGGTTCATTTAATGAATTACTGATCAAGTACTCCAATACTTTTTAAGTTGCTTTTTGTGTGGAAATATTGAATGAATTTGTAACTATTGTTTATAATTTTTCATTTATTATTTAATTTTACAATTAAATCTCAGTAATTAAGTTTATTGAATCGATGATAATAAAATTGTTATTGAGTTTACCTTATTGTTCCTCATCGCTAATCAAAATTCTTGTGTTCTATTATTGTTCTCTATTTAATTCATACAAATCACTAATGTATTTTGCTATCTCAACTGTATTTTCCAATAGAGTTGCTTTTTTAAATTCTTCTAATGTACGCTCATATTTTTGATATTAATTTTAATTTAAGATTTCTAACTCTTATTTAAGTGAACTTAATCTTTCTTTCTATTGTGTTAATTCGATTTAAATATCACTATTTCTCCAAATTCTATGTCTTTTGGCAAATGATTTTAATGTCAGCAATTATTTTTCTGAAATGCATTTGCAACTAGAAAAGTACTGAATTTATTATGAGAGAACTTATGATATTTCTTAAGATTTTGAATTTTCTTCAAATTCTAAGCTTGCTGCATAGATTAAAGTTTCAGTTATGGACATAGAATTTACTAGCAAAGTTGCTAATTATCCCTACACATATGTAAAATTTAATGAGTATGTGTAATTACTCTTACCATTAAGAGTGTCTTTTACTTAAACCATTAGTTAAATATCTCCATTACCTGTCAATTTAGTTTCGAATATATTATTATATTAATAATCAAATAAAATAACTCCTTTTTAAATTTTATTAATGGAATAATCATAATTAAGATCAGATTGATTAAAATATAGTACCAATCTATACTATAAAGGAATATTATCATCTTAACAATCAGCTACTTTAATTGAGAAATTCGAAATTGTAGATGCATTCTGTGAGTCAAGGTCTATCCTGCATTATAAAGGTGGTATATTGATATTTAATGGTATGGTGACCTGAGATGGTTAAAAGTAATCAGGACTATGGATGTTAATCTTTAATATCATTGTTTTCGTTAATTAATCAATAGTAAAATAATGCAAAAGACTCATTTATAACTCTAAATAATTGAATCTAAAATGCTTTACTACTAAATCCGAATTTGATAAAATCCCTGTATACAATAATAAATCAGAGTTTTACACTATTTCTAGGAATTTAAATTTAAATAGGAGCTAATCATGATAGTTGATATACCCATCAGAAATATCTGGATATGATTCATATGAAATTTTAGGAACATTTGATTCAATTAGTGTTTCTATCACATATTATTGTAAATCCAAGAAGGTAGCTGTAAACTTATAAACTGAAAAGGGACTTAAAGTGTAAGACTAGAGTGTCATATTTTGTGAATCAGGTAATATCAATTAAGTCTGATTTAAAGTTAAGCATTCAAAATTTGATGTAAGATCAAAACAATCCCATTTAAGAATAGGATTTTACTGATCAATATTTTTTACAAACCCATATATGACTATTTGTTATGAAAAGCTTAAATAATTGGATTCAGTAAACAATTATATTAAGGGTTCCTCTTTCATTATTAAAATCTAAAAGTTATCTTCTATCTCTAATTGTTCTTGATTGTAGACTCTAATATTTAACTATTAAACACCCACATTCAGAATATAAGGTTCTATCCTGTAGATATAATATTCACTCAAATTTAATTCAACCTACTTGTTGAGAGTACCAATTGAGATATTTAATTTAACATTATTATTAAGTACTTCTTAACAATTAGAAACTTAAATAAAAATTTCAATTAATTAAGAATTAAAATATTTGTTTTTTTGTGTTTGGACGTTTAAGAAATATTTTGTTTTCAATTACTTAATGGTAATAAAACTGCTTCCTTCTATTTTTAAGAAGTTCTGATACTTTAATTCTAATAAAATTTCATTATTTTCATCTAATATATCGTTAGAGAATTCAAATTTATTTATTTAACTATAATTCTTAAATTAATTTGTTAGATAATCTAATAAATAACTAATTTTAGGATCTTGTTTTTAGGTTCTAATTAATTTCCATTCTATAAAAGTTATTTAGCTATTTCCAAAATTATAGGTGTAGATTTACTAGATTGTATCAGAAATTTTAGAGCAAGCTGATAAAAGAACCAAATTTCTTGAGAACAGTATCTATGGAGCTTCTAAATCTGATGTATGATATAACAAGTTATTTACAAAATGAGTAACTGGATTTTAGCATTCTTGTAATTTAATAATTGAAGGTTTAAAACTGATGGACTGACCAAAATAAATGGTTGAATTTTAGCCTATAAAGACATCTATTGAAAATGAATTAACGATGCAAATTGGATTAACTCCTAAATAATCGAGGGTAGACTCTTCAAAAAGCGATGCACAATAAGAATTAATTTTTACAATTTTTTTACTAAATTGTATCATTAATTTATTGCTGTTGCTGCTCATTTTGACATCTAAATTAACATTATAGCAATCTAATTAAAATATTTCGTACCTGTACACCATGCAGAATTATCATCTGAATCGAAGCCATCAGGACATTTGCATAGTGGAGGATTCATTCGATTACCTGAACAAGCTAAACAATTATCACTTAGAGTTTCACAAGTTTAACAATTAAAGTTACATGGTAAACATTCCTTTTGATTACTTTCGTAATATCCTTAAAATATTCTATAAATAAATTACCTTTTTGGCAAGTGCACAATGGAGCATTTATTCTTCCTATCTTGCAGGTTAGACAATTCTATAGATCTTTACAGGTTTAACAATTATATTAGCAATCCTAACAAGAATTATTAGAACTAAATTAATTTGACATACAAGCTTGACATTAATTAAATTCATTCAAAATATAATCAGTTTAACATGATAAGCAAGAAGTATATCCACTTCCAAAACAAGTTAAACAACTTGAATCACAAGTAGAACAAATTCCATTATTAAAATAATATCCGTCATTACAATTCATACAATTAGGCAATATAATTAAATTAGAACCTAATTTACATTGTGTGCATGAACTGGCATCAACGCATGTTTCACATTCATACCTGCATAGTTAACATTCACGATTAATAAGATCATCGTAATAACCAGCTTGACAAGTACAATCATTATTCCTAAAATTAGTAGAATCACAAAATGAGCATTGACTATTAATTAATTAATAAGGACTTTAACATTTAGTACATTATGTAGATAAACAAATTTCACATAAAGGATCGCAATAATCGATTAAAATAAATATATTACTTAAAGCTAAACTAGCTTAATAAGCAGAGGTAGATAATGTGGTTTAAAAAGTTATTTAAGCTGAACTTGATGTATGTTAAACATTCACATAAATTTCTTCAACATAATCGTTAGAGCTCTAATAAAATAAATTAGTAGTAGCTTTCTATGATTAATACGAGACATCATGTATTATTTGGTTATCCAATTTAATAATAAAATGCTCATCTGTCCAATTATCAATAAACCATGCAGTTAAATAAATTCGAATGTACTCATGCTTAGCGAGTCCATTATAAACTATACTAAAATATCCTTCACTCCAAACACCAAACCCTCCTAATAGATACTGATTATTGTAAGTTGAAAATATTTGTCCTGTTAATTTTGATAATGCAGGATTAAAAGTAAATGTAAATTAATTAATTTGGCTTTCAAGATCAATTTCTAAACCATAAAAATACTTTCCTATAAATTCAGAACCAAAGTTTGATTAATCATTATAATCAACGCAACTTCCATTTTTTAAGGAACTCCCCTTTGGGCAACTGCTGACACATGAACCATTATAAAATATATAACCATTTTCACAAAGTCTACATTTTCCTCTACAATCTTAGCAATTTAAAGAGCAATCCAAACTACATTCCCTACCAAAGCTTTTATAATATTAGGGGCATGTCTAAACGCATTAATAACTATAAGCATAATATCCGTTTTAACATGAGCACTTCCCATTTTTTGTTGTTCCCTAAGGGCATGTTAGACAATTATTATTATCTGGACCACTACATGTAAGACAACTAAAATGGCATATACTAGGAATGACTACAATATTTTTCACAAGTAGCTTTTCACAAGTTGTGTATGTGGACAATAAAGTGCACTAAAAACTGGATTAAACTTCGAAAGATGGACTTATATTTTGATTATTTATCTTTTATCTTATAGTCATCAATTATTAATTATACAAAAATGTACTAATATTATTTAAATAATTACTAAAATGAATTTGCCTTGCAATAATTACTAGGAGTATTGAAATTAGCTGAGTTTATAGATGTATCAGAATAAATTACTTACTAATCTATTAATATATTAACATAGTTTGATATTCCAGACCAATATTCTGTGTATACAATGTCTAAGGTAATGTATAATTAAAAATGAGGTTCAAGATTGGTAATTGTATTTTAAATGTTCGTCTATACCTTTCCAATAAATGGTCCTATCAACTATCCATTGTCACAATGAAATTAATCATTAAATGGAGTGGAATCTTACTTTTTCCATTATGCATTTGAAGTTGATGCGCCTTCCATAAATTCTGTGACTGGAACACAATTTGTAATAATCATCAACAAAACCAAAAATTGGAACATTTTATTTATTATTTATTAATATGACTATAATCAACAATTATATAGAGCAGGGATTAAATTCTTTTATCCAAAAGATTTCTAAAATAAAATTTATCAATCTTAAATTAATTAAAATAAAGAATCTAAGAAGAGAACAAGTTGACTTAAATTTTGAACTCAAGTCTCGATATTTCAATCATAAACTTAATTTCTTTGAACAATCATACTTTTATGAGAATTAGTTTAGAATATTTTTGAAAAATTAATATCAGTAATCAAATTTCATCCACCTTTTTTATCATACATGTCAATAAAATCAGAATCAACTATACTAGAAAATTAGGAGTAAATTTGAATTTTTAAGAAATATTATATTAATATATTAAAATTAACATCTTGATTAAATTAAATGAATTAAACCTATATTTTCCAAAATATATAGTATTCGTTTTTCATAATTATTGTATGATTACAGAGATTTATAACTAGCATTAATAAGTAATTGTTATGATTTGCAATTTTACCTTAAATTTCTTTTAGTTTTTAATGTTCTTTTAGTAAATTTTATAATTTTATATGAATCCATTTTTCACTATTCTATTTTAGAACTTAGATTTAATTGAATTTTGTAACAGACGAATTATATTGATTTTTTTAATTTTCTTTAAATAATAAAGAATTAAATATATAATTCTTCTAAATGAAAAAATTAGTTTTAAAGTAGTTTTCTTAATATAAACTTGTAGAAAAATTAAGGTTGCTCTTAAATTTTGATTTTTTCATGGTAATAATTATTGCTAAATTAAAAATAATTGATTCAAATTTATTGATTTTTGTTAAAAAATATTTGTAGTTAATTAATTTTATTAAAATGTTTCTTATATCCTAAAATTATTATTTAATAGTTCTCATATGATTTCAATCTATCTTAAATAAGGTTTTTACAGACGATACAAATGATCAATCTAATATTTATCAAATTATCTGTAAATCCTATTTAAATTCTGTAAAATGAAATAAATCATATTTAATGGGTTTAGAATGTTTTTCAAATTTGCTTACAATTTTTTCTAGATGAATAAAAATTGAGTGTCCAACTTATTTAAAGAAAAGATTTATTCGTTTTTCTTATAACAAAATTTATTAAAAAATAATTTGTAAAAACAAATGAGTAGAGTAAAAAATTATAGATTATTATTCCTGATATTAATAAAATTAATATTATCATATAGATTGAAATTTTAATATATTATTTGATATAATTCTTAAATTTTCAGGATTTCACTGAAACTTCGTTGTATTTTAACAAAGGATGTACAGAACAGGGTTCTAAAGTACACAGTTAATAATTTAATGATAAGAAATTAATATTTAGCAAATTGAATATATTTGTAATTATTTTACTTTCTTTTATTCAGAAAATATTTTAATTTAATAGGGGATTGTGATAGTATTAATCATTGTTTATATTAATTATTAATTATGTTATATATATTTGGAAGTTTACTAATATCTCACTTAGTCACTTGTGTTGTGCTCACATTTTATCAACTTAATGATTCGAGATTAATCAATACTATACTGTTAAGCTTTCAGTTCTTGATGCTGGCTATTCATTTTATATAAAAAATTAAATAAATTTAGAACGAAAAAATTTAGATAAGTGTGAAAGTGTGTATAAAACTAAGTTTATTATTAATAATTTTATAAAGGAAACAAAATGTAGTTTAGAGTTTTTTAGCTGGTTCATACATGCAATATTTATTGAAAAAACAATCAATATTTTTAAAATTGGTAGATGCTTTGGTATGCATGTTTTATTTTATAATGTGGGGTGAGACAAACGAGAATACTATAACAGGTACTTTGCTATCACTTTTTATGGTGTTAAATATTTGCATGAAATATTACATTTAAAATAAAAAAGAGAAGGAAAGTCAAGGATAGATCTCAACTGCGAAACTACCCTCTCCAGAGCTAATTAAAAATCAAACCTCACCAAATTATTCAAGAAAAGTCAGTTAACATGAGTATTAATCAGAACCATCATAAGATCTCTAAATAAACGATTTTGGATGCATGGATTAATATTAAAAAATTTTCAATATGTTTCCAGATGGTATTATAATGGTTAATATGAAAAAATAAGTTATTTTTATTAATAAACACTTGAAAAAGATGATGGGAGGAATGAATAAGAAGGCAGCCTTTTACAATCTTTTGCAAATGAAAAATGTTCAATAGTAAATTAATGAATTAGAAAGGATCAACTCACTGTTCTAAGAATAATAAATCATACTAAATGAATAGGAATTTGATAATAAAACGTATTTTAAAAAAAGCACTTTTGATGAATCTCGATTTGATGATTAATCAGAACTAAAGTCATCATATTCATATCAATAATTTGAAACTGTGAAAAAATTACTTGATCATCTCATAGAAAATCGGCAAGAAAAAACTGGAGTTATCAAAATGCTCTGCCAATTTCCTTAGAATGAAAAATCTCTATTTTAAGTAAGTTTTAAAAGGTTTGAAAATAAACAATCTGAATTTATCTTATTGATAGTAAGAGATATGACTTCAATGAATCTTGTGACTTTTCTTCAAAGAGTGATTACAGACAAATCAAATTTCTTAAGCACAGTTGTGCACGAATTCAGAACTCCTCTTTAATCTATAAAATTGATGGTTTAATAAATTCAACCTATGTGTAGTGAAGAAATGGTTCAAAAGTATTTGTTGCCTATGCTAAGTCAATTAGATTGCTTTACTAATTTAATCCAAGATTTGTTGGATGTGTCAGTATTGAATGCAGGAAAGTTTAAATTAGACATAAAATAATTAAATCTTCATCATTTAATCAGAGAAACTTATAATATTATGGTTGTTCAGGCATATGCTAAGAACAATGATTTAGTTATTAATCTTTAAGGAATTCCTGAGAAAATATGGTCAGATCCTTTTAAAATAAGGCAAATCTTAATTAATTTGTTGGGTAATGCTGTGAAATTCACATATAATGGAATTATCACTATTTCAGGTAGAGCAACTAATAAATCAGTAGAAATTACAGTTTCAGATACAGGTTTAGGCATAACTGCTGCAAACTAAAACAAATTATTCACTGCCTTTGGTAAGTTGGATGACCCAACAAATTCAAATCCATAAGGAATAGGATTGGGATTAATGATTAGTAATGTCTTAGCAAGAAAATTATCATATGACTAAAAAGGGTTGTCTGCTGTCTCAGAAGGAGAAGGCAAAGGATCTAAGTTTTCGTTTTAGGTTTACGATCACTCCTTTAATGAAGATAAATAAAAGTATCAATAGGAATCAGTAGTTCGTCAATAAAGAGAATATTTTTAAGCACCATTAAATTAAATCAAATAATGTGATAGTTTTAGAATGAGCGGATTAGAATTAAGTTAATACTCTAGATGCCAATGTCCTGAAATCTTAATTGTAGATGATCAACCATTCATTCTATAAATGCTTAAGATATAACTCGAATCATAGGGTTATCGAGTTAATTTGGCATTTAGTGGATTTGAATGTATTAAGAAGATAGAGCAGTTTCAACATGGACCCAGTTGTGCGTGTAAAAATTACAAAATTGTGATTCTTGATATTGATTTACCTAATCTAAATGGAATTGAAACTTGTAAAAGACTGATCAGCATGGGATTTAACGGGTATATTTTAGGACATAGTGGCTATTCAGGAGGTTAAGAAGAAGAAGAATGTTTGAAAGCTGGCATGGTTGGATACTTTGTTAAGCCTTTAGACATAGCCAAATTGCAATAGTGGTTGGAATAAAATAGAATTCTGCTTTGATTTATTTATTGTATATTAATATGCTCACTAAAAATAAAAGGTCACGAAAAATCATGAAAAATTAAAAACAATGGAAATACGTTCCTATTACATATAATTTGTAAGAAATTAAAGGGAAAAGATCATCAAAACCCTATAAATTCAATGTTCATGATCTATGGTCTTTATTCACTCACTAAAATATTGCTGATTTATTAAATGAAAAACCTCTGGATATTATAGTTTCAATATCTAACTCCTTTACAGGAAATACTATATTCTAAGAGACAATGACTTATTAAGAATTTTCAAATTACAAAGGACCTCTTACATTGTATTTGGCATAAATCTAATTAGATTTGCCTTGCCCAAAAGTATTGAACGATTTTGGCAATGTATACTTATGGTGTTCAAAAGGATTTACAGATAGTGGTTGGCATTATGATAGTTATGAAAATTATTTGGGTGTAGTAGAGGGTACTAAAATAGTTTACTTGAGAAACAAGAGTAAGAATTGGTCTTAGTTCGAATCAGTTTGTTCTGAACAGTACAATCATCTTAAAAAAGGATAAAAATTATTATCCAAATTTGTTATTCTTCAAAAAAATGAATTTCTTTACATTCCTTAAGGCATGCTCCATAGGTAATTAATTTAACTAATAATTAGAGTAATTTCATATGATTCGACTATAGGAGTCAATGTTTGGATGGAGAGCATTACTCAATCTAAACTTAAGGTAAATCACTACTAGTTAAGATATATTTTAAATGAAATTATTACTAAGGATATGAAAGAATTCTTAAAGGAATAAGCGAAATTGCGATTAAAAACGATAAATATAGACTAATACAAAGAGGATATTTTGAATAGCTTTTCGAATTTTACAAATCTGCATTCATTTCACAGAAACCAAAAACAAAAACCTCTCAATTAGTTGATTGGCATTTATATTTGCATATTGACAAACATGTCTCATAAATATATGATACAATTTATGCTAATAATTGAAGAAATAGGATCACTAACTATTTTTGAGAGATTACCATATACATACCAAGCTATTATTGCATTAAAATTAGATGAATTTTCAGAATCTATTGAATAGATTGAGTTTAGAGAGAAAATTTACGCATTGCTTTAAATTCATGGAAATCTTATTGAGAGTTTATAAGCAAGTAAAAACAAATTAAAACTTTAAATTGCT